GGTCAGTCTAAGAGGAGACTTTTTCTTCCTAGCTTTTCATACAGACTGCTTAGACTTGGAGCACACCAAATAAGGCACAGTTGCACACAACTAACAAAGTCAGCAAGACACTGTCATAACAGTACTTACGGCACCACAATAGTGGCAGAAGACAAACTCTGGCTATCCATCGCCAATTACTATTGCTTACCCTAGAGCCTTGCGGCAAAGGAATTGTTTGTTTTTGTGCTGGAGAAGCAACCCATGCCTCCTCCAGCAAGCAAAGTCCTGGGACATAGGATCAGGATGTCAGCACGGGCTCGGTATTTGATTTTATTTATTGGATGGATGTTTCCCAAGGAGGGAAGAAATTCATTGTTGAATGGTTGAGGATGGTTTCCAATCACAGTATCCAGATTGCTTAAGAGCTCCAGTGAGTTCCCACTGAAAAAAAGCCCTGAGTGCCAGTCTCTGCTTTGTGCCAGCCATTCTGAGAAAGAGGGCAGAGTGGACATTTATTGTTCCCACTCCTCTTTCCTTCATGGTCAACTGTGTAGCAGGGCAGAGCTTGAATGTCCAGATAGCAAATATTGTTGTTGTTGTTTAGTGGTTTAGTCATGTCCGACTGTTCGTGACCCCATGGACCAGAGCACGCCAGGCAATCCTGTCTTCCACTGGCTCCCGCAGTTTGGTCAAACTCATGCTGGTAGCTTCGAGAACACTATCCAACCATCTCGTCCTCTGTCGTCCCCTTCTCCTTGTGCCCTCCATTTTTCCCAACATCAGGGTCTTTTCCAGGGAGTCTTCTCTTCTCATGAGGTGGCCAAAGTCTCAGCTTCAGGATCTGTCCTTCCAGTGAGCGCTCAGGACTGATTTCCTTAAGAATGGAGAGGTTTGATCTTCTTGCAGTCCATGGGACTCTCAAGAGTCTCCTCCAGCACCAGAATTCAAAAGCATCAATTCTTCGGCGATCAGCCTTCTTTATGGTCCAGCTCTCTCTTCCATACATCACTACTGGGAAAACCATACTGGGAAAACTATAGCAAATATTATCTAGGCTTAAAACTCAGCCCTTGTGGTGAAAGGAGAGAGCTTTGCCAGCAGGTGTCACTCAAATGTAAGAAATCCATTCCCAGACTGAATTTTGCCAACAAAAAGCTTCTGCACACCATTTTTCTCAAGCTTTGTAAAAAAGCAGGCTTGGGCTTCATGCTGACTGCTTGAGAAAATTTTACCAGCCCAGGTGCTTTTTCAGAATAGTTTGCCGCTTGATGCCTTTCTGCACTGGCATGTTTAAAAGAGTTTTCAGTCCAACTTATTTTACCCCACAACTTGCAAAGTTGCAATGGTATCGTGCTTGAAAACAAGTGAAAGGAAGGTTTTTTAAAAATGTGGGGGGGGCATCTCTCTATATACAGTTTTACTTATTTCCAAACAGAAGCCTGAAGCAATTAACAATAGCAGGCAAAGCAAGTACAATACTATGAAATTAACAGTCCAAACAATACGAAAGTGTATCTTGCAATTAAAATGTCACAATAAACCTATGAATGTTACAATTCAGAACCCAGTAACAAAGTCATAGTAATTTAATCGCCATATGTTTAAATGTAGATGCCATCTGTGCTGCTGGTTCATCTTCCTACTACTATGTGGGCTGTATGGGCTGTGGAGCTGGGGGTGCAGTAAAGGTAGCTGAGATGTCTGGGTCTACCATCCCTCTTTCCTTTACTCTCCTCACTCCTGGTAGCTTCAGCTAAAGGAAAGAGAAGTTTCACTTGTCCATACCTTGAATATAATTTAGCTAGCAGTGAAATGGAAAGTGCCCTCTCTTTATGTTTCATACCTCATTTGAGTATGGGTAGGTGTGGTCCTACCCCCAGGGCCAACTGAGATAGCGTTCTTGGCTCAATAAATCATGCCCACACCCTTCTCCTCCCCTCACATCAGCACACTCCCTTTGATCCTCTAATTCTAGGTTCTTTGAAACAGAGATTCTCATTACGCCTTCAAAACAGAAGTGCTCAAGATGAAAGTGCTCAAAACGAAATGCTAAAAATAAAATACACTTTAATACAAAATGGAAAATGCTAATAATTCACTTTAAATCTTGATAACTCAGGCTTCCTGATAACAAAGCCACCCACCTGGCAGATTGAAAACTTGGAACCGCTACTCCTGTTAGCACCATTGCACATAATTTGCATCTATCTGTCTGCTCACAAAGTGCTGATGTTCTAGCATATTGCCTGCCTCTGAGCCAGGTTAACTCAGAGAGACCCTTATCAGCCTTGCAAATACAACCAAACCGAACACACAATCAAAGCTGCCATAAAAATCAGAAATGAAAGTAAAAAAACCTGACAAAACCTTTTAAATATCAAATAAAACCAGCTATAAAACATGCCAGAATTCCGACCTAGACAAATACAGAAGCCTTCTCCTGGCACTAAAAAGACATCAAGGATGTCATCAGGCCATCTCACGTGACTGGAAGGCATTCCTAGGTGGGAGGCCCTGACCAGTAAAACCATTTCCCCGGGCACCACCTGCCTAACTTCAGATTGCAGAAGGGTCTATTGGATGAAAAACAAAAGGTTCGAGCAGACCCGTAGAGTGTAGGTGGATTCTTAGTTAACTTAGGACCAAGGCATTTTTAAGTAATAACCATAATCTTGAATTATGCTGGAAACAGACCAGTAGCCAGAGTAGCTGTGCTGGTGAGATGTTCACTTTAGCTGGTCCAAATTGGTAGCCTAGCAGCTGTATTCACAGATAGTCCCAGGTACATAGCATTGTAGTATTTGAGTAACAGCATTTATGATTACACCAGGAACAATAAGCATCATATTTCCCCCTCTCTCACCAAAATCTTTGCTAGCCAATTGTTTCTGCAATGGAAGATACCACATAGAAATGAAACTGCAAAAAAAGCTTTTTAAAAAATGGTGAAGTGTTTACCTGGAGCAGGAATAGTTTCTACACAACATCCAACAACATCTGGAGGGCTACTGCAGGTTCCCCATTCCTTGTGAAATGTTTCCCAGCACACAAATCCCTAAGAACAGTGTAGTCTCCCAGAATTACTCAGTAATTCCCCTTTACTCGAGAGAAGGTGAGCCCCTGCAACTCAGTAGCTGTGTACACACCACATATTTTAAGTACATGTTGTTCAACATCTTTTAGCCAATGACTTGGATGAAGGAATTGAGGGGATGCTCATCAAATTCACAGATGACGCCAAACTCAGACAGGTAGCTGAGAAGGTAGCAGAAGACAGATTCAGAATTCAACATGACCTTAACAGATTAGAGAACTGGGCCCAAACTAACAAAATGAATTTCAAAAGGGAAAAATGTAAAGTTTGGCATTTAGACAGGAACATCCAGCTGCAAAAATGTAAAATGCGGAACACCTGGATTGCCAGTGGTATGTGTGAAAAGGATCAAAAGGTCTTAGTGGACCACAAGTTTAACATGAGTCAACAGTATGATGCAGCAGCAAAAAAGCTAATGCTATTCTAGGCTGCATCAACAGAAGAAGGTCAAGGGAAATAATAGTACCACTCTATTCTGCCTTGGTCAGACCACACCTGGAATACTGTGTCCAGTTCTGGGCACCACAGTTTAAGAAGGATATTGATAAACTGGAATGGGTGCAGAGGAGAGTGACCAATATGATCAAGGGTCTGGAAACCAAGCCTTATGGGGAACAATGGAGGGAGTTGGGTGTGTTTAGCCTGGAAAAGAGGAAACAGAGAAGAGATTTGACAGTCATCTTCAAATATCTAAAGGGCTGTCACATGAATGATGGAACAAGCTTGTTTTCTCCTGCTCTGGAGAGTAGGACTCATAGCAATGGATTCAGGTTACAAGAAAGGAGATTCCAACTGAACATCAGGAATAACTTTCTGACAGTAAGAGCTGTTAGGCAGTGGAGAAGTCTCCCTCAGGAGGTGGTGGACTCTCCTTTATTGGAAGTTTTTAAGCAGAGGTTGGATGGCCCTCTGACATTGATGCTTGAGATTCCTGCATTGCAGGAGGTTGGACTAGATGACCCTTCTGCAAAGAATGCTGGAAGAGTGGTTTGTTAAGGGAATTGTAGCTCTGTGATTCTTGTGGGGAAGGGACATGTGCTTTAAAAGGTATGGTGTGTACACAGCCAGCTTAACATACCTTTAAAGCACATTCAGAGCACATTTATTCCCTTAAAAAATGCTGGACACTGTAGATTGTTCAGGGTTGCTTAGAATTGTTACACTGTGGTGGGCTCAGAATTCTGTGAGAGCCAGTGTGGTGTAGTGGTTAAGAGCGGTAGTCTCGTAATCTGGGGAACCGGGTTCGCGTCTCCGCTCCTCCACATGCAGCTGCTGGGTGACCTTGGGCCACTCACACTTCTTTGAAGTCTCTCAGCCCCACTCACCTCACAGAGTGTTTGTTGTGGGGGAGGAAGGGAAAGGAGATTGTTAGCCGCTTTGAGACTCCTGAAGGGGAGTGAAAGGCGGGACATCAAATCCAAACTCTTCTTCTTCTTCTTCTTTGAGGGTGAAATTGTATTTCGAATGTGCCGCTCCTGACTTGAAACTAGAAGAATTCATCTAGGCTTAAGCTGATTTAACAGAGAATGAGGAGCATTAAGCAGAAAGTCTAGAATAGTTACATAACTTAGCATTTATTGTGAGAGGAAACTGTGGTCACAAATATGAAAATAGCAGAAACCAAGATGTTAAGAGATAATGCAGTTTACTACTAACACAAGGAAATATTTCGGTTTCTGTGTTCAAACCAACATCTAGTTTGCATGAAGGTGGGAGATCCATGCATTGGGGTAGAAATAGGAATCCGAAGTTCAGTGGCCTTACTGTGTGTTTAGTAGTGGGAAATGGTCAAGCAGAAGGGAGCATGGTAAAGTTTAGAGGAAGATTGTTGGTGGGTTTCTTGAGATAAAGTGGAAATGGGAGAAAAGGGGGGCTTAAGAAGCATGAAGAAGTAGGAGATGGGGACAATTTTGAGGGGCTAGACATGCAGGACGAAGATGTGACAAGAAATTTCCAGTAAGTGAAGGGAGAATAAGCCAACAGTAGCATAGAGAGAAGAAAAGGAACAATAATAAGGAAGGAAGGAAGGAAGGAAGGAAGGAAGGAAGGAAGGAAGGAAGAAAGGAAGACAAACCTAGGGTAGAAGAGTACCTGGATGTGAATCATGAAAGGAAAGGTTTGGTTGGTGGAAATCTAGTTTTATCCTTGATCAAAAACTTCCAGCAGTTCTCATGCTCTTCTATTCAAGCAAATACAGTGGTACCTCGGGTTACATACGCTTCAGGTTACATACGCTTCAGGTTGCATACACTTCAGGTTACAGACTGCGCTAACCCAGAAATAATACCTCGGGTTAAGAACTTTGCTTCAGGATGAGAACAGAAATTGTGCTCCGGCGGCACGGCGGCAGCGGGAGGCCCCATTAGCTAAAGTGGTGCTTCCAGTTAAGAACAGTTTCAGGTTAAGAACGGACCTCCGGAACGAATTAAGTCCTTAACCCGAGGTACCACTGTAATCATAGAATTGGAAGGGGTCATCTAGTCCAACCCCAGGCAATGCAGGAATATTTTGCCCAATGTAGGGGTCGAACCCATGACTCTATTCACATACCATCAGGGCTGTTCTTCCACAACTGCTTATATTTAGCCATATATGCATATATGTTTTCAATAGCTTTTAAATGTTATGAATATGCTTTTCTTTTTAATTCCATTGTCACCGATATGTTTACCACCTTCCTTTGGGATGAAGAATGGGATATAAATTTAATTAATAATAAATGTAATACTGGGCTTTATCAGAGTAGACCCACTGAAATTAATGGGCATAACTTAGTCATGTCCATTAATTTCAGTAGGTCTTCTCCTTGTAGAACTTGGTTGGATAACACCCATGGAGACCTAGCTGAAAAGGAAAGTATAAAAGTTTTGTCTTCTCCTTCCAAAGCTCTCACTTTTCTTAATATGGAAGTTGGCAGTATAGTGGTCCATGCTGCCCTATAACAGGTGGGCAAGAGAATGGCAAAGGTCACTGGAAGGAAACTGCCCGCGCCAAACTTCAGCACGAGTTCAGCTAGGGTTGTGATATTTCAGTTGAGCTTTCTCCGCTACATTTCGGAAATTCCCCCCAGCCATCAGTTCCACCTTTGAAATCCCGGTAAAGTCTGGGAAAATCCAGACATATGTCAGCAGCCCCAATTCAGCCAGCTAACACAACTTGTGTGTTTGTCTTCCGGACCCACTGAGTTTATCAGCCCAGAACATTTTACTTCTCTGGCAATATTGCATTAATGCACACGAGATAAGGGATCAGAGGGTAGACGAACACAACACTTTGGCCTCACCTGCACTATGCATTTAAATAAGTATCATACCTTTTTAAACAGTTATGGCTTCCCCCACTTGGCTATATTTTACGAACACACAAGTTCCGGGTAAATTCTATTTTACAAGGAAATTTTTGCGTGGTGTTGACATTTAGTGGGAAATCTTTTAAGGGTAGCAACTGATAGATAATGTGATAATAACTGAATGATAAGCTACTTTGCAAGCTTCTTCTTTTTTTAAGTTTCCTATTGTTGACATAGCAGTTTGGGGAAAAGTTATCAGTAGGTTATCAGTAGGTTATATCAATAGGTTATTATAAAACGGTGTAGAGCTTGGCAGTTTCTGTTGTAAGATCAGCTCTCCCCATAGCTTTGGCTTGCAACCTTTCCAGCCTAAAAGTGACTTCTGTATCTTCTTAATCCATAACTATTTAATACTATTTCCATTAAAAAAAAAACCTTCTAAGCAACGGGAGGTGAAATTGGGGGGGGGGGGAAATGGAGCTAAAAGAACTTGCTGTCATTATAAATTGTGGAAAATGACAGATTAGAAACATGCTCTACTCTGGACAAATATGGCATAAAATATATATTATATAAATATATATTTACACTTAATGCTTTTCAGTATGGGACAATGTGGTCTTCTCAACTGCTTAGACTTTAGTCAAGGTAAGAATATACTGTCTAACATGTATTATTATTATTATTATTATTATTATTATTATTATTATTATCAGACATGTTCCATTTCATCTGCTTCAGATCCTACTTACAGGAGTCTATTTCTGAAAATGCTTTAACAAGATCCCAAGTAATACCAACACAGATGGACATACAGGCGACCAGGAATATGAGAATTACAGTGAGATAACTGCCCTTGTGTATATTACAGAGTGCATTAGCGGCATTAGGAATTCACATGCAATCCTTGATTATAATAACTTGAGAGTGCAGTTCTGTTTCACCTGCAATCAGGAAGCTGAGAGAATTGTGTTCTGTTGTTTGTAAGTTTCCAAGAAAAAAATGGAACCATTTGGGCTTCTTGCTTGGATATTATGATCCAAAGGACTGGATTGGCATGTTATATTTTAAAAAAGATCAAGTGTGCCAGCAATTGGGAGAAATGCCATTCTAGAAATAGGGTGATATAAGCAAGAAAACAGCTAAAGAAAAATGAATGGAATGGGGGGGGGGGGGATCAGCTTTGAAAGATAGTAGCAGACTATAAAGTTTTACAGCCAAAAAGCTAAGATTTTCTTCTTATTTTATATATAAAAAAAGATTCCCATGGAAACCGGTAGCTCAGCAGTAATTAATATTCTTAATTCCCACTATAAATTACTATTCATTTCGTTTGATGGAAGTTTCATGTTTTCTGGACTTTGAACTTTTATTACTAAGCTCAGGGTCTTTTAAAAATAGCTTAAACCAACAAACAAAAGCAGAAGGATGTGGTTTATGTATCTGTGTATTTTAGGATCCCTCAGTACTTTACATTTTGTTCCTTCAGACTAGAAATGGTTTTCTCCTAGAAATGCTTGCTTTAAATTAGATTCTCCAGAATAATGAATTGTGCTAACCGTATCTGGTCATTATAAAAATGTGTAATTTGCACAGGAGGCAGACAGTGGGGTCAAGCAGTCTAGCTCAGTGCTTGATGCCTGTTTTCATTGCCTTCCATGTGTTGGATCATGATTCTGCAGCAGGGGGCTCTCTTGTATCTGTGAAGAGTCCTCACACTTTTTGCAATGAGGACCTAGACAGACTCAGGCCCTCACACCTCCAATTTATAATATCAGGTAGCACAATTCCGAACGATCTAGTCCTGAGAGATGCTGCCAGTCAGAGTAGCCAGCGCAGGGTTAGATGCAGTGCTTTTTTATATAGGAAAAAATTGTGCCAGTACTCACCATGAAGTTGTTATAGCAAGTGCCACACTTTAAACATTTTTGGGGGGAGGGGAAGGTGCCGGTACTGGATACCCTTAAATACCCCCAGGAAAAAACCACTAGTTAGATGTATTAGTTGTCTGACTCAAATGTTAGGCAGCTTCAGATATTTTGGGGAGTGGGGGGCTGGAAGTTAAAGATACGCTCCCAGTACATTTCCGAGCACAATTCAAAGTGTTGGTGTTGACCTTTAAAACCCTAAACGGCCTCGTCCCAGTATACTTGAAGGAGCGTCTCCACTCCCATCGTTCTGCCCGGACACTGAGGTCCAGCGACGAGGGCCTTCTGGCAGTTCCCTCACTGCGAGAAGCAAAGCTACAGGGAACCAGGTAGAGGGCCTTTTCGGTAGTGGCGCCCACCCTGTGGAATGCCCTCCCATCAGATGTCAAAGAGATAAACAACTACCTGACATTTAGAAGACATCTGAAGGCAGCCCTGTTCAGGGAAGTTTTTGATGTGTGACATTTTAATGTATTTTTACTCTTTGTTGGAAGCCGCCCAGAGTGGCTGGGGAGGCTCAGCCAGATGGGCGGGGTACAAATAATAATATATTATTAATTATTTATTATTATTATTATTATTATTATTATTATTATTATTATTACTAGCAACAAGAGGCGACCCACAGAAGCTGTTCACAAATAAACTGGAGTGCCTGGTTACATGCTATTGACACAGTGTGGGCAATTGAGTATAGATAAGCTCTCAGTTAAAAGCTGCCAGCACAGCCATGGAGCTTACTTGATGGCAAGTCACTGTAATGGTTCAGACATAGGTTGACACTACTTGAACAAAGGAGGTTAGGCCCCTTGGAATCAAAGAATCCTTGCTTTCCTTCCGTCCACAGCAGTTTCATCTCAAGCTACCTGGTTTAAAGCAAACTATTGCCATTTTATCAAACCAGTCAAGCACTCAACCTGCTAATCAGAACTGGACACATGGTTTTCAGTACCAAACATTGCTTGCAGGGCAAACCATTTGGGTGAAACTGCAAAATACAGTTCTGCCTTAAAGCAGGAAGGGGTTTGCCACATGTGGGGTGCACAGGCCTGGAGGTCTTGTCAGATTGTAAACATAGCTCAGATCTATGGTCTGGCTTTATACCTGAATTATCTCACCATCTTTCAGCCTAACCTGAAAAGAAGGAATACAAATGTAATAGATCAATATACTGAAGCAAATGGAACTGAGTAATTATCCTTGTGCTTCTTTTTCAAAGGAGAAATGAGGCATCGTTTATTCTTCACAGTTTTGGCTTGGCTCCCAGTGGGTGAGTTACTATTCACTGCAAAACCCTTTGGATGAGGACAGTCTGTTTGAATATAGGATAGCTCTACCCCTTCAGGCAGCACATTGACTCACAATTTAAGGAAAAGATAATTTTGAGCAGCTGTCTAGAGTTTGATGCCCCTCAGGAGCATCTCAGGCAGCTCTTTCGGGAGAGTATTCCTCAGTGGACTCCTTTAGGGTACAAGAATGAACTGTGCATGCATACATGGCATGGATAGGGAACCTGTGACCATACAGCTGTTGTTGGACTCTAGTTCTCATTAGTCTCACCCAGCATGGCCAATGGCAAGGGATGATGGAGCTGGGAGTCCAACAACATTTGGAGAGTCATAGTTCCCCTGCCACTGAGGTACACCATCATCTTAAAAGCATCGTTTTTCCAACTCCACACCCAAAATAGAAGATCTGGGGTTGAATGTGAGCAAATTTTGATTCACAATTTGACTAAAGTCTTGACTAAAGAAAGTCTTTCCCAAGTATCTCAGATTACATTAAATCTGAAAAGAAAACAGTAAAAATATAAGATTTTGTGGTTGAGATGAGCCTTCCCAAACTTAGGACCTTCCAGGTGTTTGTTCCCATCAGTCCCAACCAGTATGGCTAATGGTCAGGTTAATGGGCATTGTCATCTAAAACAGGGCTTCCTAGCCTTTTTGGTATGAAGACACACTAGTCCAAATTTATTTGGCATGGCATGGTGACCCTTTGATTTATTACCACTTGAATTTTTGACCTTAAGTCTTCAGCCACCATTAGTTTCATGCATTTTAACTGCAAGTTTGCCTATTTTATAGCCATTACTTGAGGCATTTACTTAATATCACTATTAACGTGGAATTCATTGAAATATTTATGGTACTTACAAAGTTATTCACAGAACATCAATAATCTGATTGCTGGATATTGCTTAATATTCTGCTTTCAGAAATTTATTCTAAACATGCATGGTTACATGAAGTGTTAGTTGTTGCTAACTGAATTATTTTAAATAATTCTATTCAGTATTAACTTTATTTTGGCAAGAATCAGTCAATGACTAAGCTTAGCATTTTGCCAAGAAGTAGTCAACATGGGGTTTGATGGTTGTTGGACATGGCAACATTTCTGAAAAAAAATTCTGAAAAAAACTACCAAATGGCAGCAAAACAAATGGCAAACTACCAAATGGCAGCAAAACAGAAATGGTTTCATTGAGTAATATTGGTAATATTAAGCCAAAATTCGCATAACTTTACTTCAAACATTTATCTTTGAGGTTCCTATCACATGACAGTTCAATGCATTGTTCTTTTTTCACAGACGAAAATCACTTTGTGACATCACTGTCAGTTTCATTGGCAGAAAAGCAGTGGACATATTTGGACTAAGGAAACTTCCTATCACTATTACAGCTCACCTCTGATGTGCAGGTGCTGCCTTTGGTGCATGTGCATCACATGCAAGCTGCAATAGTCATTCAAAAACTCCCTCTGTGAGGATCTTGTGGCAAACTGTCACCGAATCTGCTGCCCAGCCACCAGAGAGTGGTTCTGAATGTAAGCCTGAAGCCCTTCTGTTGTTCAGTTTCAAGTGTCAACACAGCACTAAAGTACACCAACAAAACAAAAAGTTATAAGCAGTGAACATCATCTGGAAGACCATAGGTTCCCCCCACCCATGATCTGGACCCTCCACCATAGCAGCTGTTAGATAGGAATGTCTTCTGGTGGAAGCTGGTTGCTGCTATTCTATACCTTATGATTATCTCTTTTCACAGCTTCCAGTTTCTGTGAGCGTAATGGCCTCTCTGTCTGGGGAGGCACAGGCTATGACTTCAATTGCTCCTCCTTGTCAACTCCAGGTAAGCACCAGCCCAGCAGAAGCTAGTGCCTCGTAGAACTAGTAGGGTTGGAGGCAAGGACTCCAACTAGGTGGACTCGGCGGTGTAAGAGTCAATAACAGACAGAGCCAGCTAATTCTGCTTTTGTGACCCCCATCTTCCTCCTCCCATCTGAGTCCTACAACCAACAACCTACTCAACACAACTGGGAATGATCAGCCAACCATATAAGGCCATGGCAAGAAAAGAAAAAAGAGTAGAAAGCTGTATATGTCCAGTTAGAAACAAGTCCAATTAAGTTCAGTGAGGCTTAGCTCCAGGTATAGGTGCATATACTGTACAGGATAAGGAAAGCTTTTCAAGCATAATCTTAAAAGATGTGGGAGAGGACATTTTAGTTCCCATTTAAGGTCATTTCTTCAAACCTTGTTTTCTCTCTTTTATAGCCGCCTCTGATTTCTCATATTGTGGCCGGCCTTCGTGCACATTACATCCAGGTGAATGTCTTTGATTATCCATTACCCATGTAGACCCCAATACCATACCCCCACACACATTTTAGGAGAGAAATTTTGGGAGGGAAATTTGGTGCACTCCTCCCCCTCCATCACCCACCCACTCCCTACCGCCAACCCCTTCCTTGCCCTTCCACTCACTGCCGCAAGCCACTCGCTCATTCACCCCTTCCTACTACCTTTGTCCACTGTCTTCCACCTCCTCCTTTGCAGCCCTGGGAAATGCCACACAGGCCAGCGGGACATATTGGGAGTTTGTCCCAATCTGTGCAGGGTCAGGAGATGCTGCACAGACCAAAACATCCTCCTCCTCCTTCTCCTCCAGCACTGTAGACATGCTTCCAGTAGTGCTGTGGCAGATGGAGGAAGAGGAGAGGTATTGCACAAGGTCAAGGAAAGGTTCCCCCCCCCATTTAGTCCCATGCTGTGGTATGTGCCAAGTGACTTGAGCCATAGTGTGGAGCCAAAACTGTCCATCTTTTGGTCCCATGCTGCTCTGCTGCAGCCAGAGCACAGGAGTAAAAAATGGGACATCCAGGATTGGGATCAGAAGCTGCGGTGGCTTCTGTCAATATAGAACGTCCCACTTAGAGGGTATGCAATCCTATTATAACTGGCATTGCTACTGTCACTCATGACATACTGAAGTAACTGCCAGGCCTCCAGGACCTGTGCTAGGCCTGATCATCATCATCATCATCCATTGCTCAGCATTGACTGGCTAGAAAGATCAAGACACCATTTAAATTTTTCCCTCAGCACTGGTCTGGGCTCCCTGGGGAGGGTTTAAATTCAATAAATAAATATTGATAAATAAATTGTGGGATATCACATGCAGGCTACCTGGTGATGATCAGAGGAGCACAGGTACTGTGAGGTAAGCCAGCTTGGGGGTGGCTGCAGCCCTGGTGCAGAAGGGGGCCCTGCTAGTAGAAGGACTGTGCCAAAGAACTGTAGTGATACCAATGGTTTGTAGCTAGCACAAATTCTTCTTGGTCTCTGCAGTAGCTTGTGAAGAAATCTCAACAGCGTACCATATTTTCCAGTTGGCTCAGGCTGTAATAGTCCAATTGCGTAGAAATGTATGGTGGGGAACCCTATTGCATAGCTATCAATGTTTCCCTTTTTTAAAAGGAAATTCCCTTATTCTGAATAGGATTCCTCACAAGAAAAGGGGGAAATTGACAACTATGCCCTATTTCCACTGGTAAAGACACTAGGGAAGTAAAGGTTCTTACTTCCCTTTCTGACTCATGAAAAACAAAGCCCACCTCAGGATTTCCCCCACCACCCAGAATTCTTATTCACCTATACGTTACAGAGGGCTGATAAGGACCCTCCATCGTTCTGCCCGGACACTGAGGTCCAGCACTGAGGGCCTTCTGGCGGTTCTCTCACTACAAGAAGCCAAGTTACAGGGAACCAGGCAGAGGGCCTTCTCGGTAGTGGCACCCACCCTGTGGAACGCCCTCCCATCAGATGTCAAAGAGAAAAATAACTACCAAACTTTTAGAAGACATCTGAAGGCAGCCCTGTTTAGGGAAGCTTTTAATGTTTAATAGGTTATTGTATTTTAGTGTTTTGTTGGAAGTTGCCCAGAGTGGCTGGGGAAACCCAGCCAGATGGGTGGGGTATAAATAATAAATTATTATTATTATTATTATTATTATTATTATTATTATTATTCCTTGTCCAAAATGAGATATCAAGGGCTACAGGTAGTTTAAAAAAACATTTTGTCCAGGTAATTCACAGGAAGCTCTAAAGTGAGTCATATTGTTCTGAAGGAAGGTAGATAATGTAGTGACAGAGAAGATTAGAATCTTGCAAGACTTTCACATTGCATGTCTGTCTTTTAATCAACCAGTGGGTAGTGGTTCTTAGAAGCCACCCTCCAATTCCTGTGAATTCGCAGCCCACATATTCAAAAAGTGCTGAGGGGTAGCTTTGTTGATAGAGCACAAGACTCTTAACCTCAGGGTCTTGGGTTCTTTCAGGGCTGGAGTCAGATGCAGGTCAGCAGTCAAGGAAGCAGATCTCCTCCGTAGTTAGTGAAGTTAACTCTTTATTCAAGCAAACAAGCACACAACTCGACCTAATGGTCTTAGCGACACTCCCCAGCAGGTCTTGTTGCCAGAACTGAAAGTCCCTGTCTCCCACACTTCTCCAAGGCTCCTCCTCTCCTGGATGTTTCCCAAGCAGTCTCAAACTGCGCCTGCACACCTCAGACCTCTGTTCTGTTGTTCTCATTATTCTGTGAGTTCTTGAAGACCAAGGAGGAGGGGAGCTTGTCATAGCAGGAGAGGGAGAGTCACTGGATTCTTGGATCAGTCTCTTGACACACACACCCCACCTCATAGTCTGACCTCCTCCCTGTCACAGACTCTTCCTGCTCCTAAACCCTGCTGCCCCTTCAGCATCCGGCGCTTCATCCCAATCTCCTCCCTGTGGCCTCCCCTCAGTGTCCCACCACCATTCCCTTGGCTCTGAGCATTCCTCTTCTGGGATTTCCCTTGTGGGTTCCTCTGCTGGTGCTTCCTACCACCATCAACGTTTCCCTTTTCTTGCGAGGAATCCTATTCGGAATAAGGGAATTTCCCTTAAAAAAAGGAAACGTTGACAGCTATGTCCTACCACTCCTCTTCATCCAGCCTGACAGGCTCAAGCCCCACGATAGGTGAAGGATCCCTGCAGTTCAGGGAGTTAGAGTAGATGACCCTCATGGTCCCTTCTATGAATCTATGAAATTAGATGCAGTAGTAGCAGCTTATTTGCCAGGAGGTCAGGTGAGCATCTCTGCTCCACCATACTATTTGCTAGCGGTGACTCTTATGTCTACTGGCCACAATCTTCAAGATATACTTCTTCACCCCCTGATGGATGTGGTTGCTTGTTTTCATTTTTCAGATTGGCATGATTATCTGACATGCTACTACATCGAAGACAAATTGATCCTGAATTGTTCTTGGTTGCCCCTACCCCATGCAACAGATTCTCTTGTGTACACTGTGTTTTTAAAATGGTAAGTCAAGGGAGAGGGAATTGGGAAATCAACTGCAATATGCACCAGAGGTTTGTTTTAAAAAAGAGTTTCAGAGGAAATATTTTCCTCAAGATCTTAGCAGGTGAGGGGAAAGGTTAAAGGTCCCCTCCATATCTCCTGTGGTTAGCATCCCCAGCTGATGCAATTATTATTTTTGAGAAAACGTGCTGGTTAAACGCAATGATGCTTTTAACATCACATGCAATTGGGGTCTCACTCTCCTAGATATATGTCTGCAGGAGTCTATGTTGTGGAGGACTGCCAGCTACCAGCATAGTGTACAAGATTTAGCAGTAAAGGGAGACCAAGATAAAATTGGATGGCAAAATGTAAAGCTTGCTAGAAGCAGAAGCAAACTATCACAACTAAATGGGTTTCCCTACTTCCCTTCTCCAATAACTATCCTGTTTCCAGCTGAGCCCTTGTAAAACTCATCACAGAGAGAGCAATGCACCTAAGCAACGCACATGTTAGATCACTGGCAAAGAAACAAAAGCCAATCTTCTGTCCTGAACCCCCGGCCTACCTGGCGTCAAGTCCTGCTGGCGTATATATTACGTCAAGTCCAAAAGTCAGGAAACACAGTCCAGAGTCAAACCCAAAGCACAGTCCCATAGGGATCCCGGAGCATCCAAGGTGAGCCCCATCAACATGGCAGTTGAGCAGTCACAGCACCTCAGCTCTGCCTCCATTTTGTACTTTGCCTGCTGATGGCAGCATTTGGGCTTGACAAGGCATGTGACCCTCACGTGCTCCAAGCCTCTTCCAGCTCAGGAATCACACACCTTCTCCCTGAGCTGACGAGCCCCACCTGGGCTATGGCCCCTTGCCTGCCTCAGTCTCCCTCCCACTGCTCCCCACGCCTCAGAGCCCGCCTTGTTCATGGAGATGGGGGCCTCTCTGGCTCTGATGAGGGCTCCTGATCTTCTGGTCCCTGGACACTGAACCCCATCCCCTCGCCATCCTCTGTCATCCGGTGTGTACTTTCCACAACCCCAGCCTCTCCCTTCCCATCCCCCTCAGTGGGTCCCAGTCGCAGCTGCCCCCCTCGTCAGGGTCCTCTTCCTCCTCCCCTTTGTCCTGCCAGTTCATGACACTTCTCATACACATAGAACCAGTCCCAGATAATTCACAAAGTTTCTGTAAGCACACAATGGTTATGTGAGGCCTGAAAGTATTTGTGTACTGAGAGCCGAATGTTACACCTGTGTTAATTACATGATAGGGGATTTTAACCTTTTAATTCTGGTGCCAGTTGCAAGTGTTTCTGTCTCGCCCCAGGATGAATAGCAGCGTGAGGGAGGGGTATTTTTTTCTGGGGCTACATACCCCCCAACAGTCCCTATTTGGCCAGGACAGCTATGGTTTTCTTCTCTCTGGGAAGAAAGAATACTTGAAGCTAGTTTTCGTGGGTTTGCTTTTCTTTGTAGCTTCTAAAATCCCTCTGTAGAAGGCTTCCTTTTTAAAACCCATCTAGAGTCCAGCCCACTCTTGCCTTGAGTGGTGTGTCAGCCATTGCCCACAAATATCCACAGCAAGAACTTCCCACTCCTTGTCCATGGCTGGACAAGAGCAACAAAGAAAGACAAAAGAAAAAGAAGGTGTCAATAAGACACAACTACTTCTTCTCTCCCTTTCCCATTCCTGAGGTATCTCAAGCTTGGGAGGGTGCAGGTGGATCTGGTAGCCTCTCCCATCTTTCTCCTCCTTACCAGCCAGCACAAGCAGCATTCAGCATTCTCCAGTAAACAAATAACCAGTATTTAATTTAACCAATAAATAAATACTTAACAAATACAGTGGTACCTCGGGTTAAGGACTTAATTCGTTCTGGAGGTCAGTTCTTAACCTGAAACAGTTCTTAACCTGAGGTAACACTTTAGTTAATGGGGCGTCCGGCGGGCACTGCGCCTCCACTGCACGATTTCTGTTCGCATCCTGAGGTAAAGTTCTTAACCTGAGGTACTATTTCTGGGTTAGCGGAGTCTGTAACCTGAAGCATCTGTAAGCTGAAGCATCTGTAACCCGAGGTACCACTGTAAAGGTTTAAACCATGAAACAGAACCATTTTTTTAAAAATCCCTTGCTGCAACTTCAAGTCACATAATTAAGGAAACATGTAGTTAGGCCCTGAGAAGACTGTTCAAGTGGGTCACTTGGATAGTGTTGTGTATGGGCTTCACGCAAACGCCAGCAGAAGTGGTGCAAACATTACCTCTTAATGACAGTGTCACTTTTTTATTAGAACAAACTGTTCCATCTGACCCATAAATAACCTCAGCGCTAATCAGTCCTTTTAAACTTTTCCTCTTTTCTTTCTTTTTTGACAATGTGGATGACTCATTCAGAATGCTGGTTTGTGGTTGTGTTTAAGTGAAGGGTGCAGTTGCTTCTTCAGAGACACAAGGGAAATTCTGCCTTTCAGCCCTTTTGCTCTGGCCTAGACTGTCTTGTTTCGGGGGTTTTGGTTCAGTTTTTCCCCTGCTGACTAGTGCCATCAAGTGGTGCCTGGGAATGTTTTCGTAACAGAGTGAAGAACAAACAGTGAAGTCTCCCTGTATTGCCAAAGTCTCTCTAGAAAGAGAAAATACTGCATGGCTAACTGGCTTGAGAATTTTCTTTTTAACTGGAACGTCCTCCCAGCAGACGTCAAGGCAATAAGCAACTATCTGACTTTTAGAAGACATCAGAAGGCAACCCTGTTTAGGGAAGTTTTTAATGTTTGGTGTTTTATCATGTTTTTAATATTCTGTCGGGAGCTGCCCAGAGTGACTGGGGAAACCCAGCCAGATGGGCGGGGTATAAATTATTTATTATTATTATTATTATTATTATTATTATTATTATTAATATTATTATTATTTTTTATTATTATTATTATTATTATTATTATTATAATATTATTATTATTATTATTATTATTATTATTATTATTATTATTATTGACATAACTGTTTAAAAAAACAACAACAAACAAACAGATCCACTAAGTATGATCACTGGCTATTATCAATTATATATATATATTTTTAATGAATCATAGGCAGAACTAGGATTGGCTAAGCCAGGGGAAGCATCAGAGATGGAACCTGGACAGATTTGGTAAACTTAGTATTTTAGCAGCTTTTGGGTAGAAGCTGGAATCATCTGTGTCATGGTGGAACCTAACAATCTGGGAGCTTTCAAAGAGCATTGTGGATATAAGCTGAGGTGCTAAACATGGTGGCCATTCATTTCAATGCTGTGTGAGAGAGTATAAAACAAAGACTGCAGTAGAGCAGGGAGACTCTCCAGATCCCTTGGACTACAACTCCCATCATCCCTGACCGTTGGCCATGTTGGCAAGGTAGGACTGATGCACATTACAGTCCAAGAACATCTGAAGGGCACCACATTGACTGCTCTTGATTAGTAGAGAAAATTTAAGACCCTCTCTCTTTAAACTTGGACGAGGCTCCTTACCTTCAAATCATCCTTTTTCCCCCATTTATAATTTACTGCAAACATCTAATGCATGTCTAAAAATAGTTTCGTGAAAAGGAGCACAAATATTAATGTAGCATTTTAATGTTCCCAAGAGAAGGCAACTTTTAAAAGAAGATTATTTGGCTGCCAAAAAATTGGTCTTTTGATTGCATACTTCATTTTGTTTCCTATCTCTCTGTGAATTTGCCATTTATAGATCATCTGCTGTATTAAAACACGGAACGTATCTATGACGCATATTGAGTTTGCTTTATGCTTTCCTTTCCCCTGAAGGAAATTGGAAACAAAACAACACTGTGAAAAGGTGGAAACGACCTTGCCTCTTTTAACAAGAAGAAAGCATCATATTCGCATTCATGCAAACGTGACCATATGGGTATCAGGCCGCTATTCCCACGAGGGATGTGTGACAACAAAGAAAATTTCATTCGTGCCCAGCAAAACAAGTACATTACATTTCTTCCATAGTCTGAAGCTGCAGATTTTATTGTAAAATAGTTCTGGTTTTGTTATTGTATTTTTTTTCCTAGGGCAGCAAACATGTTAGCCAGCAAATTCCAACACATGCAATTCTCTTTCATACTCACAGTTACCAGGCATAATTTTATGCAAGCCTGTCCTCCTACCCAGATACAATTTATGTGGTGAGGCCTCACCACCACATGGGGAAGAACTTTTTCTAGACCATTGAAAGAACTGAGTATAGTTAGCACAGAGATGAGAATATTAAGCGGGGGTGATATAATAGCAGTCATCATATAACTGAAGGGTATCTGGATTTGTTCACATTAGTGCCTTGAAACGCAGCAGGATCCCACCCCTAGCTGTGTTTAAAACTGTATTTGCACAGCTGTTCACTTCAGAGATGGGGCTGGAATGTCTTCACCTGGCATGCATGACCTTTTGGGTCCGTCCCCCATTACCGCTTACTGTGCATCCAGTTTTTGAATTGGTTTGATGGGTAAACCATATCAAGCAGCAGTATTTGACAATAAATTACAGGATCAATATGGGCTGCGGCTATAACCTTTGCAGTGGAGCCCATTCAATCACCTCAAGTACAGATCCCTGTGGAACGCCCTCCCATCAGATGTCAAGGAAATAAACTATCTGACTTTTAGAAGACATCTGAAGGCTGCCCTGTTTAGGGAAGTTTTTAATGTTTGATGTTTTATCTTTTTAAATGTTTTGTTACGTGGAGTATAATTTATTAATTATTATTATTATTATTACTATTTGTTTTTATTATACTACAATGCTAATTTTAAGGCATCCCCATTATAGCATCTGCTAGGGCATCTTATACTGCAACTCCTGCAGCCCCATAGCTGTCAACTTTCAGATTTGAAAATTAAGGGATCAGCACCCTCAAAAATAAGGGATCAGCAGCCTCACCTGTCCTGGGGACAGTCTACAGGATATCTAACAATCCGGGATTAGCAGCGGGAAGCAGCGGGAAACGGTGCTGGAATAAGGGAATTTCCCGCAAAAAAAGGGAAGGTTGACAGCTATGTGCAGCCCAAATGGTGCCAAACATATTGCTCTGCTTTCCTTTGGACCACATCAGTGAGGCCAAGACGTGTCTTGTCATATGGGCAGCCCAGGTCCTCCAGACACACTGCCCAGGCTTGCACTCCAGAGAAGTCACTTTGAAGCTGCTTATGCAGCATTTTGGCTTCACCCCTAGAAGCGCACTGCATTGTCTCTCGAGACAGATGAATGCCAACAACAACAAAGTGTGATAAAATGGTGCCCACTGCTAAGGTTATATAGTGAATGTGTGCTGAAACCCTGCCCTTTTAAAAAAGATGGGAAAATGGAATAAAAACTCTAAGTGCATCTGCAGCTGCTGAAATTATGTTCTTTTTCTGTTCTGAAAAGTGCCAGACTTTTCTGTGGTCTTAAAAAAGGTGGAAGAACCCCAGGGAGAATACGGTCTGCTTATGATCAGATTATGGTGTTGTGTGGATGCCCCATTAAAAGTGAACAAAGCATGGCAATTCCACATTAAATGCCAAGTGTGGATGCACCCTGTGACTAGGAGAAACTGCATGCAAATTATTTTCTATTTGGTTGTTTTGTTTTTGCATTTTAGAGAAATGTCCTTCACCCTTCAGAATAAGAGCTTATCAGTTGCTCCACAAACTAATAATTATGTGGGACTCACCAAGAGATGTACTACAGTATGAACTTCAATACAAGGAAGAAATGCAAGCAACCTCATCCTGGATATCAGTATGTAAATCAATAAGATCTGTATTAGAAAGCTTCTTATGGGCCAATATGGGCTGCCATATGTCTGGATTTTCCCACACATTACCAGGATTTCAACAACTTTCGTGTTTTCTTTTTAAAAAGTGCAACAATTTGGGGGTCTTCCATAAAAAAGTCAACAACTTTCTGGGTGTCCTGGTTTTTACTTTTTGAAATATGGCAACCCTATTCTTGTGGGCATCTAGTTTGGCCACTGTGAGAACAGAATACTGGACTAAATAGGCCTTTGGCCAGATCCTACACAACTCTTCTTTTGTTCTTCATCAGAAAAATCTTAGCACTGACTTCCCCCTGAGTTTCTGCTGCACTTTCAACGTTGCCGAATTCAAATGTTGCAGTGGCTTTCTTACTTTATCTTCCTTTTACTGTTCCTACTGCTCATGTTTCAGTGGTTAAATTCAGGTGTCAAATTTATGATGCAGATTAAGCTGGCCTTTTGTACAAACTGTGTCAGTTTTTTATTTTGCTCAATTATTGCTTTGGTTGCTGGATTTGCAACTAATTCTTACAGTGCCTTTGATATGCCTCCAGCTGCATAGGGATTAATTGAAGGGTTTGGGTACTCCTCTCTAATGAAGGAATTTAAGAAGAGGTTGAAAAGCATGTGTAGAGTTATTCAGCCTGGATTTCATAACCTCGGACATCTACTTCCTATCCCATTGACACTGCCCTGCTAAACACTGATTGCCATTTTAATTAAGGCACCTGGCCTTTGGGAAGAACTCCAGCGGATAATCTGAGAATTATTAATTGTACTTATTTGCAGGTTCCTATAGAGAATGGGATCTTTAATGCAACTATCTTCAGCGTAAATATATCATCATCATATGTTGCTCGCCTCAGATGTAAACCCCCTGGTAAAAGTTGTTCTGTTTGTGCTTGGAATGAAGAAATTATGATCCCACATAGTAAGTGCCATGCATATTAATTTAATCATGGGTGTATTTCAGTTGTTTGGCTTTGTTTAAGAATGAAATTCTGACTGTAAATATGCTTCTGGGTTTAAATTTCCCATGTTGTTATTTACCAGAGCTTACTGAAAAGCCAACCATTGTGGAAAATGCAACTGAAAAGATAGCACAAGGAAAAATAAGTATCTTTCTTAAATGGAAGGTAATGTATTATATTTTTATGCTACTCTTCTTCCTTGGAGCTCAGGCAAAGCCCCATCCACTTATATCCTTACAGCGATCCTATCAGCTAGAATAGACGCGGTGTTGAGTAGCTCAGAGTCAGCCAGGGAACATACCGTATTTTTTGCTCTATAAGACTCACTTTTTCCCTCCTAAAAAGTAAGGGGAAATGTGTGTGTGTCTTATGGAGTGAATGCAGGCTGCACAGCTATCCCAGAAGCCAGAACAGCAAGAGGGATTGCTGCTTTCACTGTGTAGCGATCCCTCTTGCTGTTCTGGCTTCTGAGATTCAGAATATTTTTTTTCTTGTTTTCCTCCTCCAAAAACTAGGTGCGTCTTGTGGTCTGGTGCATCTTATAGAGCGAAAAATATGGTAATTGCTCAGCAGAGATTTTAACTCCACTTTCAAAATTCTGTCTACTATATCATAGGGTGTCTAGTTTGGACATATTTGATAAGTATGTTAAATTTGTGAAACGAATGTAATTAACAAACAGCTACTCTGTACTGTGGCTACATAAATGACGAAGAGCCAGGTCAGATGGAATGATCCAGTCCAACAAATCATCATGTGCCTTGTCTCAGTACTTTCTGGTTTATTTAACCAGTGTTTCCTGTGATGTCTGAATTAGAAATCAGTTTGAGCAGTGCCGAGTAAGATTGGTCAAACTACAGTTTCCTAGTTTGGATATTGGGAAACTGGTTCAACAGACCAGGGTGTATTGAGTTAAGGCTTGAGAGAAGGGAATGAAGGCATCCAGAGGACTGCATAGGCACACGGTTGGTTGGTTGGTTGGTTGGTTGGTCAACAAACATTGCATCTGAACCAAGCCATAGTAATAGTCAGTAATAATGAAGGCTGTTGTGTGATATTTACAAAACAGACAAGAAAATATATACAGAGATAAAATTGATACTGGAATTATATCTATCATCAAAAATTTATGCTTTTATAATTTAGTTTGGTATGGATTGCAGCTTTCACTGTGCCTGCAATATTTCATGTCATTTTATTTCTGGTGCATAATAACTGTTTAATGTTCATCTTTGCTTATATTAGACAACACAAAGCAGGAATACCATTGGTTACAATATAAGCGTCGAAAGAATACCCCACTATTGCCACCACATACGGACACACCTCAACATAACAGAGAACTGGGTGCATCTGAATCTCTCCATGGCTTATTACAGAATCAAAATCTTTGCCTACAATGAAGCAGGAGAATCCCCTCCGCTAACATACCTGGTTCCAGATTTCACTGCAAAAGCTACGGGTAGAGTATTTTTCTGTCAAGAAGAATGCATAAAGAAAATATGGTGAAGGACCAAACTTCCCTTTTTTGAGTTTTGAGGCAGCATAAGTGGAATTCAATCAATGTGTTTGCTTGTTACACTATTTCTATCCGACTTACGTATCTGTCTGAACTCACTAAGGACACAATGCAGGGCTGGTTTCAGTGTGCTTAAGCCCATTTGAAGCAGCAGCTTGAGGGCACTTAATTGTGCCAATTGTGGACATCATGTCATGCTGAAACTGTAAGATGAAATACAGTGGTGCCTCGCAAGACGAAATTAATTCGTTCCGCAAGTCTCTTCGTCTTGCGAGTTTTTCGTCTTGCGATGCACGGTTTCCCATAGGAATGCATTGAAAATCAATTAATGCGTTCCTAGGGAAACCGCCTTCAGACCAGGTCCGGGGACAGTCTGTCCCCGGACCTCTTCTGAAGGCTGGGGGCAAGGGCTTTTCTTCCCACCCCCAGCATTTTAAAACCCCGGGACAGCGGAGGACTTCTCCGCTGTCCGGGCGATCTTAAAATGCTGGCGGGCGGCATTTAAAATCACCCCGGGACAGCGGAGGACTTCTCCGCTGTCCGGGGCAATTTAAAAGCCCCTGGGAAGGCAGGCAGGGGGACAAGACTTTTGCCCTCGCCAGCCTTCAGAAGAGGTCCTGGACCTCTTCTGAAGGCGGGGGGGCGAAAGTCTTTGCTCCCCCCGCCTTCAAAAGCCCTCCGGGACAGGCAGGCAGGGGGGAGCAAAGACTTTCGCCCCCGCCCGCCTTCAGAAGGTCTTCCTCCCCCCGCCCGGCTTCGGAGCACCGTTCCGAGCCGGGCGGCGGCGGAGGTCTTCCCTCCCCCGCCCGGCTTCGGAGCACCGTTCCGAGCCGGGCGGCGGCGGAGGTGTTCCCTCCCCCGCCCGGCTTCGGAGCACCGGTCCGACGCCGGGCGGCGGGGGGAGGTCGTCCCTCCCCACCGCCCGGCTTCGGAGCACCGTTCCGAAGCCGGGCAGAGGCGGGAGGTCTTCCCTCCCCCCCCGCCCGGCTTCGGAGCACCGTTCCGAAGCCGGGCGGCGGCGGCAGGTGTTCCCTCCCCCCCGCCGGCTTCGGAGCACCGTTCCGAGCCGGGCGGCGGCGGAGGTGTTCCCTCCCCGCCCGGCTCGGAGCACCGTTCCGAGCCGGGCGGCGGCGGCAGGTGTTCCCTCCCCCGCCCGGCTCGGAGGAGCCTTCCGAGCCCGGCGGCGGCGGGAGGAGGTGTCCCCGCCCCGCCGCCAGGCTTCGGAGGAGGTCCGAGGACAGTGGGGAAGACGCGCTGCGCTTCCCCGCTGTCCCTGAGATTTCCTATGGGCTGTCGTCGTGCGAAGCAAGCCCATAGGGAAATTCGTTTTGCGAAGCGCCTCCAAAACGGAAAACCCTTTCGTCTAGCGGGTTTTCCGTCTTGCGAGGCGTTCGTCTTGCGGGGTACCACTGTAGTGTTTACATGCCAGTGGACTCCCAAGTACATGTGTCAGAATGCCCGTCCAAGAGGGTGTTGGGTTTTCTTAACGCTCTGTTATTTTTAATAGTTCCCTTTCCCATTGCAGATTTACGTGGCCAGTTCAACCTTTCAAATCAGCAAAATTATTCTGTTATCACCTGGGATCTAAAACACAGTTCAGATTGCATTGTGATCGACTGGGGCACTGGATTAGAAGACATGAAGATTCATGTTTCTACTTGGAAAAATGAGATACGACTAGGTATTAAATTCAATTTCTATAAAACTGACAAGCAGGTTTCATTGTTTGCTTCTAGACACTTAAAATAATCAGACATAAATAATCTGTTAACTACTTCACTTGGGTTCTGATCATGTTGAACAGTTCATGAACCAGGATAACAACGTAGGAGGGGCCATTCTGGATCAGACCAGAGACCCATTTTGTTCTCACAGGTGGCTATGGGACAGACATGAGCAGAATAGCATTCTCAGACATATTCCCCAGCATCTTGTTTTAAGAGGCACTGTACGGCTGACACTTACATAGACATAATAACTTTGCCAACCTTATCCTCTGTTTCATGGTAGCAAATTCCATAGTTTAACTGTGTGTTTTGTAAAATACTTTTCATCTGACCTGAATGGTCAACCACTCAGCTTTGTTGGAAAACCCCAGATTCTAGTATTAGGAGAGACAAACTTCTCCTTATCCACTTCCTTCATATTCTCAGTGTGTGTCTACATTTGCACTAGCAGTGCACTGTGCTGTGCAGTACAGTGTGATTAAGCCCATTGAAAGCAAACATTTATGGCCTTGGAAACCTGCTTTGACATGTGGATCTCCTTTCCTGGACTATTTATAATTTGATCAGCAGATCTTATTTTCAAAATTGCTAGCTATCTTTTAACCAAGACGACCAGGGCATTATAATACAACCAGAAACACAAGCACTGTCAGAGCCATCTGTCAAGCAAGCCCAAACAGACTTTGCAGGATTTCAGATTTCCAGCAAATTTTGTAGGTGTAGAAACAAGTTTTCAAACAGAACTGGACAATAGAAAGCAAGTGCAGTTGCTGTGCATCTTCTGTTTCTGTGAAGCTTGCACTGAAATCCTGCATAGTATTGGATGAAATATGCCATGCCAAAGCCAAAGGCACAAACCTCAATGAATCCAGAGGATATCCAGTCACTATTCACTTTTGTTTTCTTTCTTGCTCTGTCCTGCTTTCCCTTTTCATCATCCCAGCCACTAACAACGAATTCCAGTTTCAGAAAAAAGTACCATCAATAGTGGTTAGATGAAAAGCAACAGATATATCAAAAACCCCACACTGTGCCTGCTCATTAGCAAGCCATGGGGGAAAGATTTATACATTTCAGACACAGCAGAACAACAATATACATAGATGAGAAGATTCCCTTTGCCCACAGCTACCTAGTGCCATGAAGTGTACTTACTGTCCTGTCACAGGCTAGATAGCTTTTCCTCATCTTCCTGAAAATGTGTCCTTGCAAAGCCCAATAATAATTCCTTAGCTTGTTATACGAAGACCATCTGATTTATGTGCAAAGAACCTCTAATTCAGGGACGTTTTGCAGCACTCTCTTTCTGCATATTGATAGGGATCGCACAGGTGATTCTAGCAAACAGATCAATCGGGATTAGCCGTAATGTACCTTGGAAGGCATCTGATCTGAGGTTGCCATCAATTATTCATCCCCTGTTTTCCTTGACCTTCTTTTATTACATGTTCATCCCCTTCAGGTTGCTTTTTTTAAAGCTTCCGGAACAAGAAAAATCCATACTTGAACCATCAGGAGTAAAGTCATTTTCGTTTCCCCACAGCATCTCAACCTTGTAGATGTAGCAAGCTTAGCATATTTTGAAAAGCAAGGCCATCTGCTATATAATGCCGTCTGATTTAAACAATTGAACACTTGCATTATCTGAAGGTGGATGGGAATGCACGTATATCCAACAAATTCATGTGCACGGTCTTCTTAGATTCCTGGGTTTCAGGTGTACGTGTGGCAGAATTATGTTATGAATTATACATTTGCAAGTGGCAATGTCTGTGTCTACCATCTAGATGGCCTCCAATCGTATAAGTTATATAAAGTAACATTTCATGCATTTGACTGTCAGTGTGAGGATTTCATGAAACGTGAATGGACGCTGGCCAGGACTTACTTCTATGCAGTGGAAGGAGGTATATCTTCATATTTTTCTAATATAATTTCTTCTTGTTTCTATTCCAACTTTTAATAAGTACTCATAAGGGTTGTACTGCAATGAGTAGACACTAACCTAAGGCAGGGGTAACCAACATGTTGCCCTCCAGATGTTGTGGACTACAACTCCCATCACCCATGACCATTGGCCATGTTGGCTGGGTCTTGTGGGAACTGTAGTCCAAAACACCTGGAGAGGGCCATGTTAACTATCCTGATGTAAGTGTATACTCCACACTATAATGGACTTGTTTGGGGCATTTGATGAAGTTAGTTCCCCAATTTAATCATTATTTAATAATTCAATTATTATTCAATTATTTTATTTATATCCCCCCCCCCACATTTCCATAAAACATTATTCTGCTCTATTCTTTTTCAAACATTCTGATATTCCTTCAGTTCTGCTGCATCAGAACTCTGGCAGGAATTTTGGAATGTTGGAATGGGAGTTTGCATATGCTTTCTCACTATGAATAAGTGTGGACATCACAATAAATCATGGTTTATTGTTGCATGATTTGGACATAGTGGTGGACTGCATGTTGGCCAGTAAACTGAGCTTGAACCCTGGGGAAATGCAGGCGCTGTGGGTGGGTGGCTCCCATGTCTAGAAGATGGGCCAGTCAGCTGTTCTGAACTGGGTTGCGCTCCCTCTGAAAGAGTATGTTCATAATTTGGGGATGCCCCTGGAGACACCTTCAACACTGGAGGCCCAGGTAACCTCAGTGGCTAGGAGTGCCTTTTACTACCCACTGCTGGGATACCAACTATGGCCATTCTTGCACAGAGATAGTCTGACCACTGTAATTCATGCATTTGGGGCAGACCAAAGCCTTGGTGACCACCAGTCAGTGGGTAAGCCCAAGAGGGCAGAAAATGCATAAAACTAGCTGAGGAAAGTTAGTTTGGGAGAAAAAAAACACCCTCAACTAATTTGGAGACTCTCTTTTAAGTTCCCAAAAAAGGTCCAGCTAATGTAACCGTTCCAGTTGTGACGAAGCAGTCAGCTGTTGTGAAATGGGATGCCATACCTACAGAAGAGTGCTTAGGATTCCTTCTGGGTTACAGAATTCGCTACACCGAAATCTTGAAAAACCTCTCTGTGGGTAGGTCACTTTGTTGACTGGACGTTATCATTGAAAGATTCGTCATCTAGTTCACACTCAACGGCAGCATTTTGTTTCTAAATTGAAAAACGTCGGAGGAAATTGCACGTGGCTGTGGCTGATGGGAGTTGTAGTCCAATAATATCTGAAGGATGACAACTTTCCCATCACTGGATCAGAGTAAAAAAATGCCAAAACTGATATAATTTCAGTCACCAAGACTCCTTTATCTATCAACAACAACACATTTACCGTGGCATCTTTGAATGCTCAAAGCACTTCCTCTATTTCTTCAGAGAAATGTCACAACAATCCTGTAAAGCAGATCATGTACTCTCATTTCCATATTGCAGATGCAGAGTTGAGGCTGAGAGAGCGTGGCTTTCCTAAGGTTCCCTGCTGAGTTCATGGCAGGGACAACAAGATCCATACTGAGAACGTTCTTTCTCCGATAGTCAGAACAACTAACTATTATAGAAAGTGTTTAATTGCAGAAGCCTGGTGGGAAAGAAGTGCTTTCAGCAAATGTTTAAAGGTCAACATAGAAGGTGCCTAATGAATTTCTATTGGAAGAGCATTCAACAGGGCTTGGTCTATGATGCTAAAGGCTCAGTTCATGTCTATCTCAAATGAGCCTCACCAACACATGAGAAAAACCAGTGATGCTCCTACAGATGATCTCAGTGCCTGAACTGGGATATATTCTGTATATATCTATACAGAGGTATCGAAATCTTATATTGGTCTCATGCTCTGTCATAGCATTTTGATTTCCCCCCTCTTGTGTTGCAGCTGTTACTGTCGGTCCTTCAACTCAGCAGTACCTCATGACGGGACTTACGGCAAAAACTCTTTATAGAGTGCAGACCTCAGGACTCACCAGTAAGGGAGAAGGAGCTCAAAGCCAGCCACAAATTTTTACTACCCTGAAATACGGTATTGCAAAGCTTTTAAGAATTTATTTTTATTTTTCAGTATAAATATTGCCGGGATGGATAAGTGTCAAACAATTAAAGCAGTAGGTGGCATCTAATCCCACTTCCTCTCATGAATACTGGGGCACCCCATTTTTGCTGAGCACTTAAGCTCTCTGCCCCATTCCCAAAGCAACTCCCAAGGACTGAGATTACCTCTGTAGCAGATTAGGATGTGGCGCAGAGGGCTGGTGGGGGTGGGGGTGTCAGCAGAACAAATAGGTGTCCCCATATAACATAAGCAGAAATGTCACTCACCTCAGCCTAGATGACCATTGGAGTAGTCAGTCCTTCCATTTCTACCTGAATTATTTGTATGGGAAAGTACTGCATTTATTTATGCATTCCTATTAGTATATACAGTGGTACCTCAGGTTACATACGCTTCAGGTTACATATGCTTCAGGTTACAGACTCCACTAACCCAGAAATAGTACCTCGGGTTAAGAACTTCGCTTCAGGATAAGAACAGAAATCGCACGACAACGGCACGGCAGCAGCAGCAGCGGGAGGCCCCATTAGCTAAAGTGGTGCTTCAGGTTAAGAACAGTTTCAGGTTAAGAACAGACCTCCGGAATGAATTAAGTACTTAACCCGAGGTACCACTGTACCCTCAATTTTAGCCTGGAGGGAATAAGAGCTGCACCCATTTGATTTTTAGCCATGCAAACATAAACAAGAGTCAGGCAGGTGTGGTCATAATAAGCGTAAGCCCCCATTCAGCACAAATGGATCCCTGGGAAAGTATTTCTTCTTCATTTTTAATTGACTAGGACACAATATGAGATGGAAAGGAATAGGCATTTATGCTGACAGAGGGAAGTTGACCCTGAAAAGCTTTCTAGCTAGGGGACATATTTATAATCTCCTCTGTTTCCACTGTTCAGGCTGTGAGTTCCGTTACTTCTGTATCCAAAAATAGCATTGCACACAAGAGAGAGCGATCAGCAAGTCTGGGGGAATCCAAAGGGAGAGACCCCCCCAAAACAGCCCAGTAAAAACTGGGTGTGTGCAGAGGCCAAAGGAGGCTGGCTGTTGGTGGGGAGGGGAAGAGAGTGGGGTAGCTAGAACACTGAACAAAAGCACTTCATCCTGCAAAATTTAGCTTGACATCTCTCTAGAGGCCTCCTTAATTGTAAAGGAGGTTCCATTAGCCCTCTGTGCAAATGGTTTGATTGTCAAATGATCTTTGTTAAGCTGTTTTCCAATACGTAACCTAAACGAGTGTTCTGAACATTCCAATCATCAGATCCTGGGGAGTTTGAAGGAAGTGTGGCTGGCCTCTGTCTTGGCCTCATGGTGACCATGGCTGCCATTGCCATGCTTTGTTCCCTGATACTTAAAAGGTAAGAGATTTTCCTTGCCTTGCATATTTTCATCCAGCCTATATTACTTATTAAGCACAAGTAAGCAACATGGTTAAAGCCAATATTGTCTGGTGGTTAGAGAGTTGGAGCGGGTCTTCCAGGGAGTCATCTACTAAACCTCTGTCAGTTCACTCTCATTATGTTTCCCTTCTATGAAACCACCCTGAGATCTATGGGTATAAGGCAATATACAAATTTAATAAATAGATTTTAAAAAAACAGAATACTGACCAAAAAGTAACAGTGACCTACAATACAGGATTGTTTGTGAGAAATATAAAGGCTCTAAAGCACTTGGCATTAGCAAATTATAAACTACCTATTCCTTAAGGCCATGAAATGTGCAAGTTTATCCATGAAAATCACCATACTGTGACAGATAGGAGTAAATTATTTGCTGAGAACAACTTTTGGTCTGGAGATTCAGGTCTGAAAAAGCAAATCGTCTGATGCGTTTAAAATGTTTTTTAAAAAAAAATACTGAAAGCTTTTTTTTTAAAAAATGAACATTTAAATAACATTTAGAATAAATACATGCCCAAGGGACGGGCTTATTAACTGAGTGTGGTTTTAATCTGTTTTACTATTTTAACTATTGCATGTTTTGAAGTATGGTTGTGTTTCCCCTGCCTCAGTTTATGAAATAAATAAATAAAATAATAGTTCCCAGGATCTTTGCACTTTTTGGCTGGAACACCGGAAATCAGAAGGTTTTACTCCTTAGTGAACAATAGAGAAGATAACTGCCTGCCTTTTTTAAATGTGTGTAACTCTGTAAAGAAAAGAGCTATAATATATAAAGAGAAGGGTGCAGTCTTGGGGAGCATTATAGGAAACAGCAGGCCCAGCTCTTTGTGGGTGGAAAAGGCAATCCTTGGGTAGGGGTGGTCCGTTCTCCTCACTGCCCTTTACCATACCATACTATGGCTGGTCAGGGGAGGATTTGATTCTGCTGAACCCAAAGCCCCCTTCTTCCCTGGACACCATACTCTCTCCCTTTATTTTTTAAACTTTTTAGATGGAAAAAGCAAAGAGGGATAGGAAGCTAAAAAGCCACTAGAGCTTAGGAAGGAGCAATAACCCCATCATGGATCCTCTCCCTCATCTCATAGGATTTTTCTGCCTGACAAGGAGAATATTCCTTTGTTCTGAGTGATTATTTGGGAATTACTCTGTGTTTTCTCCTTCAAGCTTAAGAATTGTGTTTTCCTGTTCCCTTTGGGTTTCTTTTCCAAAACCCACCCACCACATAAATGGTTACCAAAAGCAGTTAAAACTGCCCTTGGCACTTGGTCTTTCAGCTGTTCACCATACAAAAATCCTGGTACAAATGTTGCAGAAAGGCTGTTGTTGACCCCATTTCTGCCAACTCGGTCCCCTTTCTTTCAAACATTTCTAAACTGCCTTTCATCAAAAATCCCAGAGTGGTTTACAGTTCGTAAATACCAACACAATGAAAACAATTAATTAGACTTTAACACAGTAAAAACAGTAGCCAAGCAACAGGGTGTATTGATGACCAGCAAAGACGCAGGTGAACGTTAAGTATCTGACCAATATAGACGTCAGAATGGAGCTTGGGCAACTTTTAAGATGTTAATAAATGACTATGCTCTAACAAGCTTAAACAAAAATTGTCCTTGCAGATCAAGAAAGCTATGTTGGCCAGCTGTACCAAATCCAAAATATAGCGCTGCTCTGCTGAGTATGGAGAGAACCACACCAGTGGTATGCAAATACTGTTTTGAAGCGTTACATTACCATTTGTTACTACCTGCTTCTCTGTATATGCTTCTGTTATAGATAAGGTAAAAAGGTAAAAAAGAAAAGAAAAAAGAGGTTGCTAAGAGCCAGTGCGGTGTAGTGGTTAAAGAGCGGTAGTCTCGTAATCTGGTGAACCGGGTTCGCGTCTCCGCTCCTCCACATGCAGCTGCTGGGTGACCTTGGGCTTGTCACACTTCTTTGAAGTCTCTCAGCCCCACTCACCTCACAGAGTGTTTGTTGTGGGGGAGGAAGGGAAAGGAGAATATTAGCCGCTTTGAGACTCCTTAGCGTAGTGATAAAGCGGGATATCAAATCCAAACTCTTCTATTAAAACCAGAGTTATAATGCAATCAAGCATCAGACAAGTGCGACATCTGCTTTTAGAGATAGCATGTCTCTAAACACTAGTTGCTAGGGATCTCTGCCCACTGAATTGGCTTCCTATAGGGACCTTTTTTATTTCTGGATCATAAATTTGATTTTCCCATGCAGTCACCTACAGGGCTACACACACAGAAAGGCTATAATAAATGCAGGAAAATACTAGCATGCTGGGGTCATTTTCACATAAGGGTTGATTCCTAACCCATGCACCATTGCCCAAAACAATTATAGCTGAACTATTCATTTGCAGCTTTTTATCTGCTGAGTTTATTTAATCGGTGTATAAAAGCCTACATTTTTTTAAAGAAAAATGGTATATGTTTTCTATTGCACTTTGACATCTGATTTTATGCAAACACTGCAAGTTAAAATGTTTCTAGCCAGCTCTGCTGTACTGTTTTTAATACTTGATTGGGAGCCGCCCAGAGTGGCTGGGGAAACTCAGCCAGATGGGCGGGGTATAAACAATCAATTAATTATTATTATTATTATTATTATTATTATTATTTATTATTATAGGCCAACAAGAAATGGAAGGCAAAACCTAGGCTGCATTGAAGGGGACAATGGAAGATTAATTCAGTTTGCTTAATATAGTATTGTCAGAGCTGGCTCCAGGTCCCAGCTCACAGAGGACCAACGCTAGCCGGCAGTAATGTACAAAAGTCTTTATTGAAGTACAGTTTCCATTTTCAAGCCGCAGCGCCCCAGCTCTACGTCTAGGGGTTAGATCGGCGAAGCTCCATCTGAGTCTCCGACCCCTGTACACCAGTTTAAGATTCTAGCCTTACTCCACCTCTTACGTCTCTCCTTTCTCCTCTGGGTCCTGCTACCCCCCGGGGTCCCTTCCTTCCTGGATTCTTCTGACGCTGACCCCCTTGACTCCTCCCCCTCTTTTCGGCGGGCTTTGGGACCTGGCTCCCTATCCGGGCTGCCAACTGCGCCGCCCTCCTGTACATTTGAACTTTGCGCGCGCGCCCAGCCTTCAACCTTCCTCTCGACCGTTTCCTCGCTCCCCGATGGAGGCGTGGCCAATCCTGACTCATGTCCTCCCACTGGCAGTGCGCCGCCTGATCCCGATGCCTGGGACCCCTCCCCCCTACTGCACTCTGGTGTGGACGCTGGTCCTGATTTCCAACTGCTGCTCTCTGAGTCCCCTCTGGCCCCTTCTTCCTGGGGTGTCCCCTCGGCACCCCCTTGCTCTGACCAAGGGAGCCCCTTTCTGTGAATCTTCCGATTCGCTGGAAAGACTCAGAGACCTCGGACCGCTGTCATCGCTAACATTTCCTTCGGACTCCTCCCCCTCGCTCTCTATTTCCTCCCTTTCCTGTGCCTCTGCTCCTGAACCCCTGACAAGTATATAGGGAGTGAATGAGCTCACTTAGTCCCTACTGGAAAATTCTGTTATGTATGGGTGAATGATATAACCCAGGGGTCAGCAAACCTTTTCAGCAGGGGGCCAGTCAACTGTCCCTAAGAACTTGTGCGGGGCCAGACTATATTTTGAAGGGAAAAAATGAACAAATTCCTATGCCCCACAAATAACTCAGAGATGCATTTTAAATAAAAGCACACATTCTACTCAAGTAAAAACACGCTGATTCCCGGACCATCCGCGGGCCGGATTTAGAAGGCGATTGGGCTGGATCCGGCCCCTGGGCCTTAGTTTGCCTACCCATGGTATAACCATATAAGAGTAATACCAGTAGGTAGTCAGGTCATTTTCATCATATGAAAATGCTTTTCATTAAATTTAATTTTGATATGAAAGAATTCATTTACCATTTAGTGCACTTTTCAACGGGGGTCATAGTAAGGAACCAAACAAAACCGTAACAAGACTATGCATTGTCTTTATGTTTCAACTGTGCAGGTTCTTCTGCGACCCAGTTTACAGACTCCGTCACAAGCATATAATGAAGCCAATGAGCTTTATGTGGTAGATGATGATTCAGAGACACTGTTAAGACAAGGATCCCTTTCTTCAGGCACAGCTACAATGGTTTCCACAGACCATTCTGAAGCAGTCGCAAGGCAAATACTGGACACTACTCTGAAACCTTTGAAAATCCCTGACCAAGTCAGCAGCGGCGAGAAGGGAAAGGTTGGAGTTCACACTGATTATATTGGTGTGGCTGTCAGTCAGAGAGCCATGCAGAAGCTCTCAACACATCTCCCCAAAGGAGCAGCCCACCTAGAGAGGACGTTGATCAACAATTCAAGGAGACAACCAGCAGCACACACTGCTCAAAATCCTCTAATGCTAAATCAGGGGGTGCTTAGTCCAGCAACTTTGTCCTTAGAAAGCAGGTCAAAATTTGAGCAAAATCATCATGAACCACCTTGTTGAGATGAACAGCAATTAAAAGACAGATTCTGGCAGTAGGGCATGTCATTTTAGGGGTGAAACTTAACTTTTGCAAGTATATTCAGTGAGGGGTCTAAAAATATGTTATTGGCATGAGGGATTAAAATCTGCTATTGGTTTTGTGATTGGACGTTTAGGTAAGTCTACAAAGTTTGTAGTTTTGATTTTTATGCAATTTTGCAGTGTTCTACACACACAAAAATAAGACAAAGTTTAAAATTGGAAATTCCACAAAAACATAAAAGATGTCAATATTTTAATGTAGTTACTTACCAAGCAAAACTAAATTATATCCTATCAGTTTAACCAAAATATCTTTTGAATTCCCAAGTCATGTTGCAACTTTTCAGCACCCTTCATTTTTGGAATTTGAAAGTTGGAAAATTCAACACGCCCCATTCTGGCAATCCCTCCAATGCGATTTCTAAAAACAGGCGGCACATAACACTGTTGCATTAAATCCTTTGGGATGTATCTTATGATTACAAATCAGAACATAACTTCTGTTCATACAGATTAATATTTTTGGGGGAGGTGCGAGTGCTCCGAAAGGGTCCTAGAGCCTTCCCATTTCCTTCTAAAACTCTGCGCTAACTAGGCTTTGGGAAGGAGGAGGGAGAACTCTAGGACCCTGTCTAAGCCCTCGTGCCTCCTCCTTTGGGAGAATTATGGTTGGATGGGCTCACTTTTTTTGAGCCACACACAAAGGTACCAAGTGCTTTGCTCTATGTAATGTCCAGCAGCCTGTTGTAGTCTCGTTGCTGAGCAACATGCAGGGCTCAGTGGAGTGGGAGGCCAGCCAATCAGAAGAGTCTCTGAGGTGTACTTGCCTGGAGGCAGAGTCAGCATCCGAAGTCAGGTCCAGTCCTAGGGTTGGCTGAACAGCAATCTGTGTGGCGTGGTGGTCCAGGGTATCTGATGATCATGAGCTCAAGGGCCAAGACAAGCAGGAAGCAGCAAGGAACTACAAGCGTTGTTACCAACCTGTCTGCTGCTAGAAGCTGTGCTTAAGGCTGAAGCCAGCTGGTTCTCATCAGTGCCTTCTCCTAGGTGTCCTTGAAGGCTGATCAGCTGCAGGTGGAGTCGCTCCCCCTTCTCCCCCTTCAGGCTGCTGTTCAGCAGGCAAAGCTGACTCCTGGCCTCCTCATGGTGGTAATTTGCATGCATGTACATTTGCACATACATTATAATGTGTTCTGTCTTGTGCAATCTGTCTGTGCACTCACATTTTTTATTTTCATGGGGGCAGAAGTAGTGTCTGTAAGGATTTGATTAATAAACAATAGGTAAATAAGCAGGTTATGTAAGTAATTTATATAGTGAATATTCATAATTTTCTGTTCATATTTAGCCATTTTGTGTACTGATTTTATATAGCAAAGAGAAAATAATACACTTTAGAATGAATCAAGTGAATTTATCTGTACAATATAACTAAGCATCTTCACTTTCAAAAAGCGGTGCAGCCCACAAAATTGCTTCAGCTGCCTCATCTCTCTCTTACCTGTTGCTAAAAGTAGGCTAATTATTTTATTAAGCAGATGCTGCTACCCAACAAATCATAGGCATTCTTCTTTAAAGATGGGAGTTGGCAGATTGTGAGGCAGGGAAAGAGTTTTACTGGTGATGGACTTCTGGAAACAAGGAGAAAGGGAATATCAACCCCCCCCCCCAAAAAAAAGCCAAATTAGCAAATTAATCTCTTATTTAGCTTGATGATATACACTGTAGAACTCTGTTTATCTTACATTGAGGAAAACTATAGTCAGGATTCTGAATTCTGACCACCTGCTAGACTCAAGATGCTTTAAACAAGTTCCACCAAACTAAGTGGCAAGTTCTTACACAATTTAAGTTAAAAGAATTTCCTTGTAGGCTGGCTAGGAAGTATGCAGTTCAAAACCTGCCCCAGCCATGAACTCACTATAAGGATTTTCACAGCCTCAGACCATTACAAATGGGGAATAGCAGCAGCCTTGACAATAAATGTGAGGAACTTGAATTCTATGCATGTTAAATATTGGCATTACTTGATGTTGATATTTTATCATTTTTAACACACACACTTCCTCAATACTCCAGATTTTTTCATCTTTGCTATCACTGTAAATGCAAAGCACACATGTCAAAATACTAGCTCCATTAGTAAACAGTCCGTTTTCAGGCATTCCTTTAAAAAGTGAGCAAAAAATAACTTCCCTCTAAAATACTTAATTTTATTAGTGATAGTACCAAAGATAACAAGTATACAATCTTTACTCTATGCTACTTACACATCATAAATATGACAGCTGTTGTTCCAAGACACAATCTTTCAGTCTTTCAAGACGCATATGAGATTTGTCATTCCTTTATTATCAGAATAAGCTGTTTGCCAGCCAACTTCATGTGGCTTAAACATAAAAAAAAAGACTGTCCATACTTTACATGGTAAAGCATTCACTATAGTTTTAATGTACACAGAGGCCAAAAGGAGAGAAAAAAAACTTTTGACTATAACAAAAAACAATGGGCTATTAAAGCAGAGTCACAATCAATGGGCTTCATTTCCTTACAGCATGTTTTAATTTTTCCATTTACCATAAAAGGTTTACATTTGCATTAAGTGCAATTTAGAGAACACAAAATGAAAGCTAGTTTTTACTTGGCTTTTCCATCTCTTTCCTGTGAGGTAAGGCAATTTGATTGTGTTATGTTATATTCAAAACATTTCTTGATTTTAGTGTAATCTTATCTTATCTAAGCTTTTGTTGTCAGTCTTACAATGCTGAAATGAATTCAGAGAGGAGTTGCATTTGTCAGGTGCTGTTCTCTTACAGGCTATTTTTCAACAAGTAAACAGGAATCTGTGTGGTTTTATGTCTTCTCCAGGGAGAACTTGCAAGTTGTCCTTGTCATGCTTCACAACTGGTGTTAGAAGATAACTATTTTAAAAGGGCACTTTTGATTTCGATACCCAGTCCACAACCCGGTTATGATATACGTTTACTTAGAACTGTTCAATTCATCAGTTTGGCATACACTATAGTTAATTTATAGGATAACTGGATTGCAGACAGGGCCACATCCACTATATGATGATCCTTGAATCTTGATTTCAGCTATGACCCTTTTTTCCATTTAAACGTATCTTCAATCTGTTATCAAATAACCACCAAGTACACACAAGGCTGACCTCTCAGATGCTTACCTACTATTGTGATAGAACCATCTAGAAGATAAAGGATTAGACAAAGAGGGAATTAAATAACATGTGATTCCTAGGAATCACTATTCTGTGTTTCAAAGAAGGCACTAAAGCATTAGCTTGTGCTCCCACATCCCAACTCAAAAAGAAAACAATCTTGTCATGGGTATCTGTCCTGTTTGCAGGTGACTGGACACACTACAATATAGCTCAAAACGAAGCCGGTTGTTTGGAGATTACTACAGAGATGTGCTTATAGTTGGAAGAATGGAAATCTAGTATAAACATGGCCGTTCTTTCTAGAATCTGAACATTAGCATGCATTGATCAACTACTAGTAAGAGAAAGCTTTTAGTCTTATAAGGAAATTACTTAAAAATATAAAAAGAAAGTCACAAGCAACAAATTAAAGAATCTTCACTTGCCTTTGTGGGCATAAACACAATAACTGTAAAACTGTGTTAGGATAAAACTTGTCATCACTGTCATGTACAACAACAAGGGAAGCATGTGTATCTCTGCACCATTTTCAAGCACATTATCAAAACATATCACATTGAGTTTAGTTTAAAAACCCACAAAGCAAAACAAAAAAATTCAAACTACCAATATTTTAACAACTTTGAAAGCATCCCCAGCAACTTTTGTGGGTAGTACAGATTACAGCTTTCCACTTATTTGTAACAGCTGTCAACCAGTCTTATCACTGAAATGCATGGATTCCTACAGATGATCAGATCCAATGCTGTTGGCTCTTGTTGCAGCAGATCCTACTGGTCAGTGCTGCTTCTTGCTCATCTTCAAGTTGACCAAACCACCTAAAGAACCCGGAGTGCTGCTAGCACAACACAACATGTCCGGTTGATTGCTTGGTAATTTTTATTCTCTTTTGGTGGGTTGTGGGGGAGGGGAGGAAAAGCTTTGTCTCTTTCCACAGTTGGGTCAGAGGTCCATTCAGTCCTCTACACATCTTCTGTTTTAACTGAGAGGTTTTCTTCATTTGGTTGGCAGTTCCCATTCTGTTGTAGTTTGACTTCTTCTGCAGGAGGTGTGTCTTCCTTTTCTACTTTGTCAATTTCAGAATTCTGGTTCTCCTTACTCAGATCTTTATCCTGCACAAAGTTTTAAAAAGCAAAAAATGGTAGAATAAAAAGACTGTAAGAAATGTATGTTACATCAAATAACGTTCTGATACATTTCAGATTAGTATATATCACTTTAGTTATAGGATTTTGTTTTTAAAGATGCCCACTTGTTAAGAATAGATATGAGCAGCCAAATCTGTCTTCCCGATTAAAATATTACTGTCTGTGTATAAAAAATTGCACAACTACTTCTGCAGGCTCAATGAAGCCTCTTCCCCACCCCCATATGACATGGTGCTCCTCTAGTTTCAAAAGACTTTTTAAAGGCAGTTTGTGATACGGCATCAGGCATTGCTGACAGAGCGATGGTCAAAGCAAATCCTGGAGGATAAATAACACAATGGGGGAGAAACTAAAGAACAGCTTATTAGGACAAGAGGACCTATAGGATGTGGCCCTCAATCACTGAAATAGAGCTTGGGATTTCTGACAGAAAGAGGAAAAGGAGAACAAGCACTGGCGAGTCCTAGGACCAAGGTCTAATATTAGAGACAGGAGTGTTGAGGTCTAGGCCAGTTCTGCAAGTCTGTGTTTCTGGAAATGATGGGCCTTTTAGTATCCTGAACTATCAGAAGGACCAGGAGGCTGTATCTTCCTGATTCACCAAAACTAGGATAAAGTTTCTCAGGGGGTCTTCTTTTCTCCAACCCCTGACTAGGAACTAGGTGAAGTAACCTCTGCATTTCTTTTGCTGAACTCCCAGAAAATGCCATGAAACCCAATGATGTGGAGTTACCCTACCACAAACACCATGGCAACAAACAAAAATCAGGTTCCACTAGGCATGTCCCAAAGTAGTTCTTTGTATCTCAGTCAGAAATCCCATGCCAGAACCTCAAGCTCAAATAAAGGATGGAAACAAACTAGATCAGCTACTCATATTCCTAAACACCAGCACTAAGAGATCTTGTTCCGTAAGAGTTCTAGAGGGAAGGGGGTTACTACTGAGAATACGCCAAGCCTAGTACGTGCAATTCTTGAGGCCTTGCAGTTCAATGTGTAACTTGACACTATTAAAAAGTATTTGTGTTCAAGCTAATGTGCAGTAATACAAAGTTTTATTTGTGGTTTTCGATCCACAGTGGCTCTTTCACACATGCAAGTGCTCACTGGATAACACAGTGAGGACTTGTTTTGCTAAGAACACGCCTGATACTTTTGAAGTGGTGCAGGTATAGCTTATTTCTGTATTGAAGCAGAAACAGATGGGATTCTTCTGCTGAGGTAGTCCTCACCTGCTATACTTTGTGAATCTTGTGAACTGATTCCAGTTCTAAGAGGACAGGAGGCAAACAGCTCAGAGTGGAAAGTAACAGTGCGGGCCAATATAAATGATTTTGTTGCCTCTAACATGAAATGACACCGTGAATGTTCTCCTTATCATCTTGGATTTTCAAATAAGGCGGTCCAACAAGATGACACTGCTATAACAACCACCACCACCCAGCCATGTATTCTACACAACAAAGGTGCTCTATCAAAAGAAAAGGGGGGAAAATCATTCTGCAGGATCCCCCCAATTCATTAGAGCACTACAGATAATCTCAGTGATGGTTGTGTTCTGTTGCCCTCATCTGTAATATTTTAAAGATACCCTGAAGAAGGATCTCCACTAGGAGCAAGCCTTGGCATATTGTTTCTCAAGAGCTGATAATGCATGTGGGCTGTTGGCACCTGACATTTTACTCCAGGCAACCACTTTGTACCTTCCAGCTTCATACTGCTAAATGGCATGTGCACTGCTCTACTAAGTAGTCTACTTAGTCCTATTCATCAACTGCAGTGTAATTTACATTTTCTTCAGATTCCCCACATCCACCCAGCCTGTAGTGATCAAGATGTCTTTGGAGGTGCTAGGCACTTTAGAAGCAACCAATGATCACCAAACACCACCTTAGAGGAAACTGCATGAGGTATCCAAACAGTCAATGACAAGCATTCTTTTCCACACCTGTTTCTGGCTTGCTCACTCATTCACAGTGACTTACCTTCAAAGTTGTGGTTTTATCAGATTTCTCTTTAACATCCTTGTCTTTGCTACTCTTTTTCTTGGAGGTAGACCGCTCCCTTTCTCTTCTGTCATTACTCAGGTCTCTCTCCTTATCGGTCTTTTTGTCTTTCTTATTTCTGTTTTGAAAATAAGAATGAAGTAGCTGCAATTAAAAAGGTCATATATGCTCTGTTCCCATTCCCCTGTATGCATCTGCTGTATGCACACAGGGATACTTTCACACAAATGCTGAACATGCCACATGAAGGGGCAGAGGGGAGCAGCCAATAACATGGTCTGACATTCTACCATGGCAAGAAACTAGCCAAGTAAGACAAGCCAGAACCTTATTCCCAACACTGGCAGAATAGAGAGGGAGAGATGGTCCCTGGCTCATCTTTCGTGCAAAATGTGGATTGCAACCTACTTGTTTATGTTTTGTACTTGCTGATTAAAGCAGAGAGCCAAAACAAGCTTAGAATCATAGAATTGTAGAATTGCCGAGTTAGAAGGGACCTGAGGGTCATCTAGTCCAACCCCCTGCAATGCAGGAATCTCAGCTAAAGCGTCCAGGACAGATGGCCACCCAACCTCTGCTTTAAAACTTCCAGGGAAGGGGAGTCCACAACCTCCCGAGGGAGACCGTTCCACTGTTGAACAGCTCTTACTGTCAGAAAGTTTTTTCTGATGTTTCTGTCTCCTTTCTCCAGCTTTATGGGGCCAATAATTCTGCAGTCTTAGCCATGAATTCGAAGTGCCCACTTCAAATACTGCTTCTGCCTAAAGATGCGGCAGGTGGCTTCAGGCAACTAACTAGTTTTCTTAGCCTCATTCCCCCAGCTGCAATACTGGGATAATCTTATTGCAATAATAATAATAATAATAATAATAATAATAATAGTAATAGTAAAAAATACCCTGCCCATCTGGCTGGGCTTCCCAGGACAACATATGTAAGAAGATTTTGAACATGCAAGTGCTATAAGAATGTAAAATAATTATCCAGCAGGAATGAACTGCTATTTTGTAAACTGCTTGATGCTTTCTCAGAAGTATAATGCAGTTTTTCCACATACTCAGCTCTACTGAAAGTAATTTTCCACTGACAAAGAAATCAAAAGTGCATCCATATTCCAGCTCATGCAAATGCCAGTCTTAATATTCTCATCCCCTCTTTTCCTTATAATTTGAGTTTAACATTTTATGCAGCACACTTCAATATAAGTATTTCCAGGATGCATGTGTGTGTACCAACCCCAATTTCTTGTCATTCTAGTAAAATGACCACTAATAGAGTGAGGTGTGCACTGGGGAGAGCCTGCAGTGTATACTGTAGGACCTTGCGTGATAGAGCTATACACTTACCTCCTTGGAGATGGAGATCGAGAGGATTTCCTTTTTGTAATTTTAGATGATCTTGGAGACTTTGAGGGACTTCGGCTCTTCCGCTTCCGTCTATCTCTGTAGGATTCAGTAATTAAAGATTAATGTTGGAAATTACAATTCACAAGTGGGAACTGTAACAAAATGTTGCAGTGTGGAGAGCTCCTGTTCACTGTTTTTAGTCAGCCAGCCATGCCTTCCCCTTCTACCTCCTTTCTGCTTTCCCCCCATACCCAATTGTCAGCATTCACTGGCCACTGGGCAAACTCAATTCACCCCACCTTAGGGGGATTTTCCATAAAGATTTTTTGCACTTCTGAAAACCTCAGGATTTCCCCTAAGCAGCCTTACGTGCTCAGTCCGCAATCACACAAATTAAATGCACGCAAGGCAGAGATCTCGTGAGAGTCTCTAGACCCCGCACAAGAGCCTCCCAAGGGGACAAGGGCCACTTAGCTTACTGGCTTCGGAAAGGTAGAAATGGTCATGTGGGAGCAGTGCAGAGCTTGTTCTCCCTGTATACGATTTTGGCTTTATGTGCAAACCCCGCACGCCACCTCCTAGAACATGAGCCTACTGTATTTATCCCTTCTTCTTCTTTGCAATACTAAAGACATGATTTATTCTACACTGATTTGAATACGTTTCCCCCCCAAAAGTTTTTCATAAACAGAAGCAATAAATCTACAAAGCATGACAAAATTATAAGAAAAAAAGTGAACCTGCTGGAACTTCGTGATCTTCTTGAGGAACTGTAGCTTCTGGGAGGTGTCCTGGATCTCTTTTCTTTCTTCCTTTTTTCATCTCTCTCTTTTTCTTTCTCTCGTTCCCGCTCCTTATCTCGGTCTTTTGCCTTCTCTCCTTCCTTGTCCTTATCTTTTGGCTTCTCTGCTTCCTTCTCTTTTTCTTTTTCACTGCTTTTCTCCTCTGCTTTTTCTTTCTCTTGGTCTTTCTCCTTGTCCTCCTCTTTTCCTTTTAGCTGTTCTTTGCTATCCTTCTCCTTGTCTTCCTCCTTCTCAGTCTCTGTCTCTTTTTCCCTCTCTCTGACTTTGTCCAGATCCTCTGCCTTGTCTTTTTCTGTGTCTGACACTTTCTCCTTGTCTCTTTCTTTTTCCTTCTCTTGGTCTTTGTCCTTCTCCCGATCCTTGTCCTTATCTTTTGCACGATCTTTGGTTCTATCCTGGGTCTTCTCTTTGTCCCTCTCCCTCTCCCTGCCCCTTTCCTTCTCCCTGCCCCTGTCTTTATCCTTGTCTCGATCCTTCTCTTTTTCCTTCTCTCTGTCTCTTTCTCTACTAATCTTTTCCTTCTCTCTGATCCTCTCTTTGCTTTCCTTCCTCTTCTCCCTGTAAAATGAAAACATTAATTTAAACTGTGCAGCATTCATTACAACAAAAGACTAAAGTCAACTGCTGACACAAAAACCTCACACCTATACTATGTAAAAGAATTAATGTTTACTACCCCGCCTTCCCTCCTACCCCTACATCTTTTCTCCCCACCAACCAACATCAAAGTCTCATATTAAATGACTGATCTGTAGAACAGACTTCATGATCTGATAATAGAGATGATGTATGTACCTTGTAACCCCCCCAAAAAAAACCTTAATAAAAATAATTATAAAAAAAAAGAACTAAAGTCAACTAAAGAGCTTCTTCCCACCCTCAAGCATACCTTCAGGATTGCAGAAGAGCATCTAGTAGAGCAGTAGTAAATCTAGTAAAGGAAGGGTAACACCTCCTGAATCTGTTTTATTTGTTTTTAGATTTTTATACCGTTTTATTGATTTGGGGGCTGAATTTTTGTTTTTATATTTTACACATTAAGTAGTTTAGAAATGCTTTTAAGCAAGTAATAAGTAAATACAGTGGTGCCCCGCAAGACGAATGCCTCGCAAGACGGAAAAACCGCTAGACGAAAGGGTTTTCCGTTTTGAAGTTGCTTCGCAGGACGAATTCCCCTATGGGCTTGCTTCGCAAGACGAAAATACCTTTCGAGTCTTGAGATTTTTTTTTCGCTTTCCCCCCCCTTTATCTAATCTGCTAAGCCTTTAATAGCCTTTAATAGCCTTTTAGCAGCTAATCCCCTAAGCCTTTAAGCCTTTAATAGCCGCTAAACCGCTAATAGCGCTAATAGCGCTAATCCGTCAATGGGCTTGCTTCGCAAGACGAAAAAACCGCTAGACGAAGACTCTCGCGGAACGGATTAATTTCGTCTTGCGAGGCACCACTGTAATAAAAAGGAGATAAAATTAGAGCTATTTGTTATACTGAAGGAGTGCAAATGTTGGGATGCTACAAAAACCACTATTTTATGGTGAGATTGTAACCCTACATCTAATGTTCAGGAAGTCGCTCAATACCCACAAAGAATATAAAAGAAATAAATTAATCATAGGAATCTCACCGAGAAGGCGACCGGCTTCTTGATCTCAGCCTTTCTTTAGATTTTGAGCGTTTTTTGGGTGGAGTTTTGGATCTGCGCCTGTCCTTCTGGCTGGAGCGGGATCTGTCCCGTCTGTCCTTCTGGCTGGAGATAGATCTCTCTCGTCTGTCCTTCTGGCTGGAGCGGGATCTGTCCCGTCTGTCCTTCTGGCTGGAGACGGATCTCTCTCGTCTGTCCTTCTGGCTGGAGCGGGATCTGTCCCGTCTGTCCTTTTGGCTGGAGCGGGATCTGTCGCGAGATCTACTCCTATAGCATGCAACAGCAAATGATAAATGCTATGGACTACGTTGTTTCACCAGTCCCTATTATAAACCATACAAATTGTAATTTGCACTCCACTGTACAAAATAATATACAATTTTTCAAACATAATATTTAAAACGGGCATAAAATAGAGAATGTAAATCAAAATTAGCTTCCTAGCAAAAGGTAACTAAAACAAAATTGTTTGAGAAAGGCAATCAAACTGATAAAATAATGCACAGCAAAGTGCCACCTCAAATTAGCATTACTTACAGAACTAAGATGTGGTGTAAGTATTCCATAATGAGGCCTCCTTCCCCCACTTTTTTCAGAGGGAGAAGAATCTCGTGAAATTTGCTTCCATGCATACAAAGGTTTGCAGTTTGTATTAAATGACAACCCCTTCTTCGGATTGTGTGCCTAAATTTACTATAACATGCCCATGATTTGGGGGGGGGCAGGGTGGGATATGGGAGACAGAAACACTGCATTTCAGCATTGAGGCTCATTCAAATGGTCCATATACCGAAGGAATACCCCCAAGAGATACATCTCCTTCATCAGTAATATTTATTTTTGGAAAGCTCCCTGAATATTTTAATGTGTGTCATCATCACCAAGCTATACAATGCACCGCAAAGGATTAAGCGAAGCTGTTGTTTGTGATCCAAGTGAGGTCCAGCAAGCTAAGAACTAAATGGGTATAAAATTACATTTGTGGCTCACCCAAAATGATTTTGTACAGGAAAACATTTATGAATGTATCTGCAAAACAATTTCACTGAACTTGCTCGGGTTCCTATTCAGTGCCATTATTTATTGCAATACTCATCTGACGCAATAGGAATGTGTATGCATGCTAGAGATTTGAAGTGGAGCTAACGTTCTGTTGTAAGTTTCCACAAACAAAATTTGTATTTCATTTATTTGCTTACATTTATATCCTGCCTTTCTTCTATCATGGAAGCAGCATAGATGTTGTTTCCAGGTGGTCCGCTATTCAGGCACTAGCCAGACCTGCTTGGCTTCAAACCACCCTGGTTGCTGGCTAGACAGTAAAGGCTACCCAACAGAAGTAACAAAGCTGTTCCACTGAGATATTTCAAACTGTTACCTACCTCATCCAATATACTGCTCAGCATGCTGATCAAATACTTATTCTGGTTTCCTTGCATTGTGTGATTTTAATGTTTGTTATTGCATTGACCAGAAGAACAGAGAGATAAAACACATTAAAAAACCATGTTCTCAGATCCAGTACTGCAACTGGGAAACTAGTGAATGGCACTGCACACTCTACACAGAAGGCCCCTTTTAAATCAAGTACTTCCATTGCTTATTACCATCATGGCACTCCTCTGTACTTAAGTGTGTTAAGCTTCCACTGAATAGCATGACTGCCATCACAACAGATTTAGAATTGAGGTGGTAGTGGGTGTTTTTGCTTAAAAGAAAGGACCTGTAAACCGAAGAGGCAACAAGAACAAAACAATGTCGGATATTTAGATAAACAAAGATTGATGTCACAAAATGTAAACATAATTAAGTATGACATAATTCGTACTAAACACTATCTGAATCTGAGATACTTAATTGCTGTATACTCTGGGGCAAGAATTAAGAGGAAACAGACCATTTGATTTGGGGGCTACCTCAGTTACCTAAAAACTCATGTTGCCAAGATTTCCATCCTTGAACTTCAGAAGCATTGACACAGTATGGTAAGGGACAACTTCATGCATGTTTGGCTGACATTACAAGATCAGGGCTGTGGACCACTGAGACCTGATTGGCACATGTGATAGAGTTGTGCCAAAGTCCATGAATTGTTGAAACAAGTGATTATAAAAATCAGGACACTTAATAGATAAAAATGTGATCCTAGACCTGAATTATGTGTTTTGTATAATTTTTATAAAGGTAACGTGGATCTTATATGTAAGCAGTTAAATGTATAGTTACTGGTAGCTGCTCGATTAGTAATGGAAACAAGCTTCACACTATACTCATTAATTCATGAAAGTTATGTTCATTGCTATCTCAGAGAAACCGAGATATCTAAGCAGCTAAGGGTGGCACTGATCCTTCTGATTTCACCCCTATTGTGGGATTATATATTAAATATATGACACTGCAGTCACAGGAGTGGAAAATCCCTCCAAAATATAGTTTTATTGGGTGGCATTTTTTTTTCTATTTCCTTCCTTGTATAATGTAAGATGTGTTTTTATAATTGTATCCATTTCAGTCACTTCTGATTTTTTATTATTATTTTGACTTTATTATCAAAATCTCCATTGTGTTGAACTCACATTATTTTGCTTGTGCCTTCTCTTCAAAACCCTAACAACTAGAAAAAACTGTGCTATACTGTGAGGCTAAAATTAAGGGGAAACAGATCAGTTACCTAATAAACTAAAGACATTGAGATTTTCTCCCTCAAACATCAGAAGCACAGACAGCAGCGTCATATTTTGAGTGATGTGACATGTTAAAGATGGGGAAAAGGTGTTCTCTTAGCTTTCCATTAATTTTTGTAAAGGGCATAGCTGCCCCTTTCTGCAAAAGCCCAATATGCAGAAGCAAAACCACTTATCTTTTTTCTGCTCCATTCTCAATAAAGGAAAGATGCTTTTAATTCTGCAAGTTGGGGTTTTGCAGAAAGCTATCGCTTCCACAAACTGAACAGGCAGTGGAAGTGTGTGTGTGGATTCTCCCTCTTCCCAACTGGGTTTTCGGAGGAAGCAGCAGTGAGGCATCGTTTCAAGAGCCCAACTTCTAAGAGAGAACGCCTTCATTTTGCTCCCCAAAGGAGAAAAGGAAACCCAAAAGCAGTTATTGGTGGAAGCACAGGGGTTCTTGGAAGAACGGATAGATTTTGTCCTCTGGATTCAGCATGATTTACTTTGTAACCATTTCCGAAACTGTTTCACTACAGCTGCCATCTTGCCATGAAAAATAAGGAATTCAAATTCAAAACAGTTCTTCATTTCAACCATCCACAAATTGTATTAACGGCTTAAATTGAATTTCCTTAAGAAACAGAGAAGGGACAGGTCAACTGTTGCTTTCAGAGGATTTTATACGTGAGAATTTTACCTGCGTTTTGAGTGTGATCTTTTCCTTCGAGATTTTGAACTAGATCTGGATACTGAACGTGAATGGGAGCGCGACCGACCACCTTTCCTTTCACTGCTCTTTCCAGACTCTGAGAGAAAAAACGACTTTGCAGTGTAAGCTCAGAATATTTACAGATCCCAGCTAACAATCTGGCACAAGTGGAATGTACCACATATATTGCAAGGGGCCTACTCTCTGCACATCTTCCTTCTTTGCAAAAATCCTTCAGAAACATCCAAGAAAGTCATTGCATATATTCGTTGAGTGCAGCCATCCTGCAGCAGTACACATAAACCAGATAATTATAAACAGCTAGCTAAATAAGGAATGGGATTTATGTTGCCGCCACAATGCACAAGTTTAAAACATGTTTGGCAAAACTCACTTCAGAGAGAAACACAAATTCCAATAAAGCAGTTTGAAAAACTATGCAGAAACACAAATAATAGCACTGTATTTTATTGCCAAAGCACTATTACAATTAAGGAGTTGGGGCTTGAAAACCTAGTCCCCCTACAGAACGGTTTCAATAATATATGTTTTATAATCAATCACTAAATGAAGCAATAGATTGGGAATACGGATGACAAACATTAGTCAAAGTTATTCCACTGATAGATGTATTTAATCCCAGCGATTTTCAGATCAGCTCAATCAAATGAACTCTGGCCAGCCAGGTCAGGAAACAATATTAACTGAATCTTCCCCTTAAGCAGTAATAGATATTTCTGGATTTGGAAGTTGAATTTTTTAAAAATAATAATAGCATACACCTTTTTAAAAACAAAGAACCCAACGCATCTGATATGCAAGTGCCAGATACTTGTAAGGTAGGTAATGGAACTGCATGTCAATCAGCGCTATTTGTTCTTTTTTAACTGGTTAAAATGTTACAATTAATAATAATAATAATTGGCAAGCTAAATATTTCAACATTCATTAGAAAATCATGTAAAAGTCAGCTCTTGCCAGTGAGACCTCTTCTGAAACTGCTATCATAGAACATTGGGAGGAGTGCTCTCTATAAGCTTGGATTGCAAATGAGTTTGCTGAACTAGGAAGATTAGAGATGAACCAGATCTCTATCTCCAACACTCCCCTTCGCCAAAACTGCTAGAATCTTCTCATGCACTTGCCCAGTTTCAGAAGAGAGCTAACAAAGAAAGAAGTGGCTGCAATGAAGTTTCCTAATGAGTTCAGATATCACAGGAAACCAGTTTAAGAAACTGGGAAGTTTTCTCTGAAGCTGAGTGTGCAAGGCAGTGGGGAAGAGAGAACAACTTCAGCTTGTTGCTTCATTCCCACTTCACCAAACCATGATCTGCTGAACCAGAAATGTTATTTGTGATATATAGAGAAAAGGTTGGGAGACTGGATGGGATTAGGTCACAGAAAAAAGGTAAGCAGGAATGTGAGCACAGTAGGTAGCAAGATGAAAGGAAAAGACTGAAGAAGCAGCAAGACACCTGGCAGGGGAGAAGGTGGAGGAGACAGGGAGTTAATGAAAGGAGGGGCTAACAAGGAAAAAAAACCCCATACATTTATGTTACGGTTAATAAAAAGGACTCCATTCAGCACTTTGACAATAGAAAGCAGTGCTACCCAGTGTATGAACAGTTCTATCTTCACGGTGTAAAGTGTAAAACCTCTCAGACGCCATCAAAAACAGATGGGTCACAAAACAATGTTGTCCACTGGTTGTTGCTCAAGCTGGCCTTTCCCTATATCTAAAAATAAATAATAAAAAGCTATTCTAAATATACACCAGGATTCATTGCAGCAGAGATACTTTCATCCTAGCAGTGGAGATAGTCGTATTCCAAGAAAGTAATAATATCCTACCTGGCTCAATAGCAGCAGATATAAAAGACTGGGCTTCCCGTACTCTCTTCATCACTTCTTCCAACTCCTTAGCAGCAGCTTGTGGTGTCATTTCAGGAGGCTTCACTATTGCATTATTGGAGTGATTTATTCTAAATTAAACAAGCAAAATCAATTCAGTTTATACGTCATTGCACATATGCACACGTAGTTGAACTAAACGCACAGAAAAAAATATGCACTTCACACCCAAATATTCATTTTATAGTGCAGTCAGCCACAGAACTGGGGACCAGCACAAGCCTCATATTCTTAAGTCCACAACTACTTTGGATTATACCTCGTCCCTGCAGGTAAGGGATGGCGGAAAATCTACCTTTATTTATGTTCTCTGTTAAACACCTGGGAAAAGAGACTTTCTCTTTCCTTTTTCCTGTCAACTCCTTTTCTCATTAAGGCTCGTTGCTTTTTGAAGTCTATGTGCAAGCTTTGTTCTTTTTAGTTTAAACTCCAGGTGCTGTATTATAGTCAAGTCACTTTAGAAATAACAAAGGTTATTAAATACAGTATTAGGCAAAAGAAATAAGTGTTTCGCTGGCTCCATGCAAAGGATATTATGTATTTGATTTTGCAAAGTGCACCCATCTCAAAACACGGAAAAGAGCCAAAAGGGGATTACAACAGGTAACTACAATTTTGACAGTTTTCTTCCAAATGCTTGAACTTAAACTTAAGATTTCTGTTTGAAATGCTGAATGCCAGACCACTTTTATCCTGCATAGTTGTTTCACCATTACTAAATAAATAATTAATTTCAATCTGTTTTAGTATTTTAGCTTTTGTATGTTTTAAAGTTGGGTTGTAAATTTTTCTTGATTTTGCTGTTTTCTGTTTTGTAAACTGCTTTGATGTTTGGTTTTTTTTTTTACAATCAAGCGTTGTATAAATTTTATAAATAAAAGCATTGGCTTGTTGGCTCAATTTTTACTTGATTTTGCAAAACTTGCCTCTGATCTCTAGAGCTGGAGTTGCCCGTGGTCTTTATTTCAGGACAGGAACCAGTATGGAGCCTGGGGGTATTAAATTGCAAACAGGGTAGAGCTCACAGAGGATACCACTTGAACTGTTGTGGCACATGCCTCTGCTTGCACACAAGCAACAGCTAAAAAGAATAAGATTGCACTTTTTCTACCAAAGTACTAACGGCAAACAGATTAACAGGCTTTATCAGGTACTTGGTAATGGGATTAAAGTACCATTGAAAAGGCAACTTCTGCATGGCAAACCTTTCACACAGGTTCAGCAGATCTGTTTGCCAACACGATTTAGGTTTTAAGTAAAGACAGAGGGCCCTTGCACAGAGTTAAATAAAAAATGCATGCAAATATTGCTATGGAAATGCTATTCTGTGCTTAAAAAAAAATTTATATATATATATATAATTCAGTAGTTTCCTAAAACTGTGGCAGAGTTCTATAGGACAGGGTTGTAATTACACACAATATACCTCCCAATTTATTTTGATAATATTTGTACAGTTTCTTACTTCAGTGGCCTATCTCCAAACACAACTCCATTAAAGGCAAGGGCTCTAGGAACAGAATTTTGGTCAGCAAACTCGACAAAAGCAAAACGTGTTGGTTGAGTCTCATCGCCTGCCATCCGCACAAACTTGACTTCTCCAACTTGCTTAAAAAACTCAAGAAGCTGATCTGCTGTAGTAGTCTTTAAAGAGAAAGAAAGAGGGCTCAGTCAAGTAACATCACGTGCATTCACTTATAAGCCTGCCCCATATCCTTTGACCCAGCCAAAATAGATACCCAAGTCCCAACTACAGTACTGTAAACTCCTGAATGACACTCTCCATACTGCATGGTCTGTCCATCTAATGCAGACTATAAACCAGGAAGAGCCAACATGGTGCCCTTGAAATATTTATTGAACTACAACTCCCATCAGTCTCAGACAGCATAGCCAATGGTCAGGTATGATGGGAGTTGTAGTCCAACTACATCAGGAGGGGATCATACTGGCAACTTCTGGTATAGATCATCTGAGAGGGGCCTTGTGACCTGTGTGTTGTGCACAGCACCATACTATACAAGTTGGGAGGAAAAGTAATCATTTTCAAGCTCTTGCAGGCTGTATAGAGTCTGTAACTAACCTCTGTACACAGCATCAGGGAAAGGCTGATGCAGCAGATGCTCTTTTAGTTTGCTCAAAATCAGAGCTATCAAGCCATGGAATATAAAGCTACACTTTCCATTAATGCAGGTGTGGGGAACCTTTGGCCCTTCTGGTATTGAACTACAGTTCCCATCATCCCTGGCCATTAGCCATGCTTGCTGGGGCTGACGAGAGCTGTAATTCAGCAACACCTGGACGGCCAAAGGTTCCTCACACCTGCATTAATGCATCTACTGTAGCAAAGACATTTACCTGGGAATTCAAGTTTCCAACATATACAGTCCTCCTAATTTCATCAATCTTGGAAGGATCCACATTGCCCATAATGGGCGGCTGCGGTATGTCTCCAATGGCTGTAATATTATGATCCAACGCTGCTGCTGGTATCGCACCCAGTGGACCAAGAGAAATACCAATCTGAAAACAGAGGATAGTTTTTACAGAAATAAGTATGAAAAGTTTTCCTCCCACTGTGGACTGATTCAAATTAAATTCACCTCAAAAATTAGGACTGTTAGCACCAGTCCTAAAACCTGCTGTTTGATATGTGACCACAAACCATCTTGGCTGACCAGACCAGGTAAAAGGAAAGCAACTGTAAAAAGCTATATACACTGTCACTAATATGTCTTAAGAAGAGGAGTCCTCTTCTATGTTTACCGAAAGCATTATTGCATAGCTACTTCAGTCCTATTTCAATTCTAGAAAGTTGAGCACCCAGAAGATAGTAAATCTAAGAGTGCACAACAACACCTGGAGTCCATTTTAAAATTATTTCAATCTACAGATGCTGTAGCTTTAACATTATGCCAACTTTCTCCCCCCCCCAACTTTTTTTCTTTTTTGCTTAACATTCAGCCTGACAAAGAGTTCTGGAGAACTCTAGATATTGCTCATTGTGTTGCGACATTCAGACTGGTCCTAATAATTTCAAATAATTGAATAATTTCAGATTCAAGACAATTACTGCAATCATTACAATGTAATGGAACATGTACCCAAAACAGAACTGAATAGACTGCATCCCCTTTGAGTAGAATTATTACATGAATATCTACTTACTGAACTCACGGGTGGTGTTGGTATAGGAAGCAACCCTCCACCAGGAATCAGGCTTGTCATTGTAGGAGCAGGAGCCAAGAGGGAGAGGGCTTTGGCTTCATCTGGAATTTTACCTGAAGAAGCAAATATTTTTGTTACTAAAAGTAACGCCACCTCCCAAGTTTTATTTTTCTATTTTATTTTTTTTACCAACACCCTTCAACTTAAAAATAGTAAAGAAAAAAAATCAATCTATGAGAGCCTTACAAAAAAGAAAATAATTCCAAGTTTTTCCTTTGCCCCTGCTCCACTAGGAACAACAAGTGAGCAAAACTAGCATTACCGGATTATTACTTTAAAAACTGAACAATGTAGACAATTATTTAACACTTTGAGCTATGGGTCACCTGTACTGGAAACTTAATGTTCATGAACCAAACGATATCAAGCATGGACGCTTTCGCAGGACGTTGTTTTCACGGTGATCGAAAGTTGTGTTACACATGACAACCGTTCGTGTTGGCTGCATCACTAATAGCACACAGAACATCAGATACAGAAAAGAAGAACATTTTTTAAAGTTTAATCCCCAGAAATGGCAAATAACCAAATCAGTCAAAAGGAAAAAAAAAGAGGAAACAGGAGTGTGCTAACCAAAATCAGCCCTTTTTGTCTGCTAAAATAGCTGAGTGAAAAATGTTACCAGATGACTGCCTTTTGTCAGTCCAGTACAACAACTCAAGCAAGGCAAGAAACCTAGAACCGCACTGATTTTTAGCTTAGGTACTTCAACTACCCAGTTTCCTTAACATCCGGAGGTAGCGAGGCATTTACCAAAATATTTGTTCAATCTCACTGGTCCAATGCAGACATAAGCATTTATGTCTGAGTGTCTAAACCATTGTTAAGCACTACACCTTCATCACGTAAACATAACTAAGATAGTATGACTACCTGTCCGGCATCTTTATTTGTTAGGTGACAATAAGTTCTGCTGATATCCCTATGTATTTTCTCTGGAAGCATGGCTGACCCTCAGTAAAATAAACAATAATGTCACTATATGTTTGGGATCTTAACCCAACATTTAGTACTAATTATAATCAACCACTGCCTGCACTGGATTATTACTTAATATGAACTTGACTAAAGTGCGCTTTAAATCTAACCCACTTAGTCTTTCCTTAAGATATCCTAAGAGCTGCTAAATATTGTGATTTCCATTTAAGCTTCAGCAACTTGAGTTTAAAAAGCCATAAAAAATTCTAACACACACAAACCAGAATTATTTGAAAAACTGACCAGAAATTATTACCTGCACGTGGCAAAGCACTCTGCCTAGAAGTCACCTTTGTCTGAACACTAAGTGTTACTCGTCAAAGTAACAACCACCAACCTAAGCCACTGAGCCCTCAAATCGCCTGGTGTTTTAATGACATTTCCAAAGAGAGAGAGATAGACCCCTGCCCACTAACATCCTATCTGCCCCCTCTCCTACTGCTACAGTCCTCATTTCCATAGACAATCAAAGACATAATATGGGGCAAACTTTCGAACTACTGCATTAACTTCTGGAAGGTTGCTACGCTTCAGAAAGTTTCTGGTGTTAGAAGCTGCCTGAAGACCTAAACTGTGATTTTCAACTTCCTTAGGCAATCTGAGTTTGTGAAGAATATAATTACAAAATAAACCAAAGCCAATACTAAGGCAGCAATAAAGCATTACAATTAAAATACTAATAGCTTCTTATCCAGATAGAGATCAATTATTCCTGATTTTTCTTGGGCAAGATACAAGGCCCATGTGTAAGAACCAAATTATGGTCTAAAACGTACACATGAATTAGCCAGTGTCTCTCGACTACAATAAAATTCAAGTACATCAGTGTTCTGATAGGTTGCTTCAAGATTAAGATAATACATGGATAAAAATCAATGGGAATAAATAAGACCACTTCCAAGCTTAAGTACTACAAGTAAAGCCTTTTTCAGACTTTACTAGAAAACAAAACTCATCATCAAAACTGAAACATCAAAAATTCTATTTCTGATCAGAACAAAACTACTAAACGTAAACTAGAATCCAGAAAACTAGTTTCACACACAACTACTTCTCTGCAACAAAACTATTCTTTACCTAAAAAGTATCTTTTGTTCCTAACTATACATATATCTATACATTTCTCAGCTTAGTGATGAATGGAGTTAAAGTCTACAAAAAATAAAAACATATTTCAGTAGTTTCAATCTCCACAAAAGAGATCCATATTTGTTGAAACTCCTTTCTATGTATAAAACACTAAGCATTGTCAATGGCTAAAATGACATTCTTAAAAGCAATGATATGAAGCGTGCACGCGCAGACGCAAACACACACACATACACACTTCGCATTCATTCAGAGCTAGACCATGTCATTTTAAACTGATTGATCACTATAATTATTTGTGTCAATTTACTTGCGTCAGTTTAAAACCTCTGGTGTCTTACCCTCACTTGAAGTAATCTTTATAGCTTAAAAAATATATTCAAGTGGCCTTAGAATAACTCTAAATTTTGGCTCGTTAGCAAAATCAGCAACTTCAGGAGGATCGATTTTTAACAATATAATTCCTTGGCTGCTTACATCAAATTCCCAGAAATTTCAAAATTCTTTATTGAAAAAGAGAGCAATGAAAGAGATGACAATATCAATTTGTGCTCATCTCTACTTCAGAGAAATGTAACAGAAGAATGTTGATATTTTTCTTGAGTTTTACACAGAAAATATTCAAACTTGACAATGAAAACACTTCTATGATGTGCCTCTGCTGTATCTAAGAGTATGCCATAAGCGTGAGCCAACTCAAGAGAAAAATTAGTCCTGCTTGCCGTCTTCCCATAGAATGCTACAGTAAAGAGAAGACAGTATATAAAACAAACACTGGTCAATACTTCACATTCAGGCTTTCTCCTATTTTTTGAGAAATGAATTAAGAATATTAGTATTATTTATTTATTTATTTTCAAAATAAATAATACGACAGCCAATTAAACAGGCCAGGTATAGGTATTGAAAAAACAATGTCCCCCCCGTTCACATACTCACCCAACCATGTGGAAGCATTTTCCTCACAGAGCTCTGTCATATGGTTTCAGCATTCATATACATACTGCCACCAAGAACACAGTGGGAAAGTGGCTCCCAAACAACTCAGTGAACATGTGAAGGGAGCCATTATCTTTTTAGATATGGGAAACCAACTTGCTATGGTTGCTTAGTAAGAGAGCTTCTGGGAAGGGAGGGGGAAGTATTTTCAGAGGACAGTCTTCAGATTGTAGTCCGGAAAAGCCACATATATCTAAAAGCTTCAATAATATGAGCCAATGGAAACAAATGGATCACTTCACTTTTCAAATAATCCAATTCTAGCCAGATTTACTCAGAAGTAATTCCTATTAATTTTATTCATCTTTTATTTCTAACTATGTATGTTTAGGATTATATCTACAATCTAACTACAAAGTCTAAACTCTGGAATTTTTGGTTGATCTATGAACAATTTCATAGGGTCAAGTTTAAAATGAATCATGAACTCTTGTAACAGAACACCATTTTTACAGAACTGAAGAACCAGCTCACAGGTAGAAATGAAAGAATTAAAGCAAAAAAGGGACAAAATTAACAAAAAGAAGAGAAAAGAAAGCAAAATAAAATAATAAAAACAGAGACAGGGCGTCCATCTTCTGCAGGCCAGACTCCGCTCTCATTCCCCCATGAAGTTGTCACTTGGCGGCAGGTTTAGTGGCATGGCAAACAATGCCTAACTCAGGCAAGTGTAACAGGTCTGCCTTGGCCAGTCTAGTCATCTAATAATGCACAAATATCACACAGAGAAAACATACAAAACCAAATTAATAGTCAAAATCCATCTTCCAGAAAATGTGGACATAAAAAAGTTCAGAATGATGGTTAAAAGTGGCATCTCTGATACATTTCAATATTGGCCTCTCTCAAACCAGAACAAGTTTTTTCGAGAGATTTCAGTTATACATACAATGGAAAGGGGCCACATCTTGACAATGTAATGATTTTTTTTTTTGTTTTTGCCGAAGTCACAATGTTGGTTAGTAATGTGAATAGTGGTGAAGTGTGTTTGTGTTACACATTGAACACCAGTTTAATGCCCAGTACGGGCCTTCAGAGGAGAGTAATTTCTGACAGACAGAATAGAAGTTTTTTTTTTAAAAAAAGCTGTTGAATTCCTTCTCTTTAACCCCAACCCCCAATATCCTTCTATGCCAGGTTTCTAGACAATTATCATTCCCGCAAGAAAATTGTTATGCAACATCTGGATTTTCCAAGAGAGACCAGCCACTAGTAGGCAAGCATAGATAAAACATAGCACATTATACCAGTGCTCTTATAGTCCGCTCCTTTTCCCCATTTGGTCGAAGGTAAATTCAAAGAAGATGTCCATGAAGTTTTAACCATTGCCCAGACTATGCATTTTCTAACTAAAACCATTTGTAATTCTTATTAATAGTCTAAAAAACACATCATTAGAGAACTATGTTGAGATGTTCCTCTTCAGAAAATGACATCTTTGAAATTCCTTGCCTGCATGGACTACCAGTCCTAATTAGGGATGAAATCCTCTGCAAGCTTACCTGAAAGTAAGCCACCTTGAACTCTTTGAGTATAGTTGAGTGGGATTGCACTGTAAGTGCTATTTAAGAAGCTGTACAAGCAGCAATTTTTAAGGTAGTTTACACTGTCAGGATAGATGTCCATTACTTAACATGTTCTTTATTTTCATTTACAGGTTTAAATAGGTAATGTATGCTTTCTAGAATTGTAAACTGTACCCAAACACAGCATTAATGATCAGCACTATGTATATATGTATTTATTCTATTTATTATTGACTCTAGATATTTCATTATGACATCGTGTCTCTCCTGCAAGTCACCTTTGGGTGTAAACTTGCATGCATTAAACATTGTGTAAGCTCTGTGTAAGAATGCAAACAAGTTTGTGTGTTATTTTATTGCACATAACCCTGTCTTCCAACAACTTATCAGCGGAAATAACAGGGTAGAGGAGCACCACCAAGCCCCCTGGAGTAGTCGGGTACAAGGAAACAAAAGGAAGAAGGGTCTTCTTTTTTATAGTCCCCAGGGTAGCCCTTCCTCACCAGCCACTTTCCAGCTGGAGGGTTGATTTTATTACCTTTACCAGTTGGAAATAGTTATCTCATGTGCTTAGCTATTCTTCTCTCATGGGAGTTACAAGAGAGCAGAAGAAAGACCATGAAAGGGGGGTAGCATAGGACACTCACTTGTTCTTAGTACAGTAATAGTGTTGTTATCAGATAGGCAAGTATAAAATATAAAAACTGTTCTTCTCCATGCCCAAAGTATCAGTCCCAAAACAAAGAATAACAATCTCAGATAAAGGTAGGTAACCTTCAAATACTCTCTTGACTTTAGAAATTTGGTTTTAGTTTGGTGAAACTATTCCAATAACACCAGGGTAGAGAACTTGTGGCTCCCCAGATGCTGTTGGACTAAAGCCATGCTGTCTGAGTCTGAGGCCCCCCACAATAAACCTAGCTATATCACTATAGAGTCAGGGTATACCAGAAATGGGATAAAACAGTGCTTTGGTGCATTTCCTATCAGCATATCAGTGAGGCCAAGAGGTCTTGCTGTCTGGGCAGCCCAGGACATCCAAACATACTGCCCAGGCTTGCACCCAAGGGAGGTCACTTTGGTGCTGCTAATACAGCGGTTTTACTTCACCCCTGGAGGTGCACTCCACTGTCTCTCCAGACAGACGGATGCCAACAAGTGGTGCCATTCCTGTCCCTGAATAAACCATGCTAAGAACCAACTCAGAGCCACAAATGAAAACTACTGAAAACTAAAACAAAGGGCATAACTGATTGGTTAATGATACTTTTAAGGCGTTAGAATTGACCGCTGAAAATTTTGTCCTTATGTATCCTACTCCAGAAATGCATGTATTCCTGCTTTGCCAGAGGGAAGAAGAGAGGTTTTGTTTCTCGGAACATATATACTAAGAATAGAACTGTAGTGTCATGCACACTTTATACTAAAACTCCATACTGGATGGTATGGGCAGTATCCAACTAACTCTTTTCACCAGCACAAAGATTTCTGCTTGTGTAACGTAACTTCCTCCCCACATGTATCCAGTGCCCTCTCCAAATCTGCCCTGGAGTGGTGGAGGAATAGATTTAGGGAGCATGGCAGGCAGGTGATTAGAAGGTCAGTTGCACAAGTCATCTACCTTGCTGTGATGGAGCAACTTAGTTAGATATTGCCCTACATGTGAACATTACCCAGTCCTAAAGCAAAGATTTAACAAATTAGTTATATTTTAACAAAATGTATGGAACATCATTTAAGTTTAAGTGCAGAAAAGGAAATGGTAAGTAAAGAACACAGAAACCCAACTCTCAAACAGCAGATAACTCTTTGATTTTTTGTGCTTTTAGCACATATTACATTTCCACAATCAGAAGAGCCATATATCAATATTTCTAAAGAAAATTCTGAGGTCCACAGAAAGGCACTCTCCAGGCTGCAGAAAGCCATGTCAGTGGTGCTCCACAACTTCAAACAATCTTGCTAGAAGACCTGACACTCAAGCCTGTGATGTGGCACAGAAACACCTTTTCTACTGCATTTGAGATTATGTCACCAAAGTCATATTAATTTATCATAATAAAACATTTCAATTAGCAATGTAACTGGGTAATGATAATGTAACATAGTTATGAATGTAAGAAAAAAGACTGCAGGTTTTATTAATTCTGAAAATACCCAAGAATTCTTGAAAACTGTTCAGGATAGAGAGCAGAAATAAGGGTCAATAAATTTCAATAAATGTATTCCCTTTCTCTGTTATAGGAAAGTTCTACTACAAGGATACGTTTATATATCTGCACTGTTTTTATTTGTTTTGGAATTGAAACCCTAAAGCTTAGTACCATAACGTCCACAATAAATGTTTGATACATGTTCTGAACGCATAGGAATGGATTCAACTAAGCGGTCCTGATAGCAGACAACAGCACAAGCATTTCCACTAGTGCAATGGGCCTCTCCCTCTCCCCCGCCACAATGTATGCACCTGAAATTGGCTTGGGGGTTTGGGAAGAATCCCCGAACAGTGCACTGGGCACAGAAATGCTTGTGCTCACAAAGTAATATTCTTGGTACTAGTTTAAATTCCTCCCATACTCTAAGCCTGTAAGTATCTTGAGTTAATGACCTCCATTCTTGGCTCACAAGACCACCTTTAGAATTTTGTTTTATTTACTCCCTTTCATTTCCCTTCTGTTCACTGGCCAAGATCACCTTTGAACTTCTACCTGAACAACAGGAGTTAATTGCACCTGTGGATCTTGGCTGATGCTTCTGAGACACTTCCTTTCTACCAACTAGGTTCTGCTGGAACAATTCCCTATCTCTGTCCCTTCCCACATGTGCAAGGTATTCTGACGGAATTTTGTCCTCTCTAAACTATGACTAGAGAACTGGAATTCAGATATATACCTATGCAACTAACAGACCCAAAGCTATTACTAGCTCTATCATTTATTATCTGAGCAGCTGAAGCCATCCTTAACATTACATGGTGATTTGCTACACAATTGTGAAAGCAGCATAAAGGCATACTTACGATCCCATTAAAGCTAGAGAACCACCCAGTTATTCACTAACAACTCAAACTTAGGAATGCATTACTAATGAGTCATTAGGATGGGATATACCATTACTCAAATTAAGCCCACCCAAGTAATTCACTACAATTGTTTTTGAATCCTGAGAATCCTAGCTTACAACCAAAATAAGAAAGTAGGGTCTAGCTCCTACTGTATCAGAGATGTGTGAATATGTGATTGGAATTTTCTGATGTAGTTTCACTTCCATCTGTGTTGCCCATTCCTTTTCAGACAGATGGCTAGGACAATTTTAGGATGAAGTTGTCAGTGTGCAGTTTTAGTGAAAGAAGCAAATGTTCATCCTTGCAAAAGATAAATGAAACATGACCACATTTCATAAGAGAAAATGCCCACACATTTCAAACCTAATGCAAAATATATTTTTAAATTCCATACAAATTTTAAAAAGAAAGTGTCTTCCTTCCTACCAAATTCGCTTTTATTACAAGAAAAGCAAGATAAGTAATAGCTTCAACGCCTTCCCAGTTGCTGAAAAAACACAAGCAACAAATTGACAGAACAGAGACTATCAAAACAAAGGTATAATCTGAAATACCAACCTTCAGCGCAGGGCACAACTATCAGAGCTCTGTCAATAAAAACCGTGTTTGTTAGATGCTGGGCCACACCAACACTCGAAGATTCCCGAAACTTAATATAACATACTTTGGAGGAAAAAGCAAGTGGTGCGTTGCTGCAAGAAAAAGAAAACCAATTAGATGCTGTAGTTTTGATCTATTTTTGCTAGTCTTATGCAACTATAAATATTAATGCAAATGTAATTCTATAAATTACAGACCTACAGAACATGAAAACTGAAATATGTTTCCCACATAGTATCAGATTACTTTAGGCCGGTACAAATATAACTCTAACTTATCCATTAACTACAGTTAAGGGATCAGGATGTAAAACTGCACTATATCCACCTACAGGTTCTCTAGTTCATGTGAGCATGTTTCACAAATGCACACACAAACCCTTTACCATGGTTAGGAATGAACACTGAGCAGCCTTAATCATGGTAAAAAAACCCCTGAATTCAGTTTTTAGAATCTGAATTACTATACCCAGCTTCTTAATCACAATTAACAATCAAGCTCATGATGTATCTGCATTGGTCTTTACTTTTTAATACAGAATATAAATAAAACTCTTTTCCTAAAAATAATTCAAATACTAGCAAAGAAACATTCTGTCACCAGCAGTAAGGTTCTTGTTTAATTTCAAGTAACTAAAATATTTTAACAGCATTCTGTAAATGACCGATGCTACAGTTAAATGAAATAAAATTGTACATTAGGTAAACTTCTGCATGTGCTTTAAGATCTTCAGTTAAGATTTTTAAGAAATGGTGGAACACTTTTATAGCTGGTATCCTTCTGGAAATACAGCCAATTCCTTTAAGAAGAATTTGATGCTGAATCTGCACACTCATTTTTAATCACCCTGGCATAAACTCTACAAAGTATCATGGGGACATTTTAATATTTCAGTATTTGTCAAATGCAGCCACTTCATTCTGCACAAGTTGACACCTTGAACTCTTGGGGCAGTCGGCTCTCCCATGAGCTTAAATTAATAGAACTAACCTAGGATTGTATAACATTGTCTGATAATATGCTGATTAAGTCTGTGAAGACTAGATCTTAAGGAGTGTGTTTGAAGAAATCCCAAGAAATCTGTGAAAAGCTAGAAAGGATCTCTCCAAAATAGGTAACAGGAAACAGAATGGCAGAAGAGATTCAATATCAGTAAGCGAGAAGTGGTGCACAATAAAACAAGTCCCTGGTTGCACATCAAAAACAATGGCTTCCCATTACTTCTAGGCTGTTTGTGTATTTTAAGCCATCTTTTAATTAACTGTTTGTTTGTTTGTTTGTTGTTGTTGTTGTTTCTATTACGTTTTATTGTAATTCATATTTGGTGTTAGCCGCCCTGAGCCCAGCCCCGGCCGGGGTATGAATAAATTATTATTATTATTATTATTATCCCAGCAAGCACAAGGTGGAAGCACTAATACCAATTAAAAGTTTATTCTGCTAACATCCCATTCATATTTACACATTTGAGTAGTCCCAAATCTCTCTGCCATTTACAAGTGCTTGAGGGAAAGGGAGGGGAGGCAGAAAATATAAAATCACTAAGTAAAATAAACGAAACTTTCCCTCATGCCTTGTTAAGAAATATGGTCTACTGTGCATCCCTTACAATCCCTTCCTATGCGTACTTATTGGAAACTTATAATGTAAGGACCATTAATTTCAATGATATATGTTCCCAAGCTGCATGCAAAGGATTGCAGCTTTACACGGAAGCAAGCGCTGTTGATGTGACTAAGGCTTACTCCCGAGTAACTAGTCACTAGCCTAGCCTTGGATGCAACGCAGTGCAAGGAACGAGATTCGGGGGAAAGGAAAGCAGGATCCCCGAGGAGCCAGATTTCTCCTACATGGCGTCTTTGCTAAACGCAACGCCGAGGAGAGCCTCGAGGGAGCACGAAAATCGGCTTAGGCCTCTAGGGAGCCCGCATTTCGCCTCCACAACCGCGGCCTTTCCCAGAACCATCACCCAGAGAAAAGGAGAGAAACGCTGAAGGACTGCGGCTGAGGAGAAACTGGCAGGTTTTTTTGGGGGGGGGGGAACAGTCACTGGCCGCCATCTTAATTACGGGCAGCTTCTCCTTCTCGTAGAACAGATACTGCCCAATGACGCAACTACTATGAAGGGAGCCACTCGGCACCCGAAAGCAAGATGGCGGGCGCGGCATCCGGTCCGTTTCTCGCTCTCCCCTTGCCTCAAGGATTGTCATTCCCGCCATTCTCTATGGCCCCGAGGGCCCCGCTCGGGCCTCAACTTACTCCGGAGGGTAGAGACGCAACTCCTCGATGTCACCTAAGAAACCGAAGAGCGTTCGCATCTGCTCGCTAGTGACCGCCGATGATAAATTGGTGACTTGGATAACCGAAGTAGGGGTCAGAGGGAAGCCGAGAGGCACCCCGATGCCGCCGCTGTTCATCATGATGGCGGCAAGTTTGCTGTCTCGGCCGAACTAACGCACACAGGCGAGGAGACGGAAGCCACCACCGAGAAAGAAACGGCGGAGCTTCCTAGAGCGTCCGCACTCGCGCAACTTCCGAGAGAACGCGGCGGCGCCCTGGCGTTGAGGCGGCCCGTTGTTCGTCTCCTCTATGCGGCTTTTAGCTAAGAAACGGAGGGCTTTTTTCTTATTGTTGAGGCAGTGCAGCACCTGAGAGACGGGCAGGGGGTGGGCGGACAAAAAATGTCAAAGCATATGGAATAAACAATCCCTAAATTGCACTCTGCGCCGTGCCTCCTGCCCTTTCCCTCTCCAGTATCCACATGCACCACAGTTGACGCACTAGAAACCTCAGGTAGCAGAATATATTTCCCTGTTAGGTAAGGTGAAATTTTTGCATATCCCACCCTCCACCCCCGTATTAAAAACCAAAATAAATGTTTTGTACAAAAAATGCCACAACAGGGAGAAGTTTCATAGATTGATGGGGAGAGAATGGATGAGAGATCAGGCTCTCCAAATTATGCTGGACTCAACATCCCTGACCATTTTCCATGCTGGATGGGGGCTGATGGGAACAGGCGTTCAACAACATCTGGAAGGCCACAGGTTTCTCACTCCTGTCTAGATTTTGTGTTTTCAAAAATGGACAAACAGCCCTTACTACTGATTTGCTGCAGTAATCCCAGGTGCATCCTGCACCTTTCATCCACTTATGGCTAAATCAATTATGCCTGCATAATCTCTGCACTCCCAACTAAACCGGGGGTGGGGAAAATCAGAACTGAGGGCTTTGCACCTGCCCATTGGGAGAGATAGGAAGCCCAGAACACTTGTTCTTTAGATGTCCCTTTTATGAAGAGGCACGTAGTAAGATCTTTGATCCCCTACTGGTGAGGCTCGCCAACCTCCCGCAAAAGCAAAAAATTGACCTTTTGCTGTTAGGCAAAGATCAGAAGATGACCTGGATGGCCGCCAGATTCTGTGTACAGATCTGTAGGCGCAGACCATCGCCCAACTCAAAATAGTCCGGCATGAAAAGCCCCAAACACGGCTCCATGGGTGATTCTGAGTCAACTCCCTGGGACAGTTTATTGTTGTACATTGTTGCTAAATTTAGTGTTGTACATTGTTTTAATTGTCTGTTTTAACCATATCTGCACAGCAGTTTCTAATGTTGTGTGTCCTCTATTTAAGAGGCTTCTACTCTGCAGCCTTGAGATCTGACTGGAGAGCATTCCACAGGGCAGGCATGACTACCGAGAAGGCCCTCTGCCTGGTTCCCTGTAATCTCACTTCTTGCAATGAGGTAACAGCCAGAAGGCCTTTGGAGCTAAATCTCAGTGTCTGGGCTGAATGATGGAGGTGGAAACACTCCTTCAGGTCTAGTATTAGGAGGGTGAAAAACCATCTATTTGCTTTCATCACACAATGTGTCATTAACCTCAGATGTTGCAACCTTTTCCTGAGAGGAAATTTACAAGAAAAACAAAATCCTTTGCATGAGTTGCTGAGCTCTTCGTATGGGGCTGCTGCTGGGCTTGCTCTGTCCATCTGCTGCTGCTGTAGCAGCAGCAGAAAAGATGAGTGAGCAGCAGCTGCTGTTAACCAAGGGCTGAGAGGAAGCTTGCGACTACAACAACAAAGTCTACATGGGCCACACCACCAAAACCACTAGCTGGGTCAACCCACGGGATAGGTATGGAAGGATGGGTGGGAGGACGAGAATGAGCAAGTGAGCAAGGTGTCCGAGGTCTCCCTGGCCAGGAGGGGAGCAACTTAGAGGCAAAGTGTGCAGTTTCACATGACTCCATCTTGCTTCTCCTCCAGTTATGCTCAGTGCCAGACTTTGGGCTCTCACATTTCAGTGGCGCCCTATGCAACGCTAAAATTTGGCGCCCATTCTATAGCATTGTTGTGAAGCCCCCTGCGGCACAGCACCCATTGTGGATGAACCAGTTGCACTACCCTAAAAACACCTCTGCTTGGTGGCGTGCAAAGACAGGGAGGTGTGTGTGTGAATTTGGGCCAGGGCTGAACTATTTTCAGTACCTGGTCTCCACTCCCAAAGATGCAAAGCTGTAGTAGAGTTTAAAAGGGGTCCCTGAGCACATGCAAAGTGCCTTTCCCTCTGCCCTTAAATAACTAGAGATTTTGCATGCACACAGAAGAGAGCATTAGCCCCCGTCCACTGGAGTGTGTGTGTGGGGAGGGTGCCAATACAGATCCTTACCAAGTCCATAAGGAACCCTAGATACACCTCTGGTGTCCAGTTAAGGCTGCAGTCTTATGCACACACTGAGAGCAAGCCTCATTGAATACAGTGCAACTTACTTCTGAGTAGCCATGTATCAGATTACACTGTGCCACTGTTGAATCTACTCTTCTCCCAAGAGTACTTACATACAGATTCATCTAGAGCAGGGTGTAGCCGATGTGGTACCTTCCAGATATTGTTGGGACTACAACTCCCAGGATGCCTGTGCTGCTGGGATCTGTAGTCCAACCACTTCAGGAGGGCACCATGCTGGCTGTTCCCCGAGAGGACTAGTGTTGTACCACCTGTAAAAAAGCTAATCATTTATCAGATAATTGCTCTACAAGAGCTAACTATTGAGAGGCTGCACTTAGCTCCTTAAGGTTGGGTCATCCGTTCTCCCAGAGGCTTCCTGCCAAAGTTCTCCCAAGGTTGCTATTGCAGGCATAATCACCCTCAGTGCTTGACAAATTGCCTCCCACATGCCCACACGATAGAAGAGAGAACACCAGCCAGATCAGTCCCATCCAACATGACCAATGGTCTAGGATCATCATCTGCCTCACCGTTGGTTTGAGGCAGCACTCTCCTTCAAAGGGACTTAAAATCCAATACAAATAAGGAAAGGGTATTTAAAACAAAGAGAAAATTCCAAGAATCTCCGCTTGATTATAGAATGTTATCAGTGGTAGATTCAAATGATTTAGAAAATTTCAGATTGATGTCGTGAAATCAGTAAATTACACAGCGATTTAAAGAGCATTAGTTTATTATCTATTCTCCATGTGTTACTTCAGAAACAATTTAATTATATACAAAATTTGGAATGCTGAATAAATGCTGATCAATAAAAACATTACATAGCTGCTAATAAGGGAATAGTTACTTTTTTAAAAAGTAGTACAGCAAATTAATGATAAAGGCTTGATTCTGTGTGTTGCTTATTGCTATGATTGTGTTCATAGGATGTGTTCAATTATATACACATTTTTGAAACTCCAGTCAAAAAAAGTAAAAAATGTATTTACACAATAAATATGTGGGGTTTCCCCCCAGAAATTGTAATTTGAACTGATTCTTTAATGAACTGTCATGAAAAGAATATTGAGTTGACAAATACTTTATTCATTCGATGCCAAAGCAACCAAGTGTGCAGATATATCTTATCTGACAAGATGAGAAACATTAAAAATCCACGGCTTCTGAATAATGATCTTCTGTTTTGAATGAGCTTTCTTCCACAGCTTCATTTCACCATCATCCAACACAAATGGTATAATGCATCCAACATTTCTTTTTTTTTAAAGTATCATCAGTGTTTGATTTCCAATATACTTTTTCTAGTTCCTTGCACCAAAAAGTAAAATAAAATTAAAAAACCCAACCCCTAGAAGGCCACAAAGTTTCTTTAAATTCTCTCAACAAACAATTATTCTTTTTGGCAACACTATTGTACAAAGCTATTCAACTAAATTAAATTCTAACAGCATGGTTTACACTGCTTGTTATTTCATACAAAATTGAATTTGAACACTTTATTTCAACCTGATGTTGTCAAAGATAAATGGTGTCCATGATCAATAAAGAATCAGTTCTGATTTGGGACTTTTTGCCCTTACCATGATTATAGTTTATGCCTCAAGTCCTCAGATTAGGACTGATTTGTGGATATTCCCTTTTAAAAGGCTGAGGTTACTAATATAATTAAAAGCAATGAATGTAAATTTTTGAATTCTCAATAAAAAGTAGAGAAATCTAAAAGACACTTTTAGAAGCATGGTAACACTGAAGCCTGCCATTATATAGCTATGTTTCTCATTTTCTTTAAAGATTAACAGCACACAGAAAATAAGTGAACTTTACCAAAATACAGCACATTTTTGCTAATATAAAAATCAATTCCTATGTAAATATTAATGAAAATCAACTAAAATTAATGTACAAAGAGTTGTTAAAGGGTTTCAATTAAAATTATCAAAAACTATACACAGTACAATATGCAGGTGATAACATCTTTGAGTGCAATATCATTGGAGTCTGTGTATTTAAAAAGTACTGCCTTTATCTGTTAAGTATACAGGTTCCTTTCTGTTCCAGCACATCTTTCCAAACACTATAGTAGGCTGGTGCTTTTGCTAATTTCGCTTTAAAACTACCAATTTCTACTTATTAAAAACTGCAGTAACTGAATATTGCTCCAATGACAGATTAATAATTCGCCTTTAAAAAAACAGTTATTGGTCTTCTATGGCACTTTTCTCTGGTCCATAATAACCATGTATTACTTATTACCCTATAGGTTAGGCAATCTCATCTCTGTTATATAAAGAAAAAAGAGGAAAATAAACATAATGTTTGTCATAAACAAAATTAAATATGTATAATCCAATATTTTATACAAGTAATAAGGAACAAAGGCAGCCTGTGGTAAATCACTATTACGTTAATATAGTTAGAAACCCTTTAATGACTCTCAAGTGTCTAGTTCACATTTAATGTCACCTGTAGGAACAGCCCTTTGAGAAAGATCATTACAAACTGGTGGGTCGCAAGTCCCCATCCCTTTGCTCTACAACTTCCCAACAGCAATTCTCCCATCACTCTGCAACAGTTTCACTGGCTTTGGTTACCTAGCTCCAAACATATTGTTTCCTTTTAGTCTAACAAGGCAATTCAAGGCCAAACAAAATCACGGTTTCTTTCCTAACCCTTTCCTGAACCATTTACTTCTGGGCAGCCCAGTCCCCACAGGCCTCACTGCCATGAACCCCATTAAAAAGAATGAAGCTTTTTTCTGGCAGAGTAAGTTAGAGGTTTGGAACATGCACACATGTGATAGATATATAGGTGATGAGTTACAGGCAACACAGTTTAAAAAAAACAAACTGGCCATTTAGTTTTTTCTTTTTTGTTTTTTAAAAAATCTATAAATAAGTTGAAAATGGAGTATTTAATACAAGGCAGAAGAAAATCACCCTTTTGCACAAAACTGGGGATTTCCGTAACAGACACGAGTCTCTGGGCACAACTCCACAGCACAGGTGAAAAAAGTTGTGTGATTAAAAACACTCAAAGTTAAATTAAAGAAAACAAATAAGACAGTCAGTTGATGTGATATGAGCCAATCCTGTAGAACTCCCAGAAGTGTATTTATAGTCTCTCTAAAAAGACTTCACATTTTATTGCATTTTTCTATTGGTAGATATACATTCTCATGCTAACTCGTTTCCCTCTTTCTTTCTTGATTCCATACTTTCACGGCCATTTTACCTGGCCTTTCAAAATTATCCCAGCCAGCCCCACCTTCCATCTACCCATTCATCTGTACAATATGCACATAGCAAAGCCAACATATCAAATCTTATCCACATCTACAGAAGTGGTTTCAACAAAGACATTAAAACCAGGTGAACAAAAAAATAAAGGCAACAAACAGCTACAGGACAGAAAGCCCTGCCATCTGTCCATTGGCTACAATGGAGGCTCCTTGTACACAAAGTTTAGTTATGTGTATGCGTTATCCAAAAATAAACCTATCATCTGTACAAAATACACCACAGGTTTGTTTTTGGAGGAGTGATTTTTGATTGCTACAATGCTTTAAAACTCAACAAGGTTGACTACAATATGCATTTCCAAAACTGTTTTATCTATGTTCTTTACAGTGGTTTCCCCCCTATAACCACAAGATTATTTTATTACTGTACATAATTTTAAAAGTTTTTGTATATAAAAATAATCAAAATATTCAGTTTCCCACAAGTCCTTCAAAGCATCACGTGGACGTTTCTCCTTCCTCCACAGTATTTAAGAAAGTTCTCGAACAATGATGAGTTCCACTGTGTTCTGAAAAGTCTTTAGTAAGGATACCGCTTGTCCATGATCAATATTGATGAAGCTATATCCATTAGCCTGGAAAGAAGATTTAAATCCTGTTAAGTATAGAGGAAAACCTTTTCAATAACAGTTTATTTTATCTGTTTAGCCAACTCTAAATTTGATGGTTGTTTTGAGATTGCTGGAAGTGACAGTGGTTCTTCTTCTTTGGTTCTTCTTCAAAGCAGTAGCAGAAGAACCAAAGGGAAGGTTAAATTGATAGTGTGATATGCTGATACTGCCTGGGTTGTCCTGATAGATGGTGTATGTTGGGATGTCCAACAGGTCGATCCCTGCAAGGTTTTGGTAGATCGCGGGTCGATCTCTGGCTCCCTTTCCCTCCCTAAAAAAAGCTCAATAACTTTGACCTGAACCCCCCCCCCAAAAAAATGGGGATAGATCATATTTTAATTCTGAAAGTAGATTGCAGTCTCTTGGGAGTTGGCCCCCCCTAGTGTAAACCATGAGAAAGACAGAAGAAATGCAACCCTGATAATACTCTTGGACCTCTCAGAGATTGTTATTACCCACTGGCCATGGTATCCTGGGGAGGCTCTTTGCACTGGAAGTTTAAGGTATGATGATAAGGTGGTTCCACTCCTACCTGGAGAGCCAATTCTAGAAGGTAGTTCTGGGGAACTACTTCAGGGTTTTGTCATGTCCCCTCCTTTCTAACATGTATATGGAATTGCTATGTAAGATGCCACCAGTATGCTGACAACACCCCTTTCCCCACCCCCTCTCTTTTATTAAATTAAGGTGGAGCAATGAAGGTATGGGAATGGTGCCTATATTCCATAAGGGGCTGGAATAAGGGCCAATAAACTGACACTCAGTTCCAATGAAACAGAAGTTCTGTGGTTTACAGACAGTGCTTTTTTCTGGGGGTATGTATACCCCTAAACATTTTGTGAATCTAAGTTTGGCCTCATTGAGGGGCAGTATTTCAATATGAGTAGGAAAATGAGAGTACCCCTAAACATTTTTTAAAGGAAAAAAAAGCACTGTTTATAGGTATTAAACTTGTTCTGGATGGACTTGTCTTGCTCCTAAATTATCAAGTGTGAAGCCAGGACGTAAGTCCTGGATCAAGCTATGTCACTGCAGGCCCAAGTAGCCTCAGTGGTGGTCTCTCATGGACAGAGGTAGCCCGGCCTCTGTTATCCATGCTCTGGTAGCATCTAGAATTGTCTACAATAATTAGATGTTTGTGTAGTTGCTTTTGAAGAATATTCAGAAACTTGCAATCAGAAGTGACGGAGCGGATAAGGGATGGGGAAAAGAGACAATATTTTGAAGGCTGCTATAGTGATCAACATTAATAATTGGTAAATTGCTTTAAGCTACATTACCTGAATAATTTTATCGCCTGGCTGCAACAGTTTAGATGCTGGTCCTTCAGGCTGTACCCTGGTTACAAATATACCCTTCAAGTGAACAGGAAACAAATGTTAAATACATACATGCTGGTTTATTGGAACACAACCCTCTATATCTGCAGTAGGGATTTTGACTTTTATATTTGAATGACAGATTCTCTGCATCATCCTAGAAGTTGTATCAAAAACTGTGCAAGGCAAAGTCGAAAGTCCCACTGTGCATGTGCACAGTGGTTCAAAATACTGGGCTGGCCTTGTAGTCACTATTGCAAATAAATTTTCACTTGTTTTTGTCTTATCCAATGCTGTACTAGGAATGCAAGATATTTGTCCCATGGGCTAGAAAAACAACATGCCAGTGCTTTTTTTTCTGGGGAAACACAGGGGTACCCCTAAACATTTTTTTAAGGAAAAAAAAACACTGACTTAAGTGACGTTAGCCACAACAGAACAGCTTTCTATTAACACCTAATTTGGCTTAGCTGCCTTCAGGTTAGAGGGTTTGTTTTGGAGTAAAGATTCTCCTTGTTTTCTTAGGCTTTCTTCCTATCTTACCAGCAATCAATTGACCCGAACCCCACTATTCCTCCATTTGTAAAATGAACAGCATCCAGCAGGGCACTAGGTGATATGAAACTCAGTCATAATCTGAGCAGATCCACTGAAATTGACAGACTTAAGTCAATTGATTTTAATTAGTCTACTCAGAGTATAACTAATGCTGAATATTACCTGTTTATTTTACCATACGTAAGTATGGTAAATCTTACTTTTGAAAGTAAGGTTTTAAAAGAGAAGGCTGGCAAGCCTTTCAATCTCATCACTCAAAAGAATTCTCTGGATAAGGCTTACAGCTAAAACCTCGTGTTGTAGGGAATGTATTACATATTGGCGTATGATATGAAGTTTGCTTTATTAAATTAGCCAGACTACCATGAAACTAAAATTCATCAACATTATGGTAGTTCTATAATTTCCTGCGACAACAGGAATTGTGTTTTCCAAATACCTACTTTCCTCAAGTTTAACCCTATCCAGCCTGTTTTTCTTTTTCTTAAGTAGTAATTATTACATATTCCATCTTAACAATTCTTCGCACACAGAGCTAAACTCAATATTGGGCTTATGAGGTCCTTCCACCTCCACCATCTCTCTCTTCCTATTGTGTAGCTGGTTAGATAACAGCGCAAGAAAAAGAGTGAAAAATAATGTTTATTAATGCTGGGGGTGGGTGAAGTGCATGTATGTGTGTGTAAAGGGACCCCTGACCGTTAAGTCCAGTCACGGACGACTCTGGGGTTGCAGCGCTCATCTCACTTTACTGGCCGAGGGAGCCGGCATTTGTCCGCAGACAGTTTTCGACTCATGTGGCCAGCATGACTAAGCTGCTTCTGACGAACCAGAGCAATGCACAGAAACACCGTTTACCTTCCCGCCAGAGCGGTACCTATTTATCTACTTGCACTTTGATGTGCTTTCAAACTGCTGGGTTGGCAGGAGCTGGGACCGAGCAACGGGAGCTCACCCCATCGTGGGGATTCAAACCGCCAACCTTCTGGTCAGCAAGCCCTAGGCTCTGTGGTTTAGACCACAGTGCCACCTGCATACGCACACACACACAAATGCAACTGTTTACAACTATTTATTTATGGTTAATATAGTCCATCCTTCTTCCCAAAAGGAAGCATGGGAAGTCTGAAAGAAAAAAATACATTAATCATAAAACCTTTAAAACATCCTCATATTGAGTTAAACATATTGAGTTCCTCCTCAATAAAGACCTCCCAAACAATAACCGTACCCCAAGAGACTGGATCTATTTAATACTCACATCATCATCAGGCCTGAAGGGATTTCCTCTACCACCAGTTCCTCCTGATATACTAAATCCAAGCTCTGGATCCTTTTCAATTCTCACTCTTATCTAAGAAAATCAGAAAATTGATTTGTTCTGCATGTTCAAGTTCATGGAAAAACTGCAACCATTACATAATCCATTTTTTATATCACATAATACTATGCTTTACTTCTATATTTTCAAGTTCACCAATGCTTTAAAATCTTTTGTTGTATTTCTATTAAGTTTTATATTCTTTGTATTTGTTTTGTAAGTTGTATGGGTTACTCAAAGTGAAATACTTACTAAAGAAATAAACAAATATTTCTCTAAGCATATTGGGCATATTCCTGAAAAAAATTATATGGAAGCATGAATAACAGTGGTAATAAGTGGGCCTTTTCAGCACTGGCCCCGATGTGGTGGAACGCCCTGCGGGACTTGACATTTTTCCTCAGGGCCTGCAAGACAGAGCTGTTCCGCCTGGCCTTTGGTTTGGACTCGGTCTGACCCTTATGTTTCCCTCCCCTTATGGTCTTGATTTATCAGCTATTTTAAAATGAGGCTGCATTTTAAATTGCATTCTAACCTATATTTTAAATTGGTTTGGTTTTTTTCTCCCCGCCCCCCCTCTCTTTTTCCCCTATTATGTTTTTACTGTGTTTTTAGCCACACTGAGCCTGGCTCTGGCCGGGGAGGGCGATGATATAAATAAAAATTATTATTATTATTATTATTATTATTATTAAGGTGACAGGTCATCAGTAAAGGACATTCGCAAGGTCTCAACCAAGTAAATGTTCCCAATGCAGAACAATCTGAGAATTTATTCATTAAGTCGTAACTTTTGCCCTTACCTCTTGCTTTGACATCTCGTGGCTTTGCCTTGATGGACCCTGGGACTGACTATAGGGTGGCTGATGGGCAACTTTAAGCATTAGATAATCAATTAATTGCTCTCTAGAAGGATGTCTTGCCACAGTTGTTTGGGAAGCAGGATGATGGATTTGGCTATAGTTTGCCTGAGGTCTTGGAGGCTGGCACATCTGCCCATTCGTCAAAGGTATCTGGATAAATGAATAATTCTTAAGCAACATTTTACATCCGCAAGAATATGCATATATATTATCTTGATGCTCAGCTGATAATGATTTTGCAACACTTACAAGAGATTTTGTTGTCAAACATGTCTGTTGTATTCTTCTTTTTAAAAAATCTAATAGCATTATACACAAAACAAATGGGAATGAAATGGATTTTTTCCCAACTTTTGTTTAGAACAAACTAGACTACTGGGTAATGGGCTAAACTAATCAATTAGGGAACATATAATTTTTTTGGGTGGAAGTACTCATAGATTTTTGAATTGCTTTTGAAGTTTTAGTATATTGCTTATGGTTCTCAAAGGATGCGGCAGGGGAAGATAGCAAATGTGATGGTAAGATCCAAGGACAATCAAAGAAACATTTAAACATTTTGGTGTACTATAGCATAGTATATAAATTTCGGTGTACTATAGTATAGTATAAAAAATTTCTTTTTTATTTGCAGAATATGAATAGATATCTTTTCAAAATCAGAGCAAGAGCATCAAGTGATACTGAGGACAACGTAGTTGTGATCCAGAACTACTGTTTGAACAGAGAGCTGGAGAAGACTCATTTATAATTATATTTTGTGAATGATTCATGTTCTTAAGTTGCTGCACTGTTTTATACTTTCTGGATGTTCCATGATCATATTAAAAGTAGTTGTGTTCTATGTTATAAATTAAGCATTGCTAGAAGTTGGTTGTTTTTGTTTTCAAATGTATTTTTATCAAAAAATTCACTGTGGCACAAGAAAAAAATTATTCTGAAAGTGTAGCGCAGAGAAAAAGGTTTGAGAACCACTAGCTTATATGAATGCATGAATAATGCATTTATTTTCCCACTCTAATTTGTGGCAGTTAAGCTTGGATAACCAAATGGGTGTTGTAGTTGAGCTACATGATACAACAAGGCACTGGAGTTGCAATTCTATACACAGCTATCCAGGAGTAAATCTCACTGAGTCCAATGTGACTTGTTTCTGAGTAGACATGCAAAGAACAGCTGACATTTTCTGTGTTATAACCTGTCTTGAGTACACACAATTAGGTAAGTAAATAGTTGCTGATTTTTTTCCTTCACTATGCATTTCTTGCCCATAACAATGGCCTTGTTCGGCTGCAATTAACAAGGTATGGGCTTGTGAGCTCCCAACTCCCCTGTTCTCCTACAATGCAGCCACAACAGGAGACTGGAAACCAATAAAGCCAGAATGGATCAGCATTTGAATCCAGCTTCAAGCAAGGCAGAAAATGAACTGAGCCTCCAAGGAAGGCGAGCAGCTCACATCTAGTAAAAGGATAGCATTTTCTGCCTCCTTCAAGCAAACGGAAGATGGAAACCCACGTGGCCGTGTCCAAGTGCCACCCGAGAAGGGACGTTTCTGCTTCCATTTTAAGTGAAGCACACTTTATTTATTTAATTATTTAAATAAATAATTAAACTGCACTGCAATTTATTTAATTATTTCATAAAATTTATGCACCGCTTTGTTGTAAAAAAAACAAACAAACCTCAAAGAAGTTTACTCATTATGCTCAAGCCTGGACAAATTGTGGTCTGTCTTAACTATAATTTAGGGAAACATGCCAGCTTCAAACAGTGATTAATTTCCCTAAACCATAGTTAACAATTATAATAGTTCTGCATTTGGACATAATTAATTATTAATTAACTACAAATGAAAGCTTTTGATCTTCTTGTTAACACAGCAGGGAGGTGGGAGCAACGAATCCATAGTTTAGCATTGTATCTGAACCAGATATGCGTGTCAGAACAATACTTTTATAGATTGTGAATGATCCCTGTAGCTTATTACCTGCACAGGAACTTTCTTCATGTTGTCTGAAGCAACATCTTTGAGGCTAAGTGTGGCAGATGAATAGTTCTGCTGTCCAGCAATGAATACATCTTCCTGACATTGCTCTACTGAGGTTGATGTTTGGGGATGCTTTAAATGATAAAAGCATACAAACATTACTGCTGTATTGTAAACACATTATACAAGAATTGCCAATTTTGTTCATATGACTGTTAAGCATATTACTTTGGTGCATTCAAGAATTTAATCATATTAATCAGCCTTGAGAGGACCATAAATGTTAACTCCAGCTTTTGAAACAACACTGGAACTTACTCTGAACTGCATAATAAAACTATTCATTAAACAGTTGCTATTTAAGGATTTACAAACATAACACAAAAGTCTTTTGTTAACTTTGTTCTGCTAGATTTACCCGATGCCCATCCGCTTTTTGGAACATGAACCTCACCATTGCCACTTCCTATACCTTGTCTTGCTGAACTATGTTAACAATTTAGTTTGCACGAATTCCTCTAAATATAATTTCTATTGCTTATTTTCCCTCAGGAATTGAAAGGTAGGTGGGACTGGGACAGCCATTCTCTTTTTATGACAGAAGTATGGGGTTCCAAAGCAGCTCAGTGGAACTACTGTGAGCTGTGTATCAAACATATCATCACCATCATCATCATATTATTATTATTTAGTATTAATAGAGCACTATCAACGTGCAGAGCTCTTCACAGTCTGACCAATAAAAAGATACATTCTTGTTCCAAAGGTCTTAAAATGTAAATCAGTGAGAAACAACAGAAGGAAGAAAGATTAATAACGCAAAGGCAACAGGAAAAGAATATGGTTCTGTTCAGTTACATGCTAAATTACAATAAGGAATGAGGAATCAAGATTTAGCCAAAGGTTACATGGAGGAAGACCCCAGGAGGCAGGTGGGACAGCAAGGAGAAAGTGCAGAGTGATGCATCAGGAAGAATTCAGTTGGCTGAGGATGCTGGAGCTGGAGACAGCATGTACTGCAATATGATAATGAAAAAATAAGGGAAGGGAAGGTCAGGCTAGGCTATGTTGGATACAGGAGCAGACAGGAAGCCAGTACAGGTATCTAAAGAGGGAAATGATATGATATTAAATATGATGAGTGAATTATTTCTGAGTGCCAAGATGTTGCAAAAGAAGGCCAGAAAGGAGAAGGCTGCAGTACACAAGGTGAAAGATGGCCCAATTATGAACTGGAATTTTTGCCAAGAGGGCAAACAGGAATGGTCATATTTTTGCAAAGTTATACAATGTGATTTGGAAACAGATTGAATATTGAGAAGAAATAAAGATAATGTTCGGGCCTCATGTCCTATAAACAAAATGGATGATGATGTTGAGTAGAGAATCCAAAGAGACAAAAAGGCTTGTGGAGTTGTGTAAGTTCCTTGGACATATTAAGTTAACTTTTAATCAAGAAAAACGAGGGGGGCTATAGATGGCTCATACTTAGAAATGAGTAATTATATCTAACTACGGAGTATTACTAAATTAAACTTCCCCTATTATCTATGAGGAGAAGTTGGTGAATCCTTGTGAACCCCAGTATAGAATTGTGATTCTGGCTGCTGCCTATGCCTTTATAACACAAAGCTGCAGTACTGTTTACATAGTTTCAACAGCGTACAGAGCACTTTTTATAGGGGGCTCTGATTAAATTGCACAAGTTAAAATAAAAGGGAAAACATAACAGGGGAGGTAGTGAATAGAGAAGCTAAAGCATCAGTGTGAGCCAACAGAAATACATAAAAATCACTCCAATTTATTTATACTGTATTATCATAGAATTCCACAGGCTGAAAGCAGTAACCATCAGGTTACACTGACACCAGATATGCTTGTAAGATAATAAACAAGCTCAGAACTATTGAATTATCTAAACATCTCAAGGAAGGAAGCTGTTTTTCCATCCTTGAGAAGGAGAATCCCTAAGGTCACCTGTCAATCTCTTCAGTATCTTTATATGGCTATCAGTTGGCTTGTAGGCAGAACATGCCAAATTATTATTTAAAAAATTAAGTCTCATTTCAGAACTGCTCTTCTCTGATGCTTTAGCAGAAAGCATTTAAAAAAAATTACAAATATTGAAGGAAAATTCTTCAATAACTGCCATTATTGAATCATCATATTACAGTAATGGGTGGAATCAGCCACAATCCAGAATTACACAATTACAAAAGTGCGGTTTTAAAGGCACTATCACATGCCTCTTCCAATTTCTTACTAACAATAGCCTGTTTATGTATGTACTCACACGAACAATGTGAACACCAGAACTTCTTCCGTCTGCAACACTCAAGGCAACATTGCCTTGGCTGCCATGCAGATCCCTAGAGCTGCCATAGTGAAAGCTGCTAACTGGAGCATAATTGGAATTAAAGGACCTAGACAGCATGCTCTGAATAAAGAGGGGACAGATAACAGAGATTAGTGCAGCATGCATAAACCACGAGACACGTTATACACCAAGTCAGTATGGACACACATACTGCATAACCATGCAAAAAAGAAATATCATGCACACAAGGGTAACACCCATTGTGACTAGAAGAAACCTCAGTGACATGCCGTGTGATCTTACTTGTTGTAACGTAACAAGCAGTCTGACGTAACAGACACACAAATTACGTAAAAACAAGCCCATTCAAAATGTGCACAACGCTAAGAAAAACAGATGTTTAGCCGTCATGTTTTAAACATCCTCAACATAATCTATGGGCAGGAAGGGAAAGTGGATGAATGAAGTACACTTTTCTGGAAGCTCATTCTGAGCAGAAACACCGTTGCCTCGACATATTTCTGCATTGCAGACAACTCCCTGCTTACATGCATTTTATTTGCGCGCGCACACACACACACACACACACACACAGTGTCAGGTATCTGGAAATGGGAAGCACCTGGGCAACCAAGCCCAGCCATCCCTCTGGTTCTTCCCCGCTCATCAGCTGTGCCCATCCATGCAGCCATGTGAGCCGGAGGGACAGTGCAGGTTACCCAGCTGAGGTGCAGGGAAGCTTCACCCCTGCCCACCAGCTGAACTGATACTTGTGACCCCCCCCCCGCCATTTTACACGATTTTGCATATGCAGACGGGGGTTCAGAATGTAACTCCCAGGTAAATGGGGAGTAGCTGGTATTTTAGGGGGCAGTTTTTACAACACTCTTTTCTGGTCTTTCAAAACCAGCACAAAATTAGAATTACTGAAATTTAACATGACTTAAATTGAATTTAGAAGACTAATAAGTTTTATCTTCAAAGTTTAGAATTTTCAAACCATTTTCATTTACTTAAGATGCGATAGCACTTTCCAGTGCCGATACTGATTATGACAACATTGGTTTAAATCATCATCATATATATATATATATATATATATATATATATATATAGTCAATAAAGGACACAGGAACAACAAATGCAGCAAATCCGGTAGTTTTGCAAAGTTAGCTGACTTGACAAATGAATCAGCAAGGTTCAAACACAAACACTCACAGTTCCTAAATGTTTGCAATATTACTAGATGTTATGAGGAAACCAATAATGATAAACACAGGCTAAAATCCTGAGCACTGTAATAATAATAATTTTATTATTTATATATGTCCCATTTCAATAGCTCCCCAGCAGAGAGAAGTGATATTTAAAATATTTTTATTCTACTTTTCCTCAAAAGGAGTTCAAGCTAGCTAACAATTAAAACAATAAAATAAGAAAAAGACCATAAAAACTACAAAAATTAAAAGCAACAAACGTTAAGCACATTAATCAAAAGTTACTCAATAAAACAATTTAAACTTTCTCCAACAGCATGCCATTAACATGCAGTGAAAAGTTATTAGAAAGATAGCTAGGCAGGCTTTCCTCAAGGAGGTTGTCCAAAGCCTGAGCCTAGCTATTGAAAAGGTCCTTTTATCGATCCTCAACTAGATGTATTTTAGGAGTCATTGAAGCTTCTATTGAAGATCTTTACAGCTTCATTAACTTTGAACCATGAAATCAGGAATCCCCTCTAAACCGCACCCCATAAACTAACTAATACTCAAACCAGGATCATCCCCCAAAACAAAGTTTTACAACTGTTTTCAGCGAAAACCCCAAGTTTTGAAGGGCCCCTCAAAATGGGTTACTGTCTTAGTGTGGGGGCCATACTAGAGTTACTCTTCTTCACCTTTTGTTTTTCAATGCATGCATGAGACTGGTGCACCCAAAGAGCCCACCAGGATTGCCTTCTGAGTAGTCAAACATAGGATTTCAAGATAACTTATCATGACATATATCTGTCTCTTTGGGAAGCAGAACTTGCAAGTTAATAGTTTCAAATACAGAGTTGTTGTTTTTAAAGTACTTTTTATTGATACCCATTCCAATGTAAAGGGTCTATTACCAGCTTCTTTAGGAGCTCCCAGGAAAGTAGGCAGAGCAAGGGTTAAAGACTACACATTGTGAAGACCACAGGCCTCTCATCAATTTGTATGGATACTCTCGTGTGTATTAAACATGTTCTGAACCAGAATCTACATTTTATGTTGCCTTACAGTTCTGCTACTGGAATTGTTAAAAAAAACCAGAAATGTTTTATTTGTTATAAAAATCTCAATAAAAAAAGTAAGACGGCAACCAACTTTTGAGGGTGCTGCAAAATGTGGGGGTTTCATTACAAAAAAGCTGCAAAACAATTGAAAAACTTTGTAGTTTGTAGCTGATCTTAATTACCATGCAGGCTTGTACAAAAGAAGGCTACTTCCCAATCCACTGTGGCCTCTTGCTATGTGATGATCTGAGACTTCTGACATTCCAGAGCATAGCGGAAAGGAGATGTGCAGTGACTCCCTCATAGCTGAGACCATGTTAGACGGGGTCTAAACCCAGCATTAATCCTTAGCTGTTTTTGGACTACAATTCCCATCATCCCTGACCACTGGTCCTGCTAGAGAGGGATGATGTGAGTTGTAGTCCAAAAGCAGTTGGAGACCCAAGTTTGGGAAACCTTGACCTAGTCTGTTCATGAAACAGAAAGAGGTGAGATGATAGAGTTCTGAAGCTTTAGGATGAATAGTATCATTTCAGTTACATTTTAGAATTATCCCTTACATTTTTTAAAACAAACAAACAAACAAATATGTTCTGCTATCAGAAAATAAGCACAGCAGGAAGACAGCTCTCCCTGATGTGCTGATGTTTTTTGTTTTTCAGGAAGCTTGGTACATAAATGGCATCCCCTACTTGCACACGGGTGGCGCTGTGGGTTAAACAACGGAGCCTAGGGCTTGCTGATCAGAAGGTCGGCAGTTTGAATCCCTGCGACGGGGTGAGCTCCCATTGCTCGGTCTCTGCTCCTGCCAACCTAGCAGTTCGAAAGCACATCAAAGTGCAAGTAGATAAATAGGTACTGCTCCAGCAGGAAGGTAAACGGCGTTTCCGTGCGCTGCTCTGGTTTGACAGAAGCAGCTTAGTCATGCTGGCCACATGACCCGGAAGCTGTACACCGGCTCCCTTGGCCAGTAAAGCAAGATGAGCATCGCAACCCCAGAGTTGGCCACGACTAGACCTAACAGTCAGGGGTCCCTTTACCCTGCACACTAAATTGATACATTCCTTCATTCTACCCTCACATTCTGCTACATGTGTAAATGAAATCTTCCGCTGTACAAAATACTTATCTTGCTTAATAGGGTGGAACCATACCTGCACATTTCCAATTATATTGTTTTAAGGAGAAGAATTACAAGACTTCACCCTTTTAAAAAGAATGCTGAAATTCAGGAATGGCATATTTCTGAGGGGGTAAGGGCACCAGAACAAACAAACACACACACACACACACACACACACACACACACACCACCCATTGCTGTTTAGCCTAGGTTTAGCTTAGGTTTAAAATGTATTCAGACTTTTGTATAGGAAACTAATCTGCGAGCTGAATTTGAGTACTTTGGCCTGAATTCTTTTAATGGCTTTTTCTACTGGTTTCACATGTAGAATTTATTATCCCTAATGTGACCTTTACTGAATTCCTTCTCAACAGGGGCTCAATTAAAATAACTGCTGATGAAAGCCAATGAATACACTAGAAAGGTGAAAAACTGGTCGAACTAAAAGTAAGTCCCATAGTGCTTTTATACATAAAGTATTCTTTTTAGGTAACTTAAGGCTCATTACTTCCCACATGTCTGAGAGCTTTCCTCATTGTTCCACAGCTGTGCCTTGCGAAAATCTGATCTTACCCACTGAACTGAAGCTTGGTTAAGCAAAATCTCTCTTTGAATTTTCAGTGCATCTGATAAGATCCAATTCAGTGGGTAAGATCAGATTTTGGCAAGAATAATGAGAAAAGCTCTCGGACCTGGGGGAATTAATACACAATACAATCAAAATATAGATCAAGCAAAAGTGTGGATCAACCCTAAATTTAAAGAGTACCATTACAAATGAGAACATGGGTGTTGCCGAAACAAACACTAAAGCTAAGCAATGCATATTATTTTAGGAATGAGACCAATTTCAGAATTCTAGGACTAATGGCTGGTTGATGTGCTTTAAATCATGCTATCTAAGAAACCACATATTATTTGCAGTATGATTGCCACTTACATTTTCAGAGTGTTTGTCATGTTTCCTTAAAATCAAACTGAACCATGTAGGTTCAGTGGCTAACAGTATGGCATGTACCCAAACAGTGTAACCCTTCAGAGACAACTACATCAGAATAATTAAATGAAACTGCAGGTGGGATCTACATCATTCATAAAAATGCCAAACCATGCTGAAGTGCTATGGAAAAGAGCCTGAGTGGGCCTTAGCTTGGGCTCTCCAAATTCCCTTCTCTTCTACCAGTGCAGTGGTGAGATTAGTTAAAAGCAAATGCTTCCAATCAGTTTGTTTTTATTTCCAAGCCAGAACTAACTGTGGCCAGCTTTAAACTGTGGTTTACAATCTTGGCTTGTTCAGATAAACCGTAGTTAAAACCAGTCACAGTTTGTCCTGGTTAGGACAGTTAGTTGAATATGGAAGTAAATGCTTCTGTTTTCCCCCTTACAGCCACACTGAAGGGAGCCAGGGGAGCGCCCACGAACCCAGGCCCCATTTCCACAACACTAAAGTTAGTTTTATATCTACAGCAGCCTATGATGAAGTACTTTGGAATTCTCTTTCAGGAAACAGCCATTTCATTCATACTCTACCCTGCAACTATTTACTATAGTTCCAAGATTCAGAGACTTCTCATTCTGATCACCGAAATTCAAAAACAAGCATTTAAAGCTATGTGGAACATATGATCAGTATGAATCCAAGTCCTAAGTTTTACATCAGTCTTTTATTTAAGCACTCACCTGACAGCCACAAGCAACAAGGCTTTGCACACAGGCAAGTCAACTGGTTGGCAGACAGTGGTGCTAACTTGAATAAAATATGGGGGGTGCAAGGCAAGCCCCACCCCACATAATTGATCACATGACACAGTGCACCCACACCATTTGAATACAATGCCCATAAACCTGGGGGGGAGCAGCCTCCTCAAATATTTTATGGGGTGGCAAAGCCCCCTCAGCCCCTAGGAGTTGGCTCCTATGTTGGCAGACAAGGTGCTGAGTGCTCCATCCCTTCTCTGTGCCCAGCATAGCAGCCAAGCAGGCTGCCAGAGGATAGAAGTCACTTCCTTCATACTCTACATAGAAATACAGTAGGCTACTGTAGAAGGGACAGAGGACCCTGTCCCTCCTCTGCCAGCTCCCACCAAACTAGGGTTTTTTGTGCTTGTGTGCAGACTAGTGACTTTTGTGGATTTACAATGCTGTCTTGGTGAATCAGTCCAACTTTCTGTCTCCAACAGTAGCCACCAGATGGCCCCAAGAAGCTTAAAATATATGGGAGGATGGATTTAAGCCACCACCAACCGAGGAGCTATATTTAACTGAACATGAAATGCAATTGATAAAATGTTTGGGTTTTTATATCAAATATGGATTGTAACAGATTAGAAAATCTGCATTTAAAGCGAAGGAGCTGCTTCTGACAGCGGGAACAAATATCTAAACAATGCAGTCCTTTGTTACCAGTTTTACAGTAACATGTCGGTACTGCAGCAGAACACTGACCCTAGCTGAAGGTAGCACCAATGCAATCTATGGGTCTGTTCCAATATTACGTCTGATACTGCATTGTAAAACTCAACGAGAAAATAATGTGTGATCTCCTGTAATTACATCCCTGGTAATTTCTTCTCCCCCCCGCCCCAAGCCCCCTTCCTTTCATTCCTCTTCCCATGTCCTTTTACTTTTACCTCTTTCTCTTGGAAATAGCTTTCTTTTCTTCCCTGCTTTTCTATTCCCAATTTGTTTTTATATTTATTTATGGTTATACATTAACCTTTTGCAAATTCCTCCTCTGCCCTTTTTCCCTCAGAGGAGGAAGATTTCCTTTCCTCTCCTCATTCCCCAAACTGTCTTCCAGTCTGCTGGTCCAACCAAAAGGCTATGGCATAAGTGGCAATAGAGGGAACAGAAGAGGTACTGGGCATGGCAATGAGGCCTTCCTGAAGGTGGCCCAAGGCACACTGGTGGGTTCTGATCCACTATTTGAGAAACATGGTGTTATTCAAATGTCATTGTACGAGATTCAGTCATGGCAAAGCAGCAACCATGCGCCTCTGATAATATATGAATCAGGTTTTCCTATCTGAGCTTCCAGCGTGCTGAAACACATCACTTTCCCACTTAGATTTCACTAGACATTATGGCAAAAAACCTCAGATATTCTTTAGCGACTTACTATTTTCAACAAAGCATGTAGGCAGGATGTCAGATAGTCACAGTTGTTTGTGCAACAGGATGCATGCTTAAATTAGCTTCTATCATGTTTTGAACATGGTTTTAAATTTATAAATAGATTACTTAAAATTTCAAAGCACACTATCACAGCTGGAGAACATGCATCACTTCCAAAACTGGACTTTTATAGGTTGACTCAGAAGAAGAAGTAGTAAAGTTATTTACCTTTTCTAATTTTTTGGCCTCAATGTGTCGCAGCACCTGTTCCCTCCAGTCATGGGGAACTTTACTTTTTCCTGGAGGATCTAGCAGAGAGTGTTCAGAGTTAACTCTTGGGTTTGTTCTTTTAGAAGGACTAGTCCTTGAGTAATTGAAGTCACTAACTGACATAGTTCTCTCTGGTATTTCGTTTGCTGAAGGGCGAGCACTCTGAGGCCGAGGTACGTTGGGCCCATCCACACTGTAGGTTCTTGCAGAAAGAGGTCTTTGCGGCCCTGACATTATTGGTGGAACTCTTCCCATTGAGTGCAAATCCCTGTATGTTAAATAATCTCCTTCAGGAACCTGAGGGCGCCGAGGAGGCCCAGAATCACCAATGTTCATGGAAGCAGTGGAAGAGACACTGCTCTGCCGCTGGAGAGTATTTCGGCTTGCTCCAGAAACAAGTCTGTCATTTGGTGGAACGGCCCACATTTCCATATGCCGGCCACCCATCCTTTGATGCGTATTATACGCAGCAGTAGCTCTAACATTGTTATGGTTAGAGAAATTCATGTTGGCAGAATGTTTCACAGAATTACAGCCATCTGTGGTATCTGACCTTGGCAAGCGTTGAGAAGGCAGACAGCTTTGTTCAACTAGGGAGTTTTGTTTCGGGGGCCACAAGGATTCTTTGGCTGCCATGCTGCTACTGTACTGGATATTATATTGAGGGGTACTGAATTGTTGCGAAGTATTTGTCCCTTGCCCTCTTATTACATTAGTACCTTCAGGATTATGATTCGAATCAAATTTGAACACTGTTTTTGTACACATTAAATCAGACGATGACGAACATGCAGGAAATACTTGTAATGGCTGGTCATAGAGGAGAGTAGCTGATTTACTCCGGACTATGTTTTTTCCATCAGGACCAGTAACTGCTGGTTTTACTACAGGATTTGGCTGCTGGGATCCATTGTCATTGATGATATCGTAAATTTTCAGAGCACCTGTGTCCATGTTAGTTATGCTGTGAGATTTCACAACTGGTCCACTCCGCTGGGGGGACAAGTCTTCAGTGCTTTTTGAAAGACACATTTCCAAAGAAGAATCAGTATCAATTGTAGCACTTCTCTTTAGCTCTGGTTTTCCTGCACAATGAAGCCCTTCCTCAGAATGTCCATTGACATTATTTATAGGACCCAGGTTAGAATATTTATTTCCATTTTCCAAATGCTCAATTTCTTCTTTTATATTATTGTTTAAAAAGCCCTTAACTGATGATATTTCTTGTGATTTTATTCGTTCTACTACATTTGATTGGATTGCTTCCTCGTCAGTCAACTTGCAGATATTCATGTTAATTTGGTGAAATTTGTGACACTCATCAGTAGCATTGTTTAGCTCAACACCTCTTTCTATCAGAGCTAATCTCTCCTCAATGTTTAATCTGAATTCAGTGAAATTTGTAACTTGATCTTCAGCATCTAGTTTTTCATCTGCTATGACATTTAATTCACCTCCATTTTGTAAAAGACTATTGGAATTTTCATCTTCTTGCCTGAAAGCAAAAAAAATAATAGTTTAACAAACTGATAGATATGACAACAGCATTGTTATTATATTGGTATATCAATTACTTGTTGTGCACTAATAAAGTAGTTTTATAAGATGCAATGTACTAAGCATCTCCTTGCCGAGATAAAATTGTAGCATATTAGGCATTATTAAAACATAAACACAATCTTTAGTGACAAACAAAATGTTTGGTAGCAATACAAAAAACTAAGTTATTGTTCACTGAAATTACTTCAGTGACTGTAGAGCATCTGCTATGTATTTAACATTTTTAGAGGCTAAGATACAAAAACAAGATGTCAAGTGTGAAAGGAGAAATGCTAAAGTGTGTCCAAACACATTTGTTACATGGCCAGATAGACAGTGCCGGGATAAGGCACCTGACCAAGTACTATTCTGGTACTGCCGGACAAGTAGTATCTCATGTCAACTATGCTGATGCAATGGGGGAAACACAAGAGAACTTAATGTTGAAGAGGCAGGTGATATAGTTCATGGAGGGTAGTGGCAATTTCTTCCAGCTTCTGCCAATTCCCTATAAACTGCACATTTCCTTACTCAGCTTGCTTTGATTTGGACATATTGGGTTTCTCTAGTGTACAAGTCCCATGTCAGTACAACAAACCAAAACTCAGCAGAGGGACAGCAAACCAAAATAAGCAGATTTAGAAATATAATATGGGTGGTCATCTATAACTTGTATAGGAAAACAACAAATCCACCGTTTAATTTCTAAAATGGTTTTAAACAATTTATGAAGTTATTAAAAAAAACTAGCATAGAAACATGAAAATGACTTTTCAAATCAATATTCCAAACAACCATGCTATGTGGTATTTTTCACACCTGATTTTGGAAGTGATAGCCATGTTAGTTTCCTTGTCTGGAGAGCACAGAGATGCTTCACGACTACTGTCGGTATTTAGAGAAACCGAGTCGGACATTCGAGAAGGAGATGAACAATTGCTGTTATTCTGATTACTGTTGTGTGTGGGGTCATCCGACAATGAATCTACATCTTTGCTGTCATCTAAAAAGAGTTTAAGTTAGCTTAGTCTAGGTATATAATTACCTTATGGTCCATTCAGTTTCATTTAATTTTCACAGGAAACCTACTGAATATATACAATCATAGAATTGCAGAGTTGGAAGGGACCCCAATCTAACTAGCAAACTGTTGTGAAACAGAATTTCAGATCTAAACAATTTCATTTCAACTTAGTATAGGCTAAAAGCAACAACATTTTGCCCACTACTGAAATTTGTTAACGCTGCCCAACCCAACTCCTCAAACATAGTCAAATTATGTTACATGTACCCTTACATTCCTGGTTGCATAATGAAGTGAAGTATACATATATTTCACAGCTTCTGCGTGATATGCTTCAGATGGTCAAGTTACATGCATTTCGGTTAATAATAATAATAATAATAATAATAATAATTTTATACCCCGCCTATCTGGCTGGGTTTTCCCAGCCACTCTGGGTGGCTTCCAACAACACACTAAAATACAATAACCTAGAAGCAATTAAAAAAATTCTATGAAATTACTGTCAGCTCTTCATTAAACAATCCCCCCCCCCACTACATAAATTTTTCACAAATGTACTGGACATTATCATGAGCAAGATACATATTTCTATGCCTGTTATTCAAGCACAGCAACATCCATTATATTTAAGCAGAGGAAATATAGTCGAGTAAGACGTGTACTATGATCATAATTACTTATGTAATCATGCTCCAAGCAATAAGGCATGTGAAAATATGCTCCATTAACCTAAGCGCACATGTGCTAGTTTAAGGATTAACTTTCTAAAAGATGCTTCCAGTTACTTTCATACAGCTTTAATTTAGCTTAGTTTTATAAACTTTAACAACTGAAAGATTGTTTAAGCTCACCTTTTTTGCTATTGCCAAGTGTTACCACCTTTGGTTGGTTAATAGAGGTTTCTATGAGAGGGGGTCTCATTTCTGCTATTTTCATTTCTTCATCAGAGGACAACTCTTCTGACTCCTGCCAAAGGAGAGGTGTGTGGTATAAATTTTCAGATGCTTGCCAAAATAAATAACTCCTTAGACAAACCTAAGCATTTCTGCATGCATTGTTCATTTCCGCTGGTATCTCCATTTATTTTATTTTTTTTATTGTTACTGTAACTCTTCATATTGCATTAAGATTGCTCCTGAGAGGAGCAGCTCATTGTGCAGCTGCAGTCAGAGGTTGGGCTTCAGAAGACAGCAATATACCCACCACTCACTCTGGAGCAAGACCCAGGCACCAAGAAGAAAGCACAAAGGAAACACTTAAACTACTACTACTACTACTACTACTACTACTAAATAATAATAATAATAATAATAATAATAATAATAATAATAATAATAACAATAGTTATATGCTTCATTTGAAATACTGATAATATGTAAGCTTTGAAAGACCTGGGTGGGAAATTGAGTGGGGCACACAGAAGGAGAGTTTGTGCATTTCCAAGGCCTTGAAACAGGATAACTAAATTTTAAGAAAAGTCCCCAGACCTATTTGGCAGGCTTAATCCAATCTGGAGGGGAAATTTGCTGTGCCTATTTCTGGGGTGGGGGGAGTTATAGCTTTAAATAAAAATTGACAAGAGTGAATGGAGAAGGGGAGTCAAAAACACGTTGTTTTCCAAAACAAACCCACATCTTAGATCTCAAAATGAATCTGACAGCCTTTGAAGCAGCCAAGGTGGGCTGTTTTCCAAAGCATCAAACTGGGCTTTGAACGGAATTTTGTGCTCAGGAGCTACTACTAGCCTATAAACATATGGTATATATTTATATGCCACCCACTTACACTTATGAGTGATTGACAAGCTGTATAACAAATATAAAATCTCACAAAATTACAAAATCAAACACAACGTGTAACAAAGTAAAATCATAACTATCAGACGTAGTAGCAACTCAAATAATAAAGCAGAGCAAAACAGTACTGTTTTGTTTACTGATTATATTTATATCCTGCCTTGCAGAATGCAAGGTCCTCTCCCTTCTCCCACGCCCTTTATCCTCAGAACAATAGATTAGGCTGAGAGTGGCTGACCCGGTAAACCTCACAAATGGGTGTTTTCCCCAGTCCTAGTCTGACATTCTACCACAGCACCACATTTGTTGGGATCTCAAAAAAGTAACTCCGGTGCATATTCTCAAATAAAAAAATGTGAAAAATATGCACACTTCATTTGAACAGAAATAATGAAAAGGCAATTTCAGAATCATTTAATGTAATTAGTTATTCATTTATCTATTGTGTTCTGATTAAATGCTGCCTATTCAAAAAGTAATTTGCTGCTGGCAACTGTAACAGGATTTTAGCAAAACACTTCTGCACACATCTACTCAGAAGTAATCCCAGGTCATCATGTACTAGACTGTAACTTAAGTGTTCTTGTGAGTTTGATTTATTTTTTAGGGGTAAATGAAAAATATTTTGCAATTTATATTCTCCTCATCATGTTTTGCTCAGCTTTGGGTGTTGCTTAGTTGGCAGAGAACATGCAAGGGAAACAATTAAACTACCTCAAGAGTATCCTCATGATTAGCAATTGGTATTTTGTTCTCAGAGGTTTCAACTTGAGTATTCATCTGCAAGTTTCCGGTGCTATTCTCAACTTCTGCTACATTAGGTTTTTGCACACAGTTTCCTATCACATTCTGCTCTTTGTTTTCCATTTTGCTCTTTGCTGGAGTAATTTCTGCAGTCTATGATAGAGTTAAAGACATTAACAAACATTCTATTCTGGAAATCAAAGCTCATATACTTATTACTTTCATTTATTTAAAAAAAATCTATACTGCTTTTCATTTGCATAAAGAAACATCAAAGCAGTTCACACAATAACAGAATATCCATTAACAATACTCATCAAGAAAATCAGTAAAATGGTCACAATGAGCAGTAATAATAATTAAGCAGTTTAGTGCAGTAAATTATTTATACTTATATATTGCTTCACACATCCAGAAGCAATTCACGATAACAAAATATGTAAGAAATTCTGTAACAAATACAAAGCTAAGTGTTTGTCCAGAGAAAGTACCATCTAAAACAGAAGAAAATGTCCACCCCACCCACAAAGGATGAATACCAATAGCCCAGCCATTATCGCTGTCCAAACTAAGGGTCAAAAAGGGCTTGGGTGAACTGTCCCAAACACAACAACAGAGGCTTATGTGTATGTAAGAAAGGAAGTTTTATTCAAGGATTGTAAAGATTCAGATGGAGTAAGAAGTAAAGATCACCAAAGGTGACTAAGAGTTCAAGAATGCTATCAGGGTCTGAGACTGGATGAACTCTGCAACAAATGGGCACAACCCGCCCCCCCATCAGCTTTTAAAGGTGATACATAGCATGCTCACTTGTGAGACTGGTGCACTTGGAGTTTTGTGCTTCGCCTAATGGGGGTGTGGGTCTGCTGCCAACAGCAGAGGTGGCACCAAGTTCTCAGCCACAGAACAGAGCTACCCAGTCCAGCTGCCCAGCCTCTCCTTCTGGCTCGTCTATGCTCTTCCCCATTGCTAGGGAAGCTCTTTCTTCCATTGATGGAGGGGGCAGCAGAGAGAGCAAGTGGGACTGTCTCCCCTTCTCTGGCCTCTAAAGACAAAGGATCATGTGTGCAGGGGTCCTGCCCATTCCTGCTTGCAGTGTCCCCAGTACTCTCCTTCTCCTCCAACTAATCTGAGCACAACTCCCACCCTGTACCACTTGGGATCACTGAGTTCACGACAGGAATCAACACATTTCTACAAGTGACAAACTACTATTTTGCCACTTTTATCTCGTAATAATCTTGATATAAATCAAATGGAATTTTGACCTCACTCCATCTGTGAATCCTTTGATTTTTCTCTGCAAAGACCAACAAGGGGGAAGAAAGAAAGGTACTGAAAGCAGATATGCCTACTTACGAGAATCAGAGAACATAGTAATTACTTAAGCTATTTTCTAAATAGTGGCCAATACACTCAAATCAATTACTCTCAGTCCATGTTAAAATTACAGTCTACCAGAGCTGGTTAATTACTTTGTGGAATGCCAAAGGTAAGTTTTTTGTTTTTGTAAATGTTTATGATTATCTAAACATTTCCACAGTTCAAATTTTAGTATTTCATTAAAATGATCAAAATAAGACAAAAAATAGAATTTTAAAACTAACCTTTACACCTGTATCTTTCATTGAAATTGGCTGACTTTCTGGCTTTGATTCTTTACTAGCATCATCTGGGTTTTCTTCATCTTTCAGTCTGTGCACTATTGTTTGAACTGTTTTGACCATATTCTTCAGCTCATCAGGGTAAGGTGTTGGATACCTCTTCAAATTACCCTCCTAAGCAAGAAAAAATAGTTTTTAGAAGTCACATCACAGTTGCAAAGCAACTCTACAAATTCTGACATCAGCTGTGGAAGAGAAGAAACTTTCCACTATAATCATAGGGCTGCTGCTGGCATTGAAGTGAATGGGGAATGCACATGTACAGTCCTCCTTACATTTCTCACATTTCTACTCAACTCTATCTTTAGGGAACTCATTATTTTCATAGGATCAGTCTCAGCTAGGCATTGCTCCAGTACCAGAAGCTGTAAAAGAAACCTTGAACATGCATGAAGCTACAGATCACACATCTTGCACCTATAGACCACTACATTTATTTGCATTATTTATGCTTTAATCCTATCTTTAAAACTATTTGTTATTTTAAATTACCTTTCTACTCCGCTTTTCTCCTCTAATAAACATGCTTAAAGTGGCTAACAAAATCTTGCAAACACCAGAAAGAAAAAGACTAATAATTCACTTCATTAAAATGACAAAACAAACAGAACAAAAAGCGGCAAGACTGAACATGACATGCACGAGGTTCCCAGAGAGTTTGTTATCCAAGCACTAACCAGGGCCAGGCCCACTCCAAATCGGTGGCTGGCTGCATCATGTGCCTTCACAGCCTAACCTCAAAGAGCTTCACGTTAAAGACTGTCTACATGCATTCTAAATGAAAGCTATGATCCTCTAGAATCTCACTGAAGCCTGAAGGTTGTGCAAAAGAAATTGTGAGAGAGTTGCTAGGAGGTTACCCAACTCAGCAGGAGATCCTATTAAAGGCAGAAAGTGTGAAACGTATGAAGGAAATCATGACAGAATAAAGCAATTGCATACCCTGGGTGGTGCTTCTCTTTCATCTTTATCTTCATCACATTCAAAAGCAACCTGAGCACGCTGTTTCCTCTGCTCCTCCCACAGTGAAGGGTTGAAACTTTCGTTATCAGATATAAACATAACTAAAGAATAGAAAAAGGAAAATGATTCCTAAGCAAATAAGCTCCGAGGGGTCTGGGACTTCAGGACCGTGATACAGGTGAGGGCCCAATAATTTAAAAGTCAGAAATAGTAAAATCGGTAATCCAATCTAAATAGATACTCCCTTTATCATCAAACTTTTTTTAAAAAATAGGAAAAAATAAAATCAAATTCCTACCCTCTTCAGATCTTGGTTGCTGTGGAAACATATAATTAGTAAGTACTGTTTTCTGTGTTTCTGGGTCAACTTCTTTTTGAAGTGGAATGAGTGGTTTAGACTGAGAATACAAACAAAACAAGAATGCCATTAGGAATATATACACATTCTATACACGTGCATGCAGCGAAATCCTAGTTTCATTTTCATCAAGAATATATATTTGATATGAAATATTAAAACATAGCTGATATATTAAGTATGCTGAGTAATTTTATTAACCAAGTCCCAAGAAAAAGAGGAGTAGATGTTTTAAAAGAGTTTTGTACACACCCTATTCATGATGTATAACCGTTTTGCAGAATGTCAATGATAATCCTTTAACAGCATGTGCATGCACTTCAAGACATTAGGATCTTTTGGCTCATCGGAACATTAGGTCCAATGTGATCACTTTGTGAGAAATACCAAATTCAGAAGCCAAAAATATATTTGAGTCCAAAAGGGACTTATGTATGTCACTGAGGGGCTAGCTTTAAAATTTGTTAGGATTGCAAGAAATTAAAAAAAAAAACTTCTAATCATGCTAAAAATAAGCAATGCTTACCTGATTATCTGATAGCCACATGGCAGTCAGTTGCTGCAGCTTTGTAAAGGTATAGGGCAAATACTTCAGTCTGTGAAGAAAACATGCGATACAAAGATTATGCATAAAAACAAATTATTTATCTAAGAACAGACCAGAATGAGGATACCATAGATAAAGAATCACCAGTCCAGGGCCCATGAGTGACGTGGTTCCTGGAAGTAGGTACTAGCCATCCAAGAAAGAAAGTTATGGGGCAAAAGGTGTAGGTACCTTCTAGTGATTTCTGTAAAATGAGAGCGGTGTGGCTACTATGTATATATATTTTTGTATTGAGAAATGCTCCCGGTTGTTTATTAGACAGCAATAGCACCAGCATCAGTCAGAGTGTGTGCACGCCTTTTAGCGCCATACTCCATACTTTTATCTCCAAACATTTAGCTGTCTTCCTATGGTAAACATAACTTTGTCAGGGATGGCTGCCTCTCTAATTTTGTTTTATGCCACACACCCCAGGGCAGCCATTTTGTGTTATGCCATACCCCCTCCAATGCAGCCATTTTGTGACTGGTGCCCCCCAACCTCTTCAATCAAAAAAAGGCTGGTGACCCCTGGCAACTTCATGGTGAGTGAAGTTGCCAGGGGTCCTATTTTTCTAGGAAAAAAGTCCCAGGAAGATGTGTGTGCATCTGCCTGCATAAGCTTCCATCTTATGCATTGCTGGAATGTAGCCTGCTGTGCAAAGGCAAGAGTCACACCCATCGCTTCACCGAATTTCTTTCTCTGGCATGAAGCCTCTGGAAGACTGCCCATGAGAGAATAGGACTGTCAGGATGACAAAGGTTCCCCACCCCTGAATATGAAAAACGTTATATGTTTTTACTTTTGGTTTTAAAACAGATGGACTTGTTTGCAGCATTAGATTTCTTTAAGTCAAAAGCTTTTCATTCAACATTATCCAAATAGCAACTTTTTGTCCAGTGTGATTCTCTCTCTCTCTCTCTCTCTCTCTCTCTCTCTCTCTCACACACACACACACACACACACACACTCACCCCACAAGCAACAAGCATCAACCTCATACCCACAGGAAACCAAGAATTAACCCCTACTATCTAACCAGTAGCTTTCTCTAATCAGATAACAATCCCAGCATAACTAACAGGGAAGCCTTTCCAAACCTGGTGACCTCTAGCTCTACAAATCCCATAATCCCTGCCCATAGGCCATACTGGATGGGGCTAATGGGAGTTGTAGTCCAACAACATCTGGAAGGTACTAGTTGAGGAAGGCTGCTCTGCCACAGCAGTGTTATGGAATATAAAAACTCATACTAGAATCACTAACTAGTCTTATCCAGGGGTAGGGTGTTCCAAATTTCTGAGCTTTCCCCCATCTTGCCAACACAACTGTGACCTCAGTCAACTTCAGACACTAAGCATTAGTCTCCTCTTGGCTCCATCCTACACAATCAATTGCAGTTTATGGGCTGGCAATGGACCGTATTATGCTTAAATTCTTATCCTCTCTCTTGCTAGCACCTCAATTCCCAGACCTGTCCAAGCTTCTCAGCCAGAACAACTGAATCTTTGTATACACACTTTTCCACAAAGGAAGCAACCACCAAATTAAGAGCCACGAGGGCAACAAATGCATTTTGATACAATTATGGTAATTTGATACCACAATTCATTACATTTATATTTCATCCCTCTCCAAGGATCTCAAATTGGTAAATGCACTTCCATCCCATTATTTTATCTTCACAACAAGCCATGGGGGGAAAGGAAGCCACTTAGGCTAAGAAACAGTGACTGACCTATGGTCATTGATTGGCGCTTCATTATTCATAATTGACACAAAAGAATGCAATTAACAAACCTATTGTCACTTAGATTGATGACTTTTAATTTCTGCATATCACCCATTTCCTCTGGGAGGAACTCCAGCTTATTAGAATGTAAGAACAGAACAGTTACATGTTTCCAGTTTCCAATCTGAAAAATAAATAAGGAAGTTTGATTACTCAGCAATCCAGAGTATTAGCTGCTGAATGTTTTTAGTCATGCATTTATCTATTATTTTTTAATAGGAAAAGAAACACTTGGCTTGGATATATTTTCAAAGAGAAAAATTTCCACTAACTAGGACCCACATTGTTTTAGATATAAAGGGACAAGAAAGGTTAGGGTGGATTAGAGGAAATTAAGATAGCGATTTATTCGTTGCCTTTAAACTTGCACCAAAAGCACAATATTTTTTCACAATGAGGTTATATGTACTCCTCCCCACCACCTTAAGAAGAGGTTCCCAACCTTTCTGGGCCCATTTCAAATTATGTAACGTGCACCACCACAAACCTGTTCTTCCAATCTGTTTATTGAGCACTGGGGAGGCAGGGGGAACAAACTCAGACCCCTAGACCCCAGAGAGCAGGAGAGAGGAAAAACAACCAAACACACAAGACATTCCCCACCGCTGAGGAGGAGAAAATGATGGAAAAAACCCAGCCTCCCAAGGAGAACGGAGAACACCTAAAGCAAAAACAGATCCATATCCCACTCCAAAGGGGAGGGACAAACAAAGAAGTGTACCAAACCACAGAAAGTAGGAAAGTGTGTGCACATGTGTGTGCAGGCGCGCACACACACACACACACACAGAGTTCATCTTCTTTTATTCTCTTCTCGTGTCCAGCCTTCCTCTCCCATCCCTTTTTCCTTTATCTTTCAATACACCTTCCCTCCCATACACTCTTATTTCCTCTGCAATACTGATCTCAGTCTAGAAAACTATAGAGTTGAAAGAGGCAGTGGGAAGGGGCAAAACAACTCCTGCCTCCTCTCTCAACTTCTTGTAATTTCCAGGTAGAGATTTCACCCTTCTCACTTATAAAGGGCTGGGGGTTTAACTCCCGGCCAGGGAGGCAGAAGTGAGGGGAGTACAGAGGCTTTCACAGGCATCAGTGCTCTTGTGGTCACTGCATTGGAGACCACAGACCTATAGAATGCAGGCCAGTTTGACTCTTCTCGTGGCATTCAGCAACCATCCTCAAAGAATAGCTGTCAACTTTCAGATTTGAAAATAAGGGATCAGCAGCCTCGAAAATAAGGGATCAGCAGCCTCACCTGTCCCAGGGACAGTCTACGGGATATCTAACAATCCGGGATAGCAGCGGGAAGCAGCAGGAAATGGTGCTGGAATAAGGGAATTTCCCGCAAAAAAAAGGGAAGGTTGACAGCTATGCCTCAAAGGCTGTAATTTGCTTGACTCTTTTAGGCTGCTATGAGCCCATGGATTTGATTTTCAGCATGGTAGCCATGTTAAGTCTATTGCTGCAGGAAGCTTGTGTCATTTATTGGTGCATAAGCAACAGGATGTAAGAGGAAGGAACAAAGTACACACTATATCTCCTATACTGGAATGCTGCCATGCAAATTAGTCATCGCCAACGCCTTTCAATGGCATGCAAACACAGCAATCATATTCATTCTTGGTATAGCTGAACGGAAGAATAAGCATCAGTTGTACAATGGAGGCACAGGTTAGTGCAGATCTAACTTATGACCCCTGTACATAATGTATTTCAGAAAACTGCATGACTCTTTGGTCTAGGAACTTTCTTCTCTTTAGTCCAATGCACATTGCCTAATGCAATTTTTTCTGTGCAATAACTTTTTGTCAGAAAGTAACATGACAACTTGTGCCTTCTGACAACTGTTCTGACATCCATTTGCATATTCAAGTTAAGGCGGGCTTCACTTGATGTCACCAAGGAACATTCAGCTACCCTCATCCTTAAAACTATTTATTTTTCATCTTTCTTTCAAGGAGCTCAAGGTGGCATAAATGGTTCTCCCTCCCTCTTTCTTTCTTTCTTTCTTTCTTTCTTCTTTCCTTTCCTTTCCTTTCTTTCTTCCTTTCTTCCTCTTTCTTTTTAATAATTACGAGTTTATTGGCATAAACACATACGGAATACAATAAAAATGATGGATATAGTGAATAAAAAACCACAGATGCAGGGGAGATACATTTCTTGAATATACAGCTCAATCACATGAAAGTTCATGCATGCACATTAAAAAGGAGGCAGGAAAATCCACCTGAAGCATGTGTAAAGGGGTAAGACTGATGGCTGCATCTGTTTTGCATGCACCATTATGTCAGTTTTGAAGTTGGAATCACTTCACAGCTGAGGAGATATTGAGAGCTTGCACTCTCTGGTCAAAGCTTTTTCTCATCTCTGAACAGAATGTGCTTTAAGAGCAAAATTGGCAGATGAGTGGCCTCTTCCTTTTAAGTCTACATCTTATTAATATCTTTAATTGCATGATTATGACTGACACTTCGGAAATTTATTCCGCCAACCAAACCTGCATCCTAAGATTTCAGCTAATTTTAATCAACTTGAAATGTACAGAAATAAAAGCATGCAGATATACTCTTGCTTACAAATCTAAACATATGTAATATATTAAAAACTAGATTTTCATTAATAAGAACTTACCTCTGGTGGCAACTGTGTTAAAAAGTTATGATCTGCAGCAAAGGTCCTTGTATTAGAGAGCTGTCCAATAGATGAAGGCAACGCTTCAATCTCATTGAAGCTACAGTCCAGTTCTTCAACTGATGTTAAACTGAAATTCAATTAAATTTATTAAATTAAAAAGTCTTTTACATGACAGCGCCATTTTAAAATGAACAAAATAAAAATTAATATCCAGTTGTAATATAAATGCCAAGCAATAAGACCTAAATGTAGGGCTGAAGTTCACTCCTTTTAAAAATATAGCCCAAAGCTCATTATTCCAAGCTACCTGTAGCCTTTCCAAAAAAATCTGCTGGAGTATGAACCAACAACTGATAAAACCATGCAATGTCTACATGGTACTGTATTTGATGTGCAGTAGATAAGAGGATTGTAACCAAACAAGAAGTAATTAAGGAACAAAACCATAGAATATAAGCCCTTATTTATTCAGAAATACCTACCCTCCTATAGAGTCTGGCAGATACATTAGCTGATTCTCATCAATTTTAAGAATTGTTAATTTCTTCAGGGACCCTGTTGTAAAACATATATCATAATAAGATAGTGTTCATAGAAAACAAACATTCCTGCTTTGTACGAGGGGACACATGGACAAAGGTCTGAAAATGATGTTTCACTCTACCTGTCCCACCCCAGTCCATGTCGCAAAAAAACAAACAAAAGAAATATACCGTATTTTTCTGTCTATAAGATGCCCCTATGTATAAGGAGCCCCCTATTTTTGGGGACTCCAATTTAAGAAAATGGGGGGAGATGGCTCGCATGTATAAGATGCCCCCAAATCCTGGACATTATTTTTTAGGGGAAAAACCTAGTCTTATACATGGAAAAATACGCTATTTCTCCCACGACTAGGAGTATCAGTGGCTAATGTCTAACGCATGCTGCACTTCATACTTGTGGAACAGGCTCCCCAAAAGGCTGGCAAGTGGCTCCCCTGATTTCCTTCTGCAATGTGAAGACCAAGGCCTTTCAAAGAAAAGCAATTACAAATTTCTAGGGAAATCTTCCACTTCTCTAAATTGGGACACTTTAGCACAGCAGCTATTAAGCCTGTATGGCAACATCATTTTAGTCCTGAAGATCAACACTGCACAGCAAAAATACTAGCTGACGGGGTTGTATCCAGTGCTTGCACGAATGTAAGGCAGCTATTGCAACTGAACTTTCTTTTAACTTCCCTGCTCTCTGCAGCCCCTAAAATGTCTCTCTGGGGAGGGGGTAGAAGGCTCCTGAATAGTTTGGGCTGCTTTGTAGAGGACTACAGGGAGGAATCACCTGAATTTGAGTGGAAGAACCTTACTTGACTGGACCTAGATATACAAACACAATTTGTGCAAGATGAAAAAGCTGTTTTCATTTTTACTTTTGGCCTACATACAGCATGTCACAAATGTTATTTTGGTTTCTGAAATATAGTAATAGTTAACTTTGGACAATACAAACCAATAGACTCTGGTAGTTGCTGAAGTGAATTACTAGATAACAGCAGGTCTTGTAAACTTTCACATCCTGAAACACCCTCTTCAAGAGTTTCAATGTTGTTTTTGGAAACATCCAAGTAGGTCAAGTGCTTCAAACTGCCCATAAACTGAAAATATAAAAGTATGGGCAAAGTAAAAAGATTCTGTGTTAAAATATATTCTATTCTGCAGATAATAATAAATAGCTATTTGCTAAGATCTATCAGGCCTGTAACAGCAGCATCCTAGTAACCAGCTAGCATGCACATTTTGATAGCTGCTTGTACAAAATCCAAATCTTAAGTATAGCGTCCAGCTGTGGATATTTCATTCTAAGAGGCTGCTGTAAAGTTCCACTGATGCAGACGAGCCTAAACTAATACAAAGTGAAGGTTATGCCTCTAAAGAGGATTGTCACAATGTCATATTCAGTTTCACAATTTTTATTCGACCATACATATCTTGGGTGGAACACATAAAATATTCACCCGCATTTTTCAGAATGTTAAACAACTGAAGAAGCAGGTTCACATTTCTACCAACTGTTTTATGAACATTTACATTCTTGAGTATAAAAAAGTGACCAGAAAAACATCAGACTATTCCAAGTAATCAAGAGTGAAGGCATACTGATACATGAAGCTACACATTCTAATGGATGCCATTTAAGCACACTATTGTCATAAGTTACACTAAATACGTAAAATACAAGGCATATTGGGTGTGGATGGTTGGTTTAGCCAAAGTTGTCAAATCAAAGCAGAACAAGGTTTTGCTGACACGAATATGCTTCCCGTCCTCTGGTATTATTTCAAACAAGGGTGGTCAGGAAAAGCAACAACCTTGAATTTATGAGGCTTATGGAGAGGCTTGAAATAATGGACATATAGGTACAGCTTTTAATCTCTCTGATGTGCACTCTATGGCCTAAGATGAAATGTTTATGAGACCTTTAAGTATACACACACAAGCACAGACCTTTAAAGGAATAAATATACATACCCCTGGAATAAGAGTTAGTCTGTTACCATCCATCCAGAATTCTTTTAACCCACTTAATTGTTCAAGTACTTCAGGCTGTTAAAAACAAGATAGATGAAAAAATTAGATTGTATTATAGATATACATTTATTACTGACAATGCACTGAGTGAATCTAACTGTGTCCATTTGCCAGAGGAAGGATCAATGTTAGGAACAGAATCAGGTTGGTTGGAAGTTGATTTGTGGGAGATTTTGGGGTGGAGGGGGCAGCTGCAGATGGGAGGGGAGGATGGGGAAATTGATTTGATCAAAACTGGATGCTGCCCTTTGTATTTCTCCAGAATGGTTTATTTTCTTTTATACAGCATTCGATTACACACTGATGCCCTACTTAGGTTTTTCCTACAAGCTTTAAATATATACTGTATTTTGTCAGATGTTATAGTCATAACATTTGAGTGAAAAGCCAGCTATAAATTTCAGAATGAATTTCACTGCATAGGCACATGCAGAATCAACTAGAAAAAAATGTTTTCATAGTTGCATAAATTATAAGCACTTATTATAACGTATAACCTTAGAAGCTAATATGTGGTCAAATGAGAATAATGCTTGCTTGTAGTTTAAATACATATGAAAATACTTTCATCTGTCACAGATATACCATACTAACAGGAAATGAAAGCTACACGAATCAGTTAACTTTAAAAATAGTTTCCTTAAAAAATTAAGATACAGGCAACAGTTTCTCTGTAAGACAGCATTAAGCTGATTTTTCTATTTGACAATGATTAAAAATAGATTTACAGATAAGAGGTTTTAGGAAAGCTGCGTTACTTAGCTAGAACTCACCACTTCTGTGAATTCATTACTTCCCAAGTCCAGTCTCTCCAGCTGAGTCAGTCTGTTCATGGTTCTGCAAAGAGAAAGGATTAATAAGGAATTAGGTTTAAGAAAAATACCAGTTACATCCAATCTTCTTGTGTTTTTACTAATGCATCTTTTTAATCAGCATCAGATAGCCAGGCAGTTCTATAAAAGCACTCATACTTGATAGGGTCAGATTTTTATAAAATGTCATATAATCCTACAGCTAAAAGCAAAGCAAAAACTGTAGTTCAATGTTATCCAGTTTAATTAAAAACACATTTCTCTCTTAGCTCATTGAGAAAGCAATGACTTCTTCCCAATTCTATCAAATCATGCAACATCATCACTATGTGGCAATAAATGCCAAAGATAAATTATGCCGTTGTACGCCCACTTGTCTTTAAAGCTGCTGTGTATTAATAAAGATCCCACTGTTTACCCATCTCCATTGTGAAGGGGAAACATGTGATCCTAACCTCTTTCATCTTACTTAGAGAGTTTCCAGTCCATTAACGCTGCAATCTTATACACACATGAGAGTAAATGCCACTAAAATCAATGAGGCTTACTTTTGAACTCACATGCGTAAGGTTGCATTAAGAAAAGTCACCGTCTTGTTCTATGACTTCAAGCATCCAGTGAGGGGCTGTGCACGGGCATAGCCGGGGGGGCAGCTCCCCCCCCAACAAGTAAAATAATATACTTAACTAACTGACCAATCATATCGGTTCTGCCCTCCCCAACAAAAGTCCTGCCCCCACCTAATAAACTCTTGCCCTCCCCCCAAAAAAATCCTGGCTACACCCATGGGACAGTGTGAAATGCTTTCTAAAAATCCTAATATACTAGGGGCCTATTGAATAGATCACACGCCCGTGCTCTAACAAATTAAGCCCATTGCTATTAGAAAGTGACAGTGAACTACTTGTGTCACACACATGCATCCCACAAAAAAGTCATCAGCAAGAGTTTGTCCCCTACTATAAGAAAAATGCCAGTTACATTTAAGCTGTTTTAATTAACTAGTAAACCAATTATTTCACAGCATAATTTGCTGCTTTTTGCAGAAGCAGCAGCTAGATTCCACAATCAGGAAACTAAGGAATGCCATAAAGATCAAAATACAAAAAAATGCATTTTCTAAGTCAGCTGCAAGCTAACTTTAAAATGGGCAGAATTCAATCGCTTTCATTTTATTTATACTGGATACATTCAAGTCAGCATGTCCTATACAAGCTGAGAACAAGCTCAAAGACAATGGCTTAGACCTAGATTTGCTTTTCCTTTTGCTGTCCAAGTGACAGAAAGGGAGGGGGGAGCAAGTTTGACTGGTTTCTTCTTTCTTCTAAAGTCCCAGCAGTCTGCTAGAAGCATATTGTAAACAGCTTTATGTAATTTTTTGTCAAATAAACAGAATAAATAAAGCACACAAGCTTCTACATTTTGCACGGAACATGGTCATTCATTTCCCTCATTATCCATTTCATTACAAAACCAGTGCTCCCCCCCCAGGGGATACTCAAGGGTACGCAGTACTGGCACCTCTTTTTTGTTGTTGTTAAAAAAAGTGTGGCACTTACTACAACAACTTCATGGTAAGTACCGGCACCTATTTTCCTAGAAAAAAACACTGACCAAAACTCAACGTCACAAATGGTTTCCCTCAGGCAGTGGCAGACCTACATTTCTGGGACCCTGAAGCTTCAACTGTTATGGGGGCCCCTTTGCAACCAGCAACCATCTGTGCTACTGACTCTCAAACACTGGGACTGTTGAAATATATACAGTGGTACCTCGGGTTAAGTACTTAATTCGTTCTGGAGGTCCGTTCTTAACCTGAAACTGTTGTTAACCTGAAGCACCACTTTAGCTAATGGGGCCTCCCACTGCCGCTGTGCCGCTGGAACACGATTTCTGTTCTCAACCTGAAGCAAAGTTCTTAACCTATTTCTAGGTTAGCCGAGTCTGTAACCTGAAGCGTATGTAACCCAAGGTAACACTGTACAGCAGAAAATTAATCAATCAGAGTTGTGCAATTCAAATTGAGTCAACTAGATCCAATTTTTTTAAAGCAAGGTGGATTAGCTTCTGGGGCCACCCCAGGATTAGGGACCCTGAAACATAACCTTCGTTTATTTCATAGTAGATCCACCCCTGCCTTCAGGAAGTGGTGGAGTCTCCTTCCTTTGAAGCTTTTAAACAGAGGTTGGATGGCCATCTGTTGTGTATACTTTAGGTGGTATTCCTGCATTGCAGGGGGTTGGAATAGACAACCCTCGGGCTCCCTCCCAATTCTACACTTCTATGATTCTAAGCAGGAATGCTATAACCCCGTGTTAAAAAACTACCCAAACACAAATGTTAACTTATTAAAGAACAAAGGAATTAAATGTTAGTTTGCTTTTTCTAATGTCAGCACATTTGTTCCTCAAAACGTATATATCTTGTGTGCATTCCCTCTTTAGCCGTTTTATTTACAAAGACTACATTTTGTTTTAAAAGGTACCCTTAGGTTATGTTTTTTCAATCGCCGCATAAATATAGCCAAGTGAAACTAATAGAACAAGAGAGCATCAAGAGGATAAGAGTTCAATGGAGCAATGCTTTCTAGCCAGCTCTCCGCTGAAGTGTGAGCATTAAGACTCATATTTCATCTACTGGTTCATTTGTCTGGCGCTAGAATCTCCCTTCTTTTGTTTTCATAGCCCATTTCACAGAACCCTTCCTTATGTACTAGATATCCTTTGATAAAGTTCATCATACATATCAGCTAAGGGTGGGCACACAATTTCCTATTGGGGACCAGCAGTACTTTCCAACTTCTTCCCTCTTTGTTGCCAACTCCAAAAGAAGAGGCAGCCCCCAAAATGGGGAAAAGAGGCAGGCAGATGAAGAGGAGGCTGCTCACGATGCATCACCCACCTCTCAGCACAAAGGCTTCTCTCCCCAGTCAGTGCCCAACACTATTGTTAAGGCATAAATGAGGGAGAAAGGAATGCCAGCAGGGCATCTTGGCCGGCCATCTCCTACTGTGCCCATTGGCAATCGTCAGCAAAAATAGCTACTGAGAAGGGATCAAGGGAATTGTCAATTTTCTGAGATGGTTGGGTTAAGCACAGCAGTGCTGAATGTCTTCCTTAAGAGGAAGCCTGTGACAAAAAGAATTAAAAAAGAGAGAGAGCGAAAGCGCCATACCATTATGAAAGCAAAACAAAAACACATTTAAGTTGCTGTATCATTATTATTACAGGGGAAGAAATAATTTGCATAAATATTTTTAGAATCATACTGTTTCACTACAAAAATAGCTGTTTTTCTTTCAACTCTTAATCCGTCATTCAGTTTCATGTGATGTAGATATGCATACACATGGCCTGATTTTAGCTCTAACTGATTAGTGGCTTCCTCAAGTATTATATTTTCCTACATAGAGATCCTCAGACAATTCAGCCCAGGAACTGTCTTACTGGAAGTAAAAACCATTCACAACGAACTTCAAAAATTACAGCTGTACACTTTATTGATCTCCCTACAGGAAATTGTAACACATTTAGCAACCCGCAGGAAGTACACACAGAAGTTGTTTATATGCAATTGTCATCTTATAGACAGAGGCAGTAAGTAATAGGTAATAGGTAAAGTAAAGCTAAAGGACCCCTGAACAGTTAAGTCCAGTCAAAGGCGACTATGGGGTGCGGCGCTCATCTTGCTTTTCAGGCAGAAGAAGCTGGCATTTGTCCACAGACAGCTTTCCAGGTCATCTGGCCAGCATGACTAGACTGCTACTGGCGCATGGAGGACCATGACGAGTGGCAGAGCACACAGAAACACCGTTTTACTTCTCACCGCAGCAGTACTTGTTTATCTACTTGCACAGAAATAGTACACCAGGGATTTGAACTGCCGACCTTCTGATCAGCAAGCCCAAGAGGCTCAGGAGTTTAAAACCCCGCATCCCCCGTGCGATTTCTGTTCTCATCCTGAAGCAAAGTTCTTAACCCAAGGTACTATTTCTGTGTTAGCAGAGTCTGTAACCTGAAGCGTCTGTAACCCGAGGTACCACTGTATTATAATCTCAATACATCTTCAGACATATTATTCACACCAAAATAAACATAAATATCACTATATACTTACTTTGGCAACATTTTTAACTGGTTTTCTCTGAGCTCCAAAATCTGGAGTTTAGTTAATCTGTAAAATAAACACTCAAGATTACCATTTAAAAGGCAAAGTATGCATATCTGAAATAAAATAAAGCTTGTTTATACAGCCAGTACAATAATTCAGATATTGGGCAAATTTCATTTGCAAATAAAAACTGGGTTCAAATACAGGCTGAACACATCTTTAATATCTAGATATTTTGCTTGCTTCAAAGAATTGTGATTCTTAGATCTAACGTGGGCAGAGGAAGGCATCATTCGAATCAAGGCTATACAAAATAACTACTTATTTTGGAATACTTTTGACAATCGTCTCTAGCAGAGACAAGCAGGAGATTCCAATTATCCCAAACAATTTTTGGTATTGTTTAATTATACTGTAAGCAAATTTCTTCCACTAAGCAATATAAATCTGCAACCACTTCACATCTGGCAAAACTTCCAAACATTTTATCTAGTAAAACTTCCAAACATTATTATTTTCTGTCCTACAAGTGAATTTTGATCTTAATTTTCTCTTAAACTTTGTTCAAGTTACATGTCTCTTATCAGTCTCTGGATTTATTTATTTTTGGGGTGTTGTCAGTTTTCTAAAATTTATGGCTCTCCTTCTATAAATGTGATGACCTAGACTGAACTCCATGCTGCAGCTGAGTCATAATTAGTGTCAAATAGGGCTTGGTTTTGTATATACCATATTTTTCGCTCTATAAGACGCACCTAGTTTTAGAGGAGGAGAACAAGAAAAAAAATATTCTCTCCCTTCTCTGCGCAGCGCCACTCCAGCAAAGCGGGAGGAGAAATGGTAGGGGCTCTGTTTCTCCTCCCGCTTTGCTGAAGGATGCTGCGCAGCTTTCCCTCTCTGCACAGCGCCTCTCCAGCGAAGCAAAGTCAGAACAGTAAGAGGGATCGCTGCTTTCGCCATACCTCTTGCTGTTCTGGCTTCTGGGATAGCTGCACAGCCTGCATTTGCTCCATAAGATGCACACACATTTCCCCTTACTTTTTAGGAGGGAAAAGGTGCGTCTTATAGAGCGAAAAATACGGTAATGTCCATACAGCAAATTAATGTATTTGTCTAATTCCATCTTTCAGTGGGACTTTAAATGAATTATTCTAGCTCATCATATCCATTCTGAAAGTATTACTACATAACTCTGTTTGAAAGGTAGGGTTTGGAATTTACATCTTGCCTCTTAACCAACAACATGCCTTCTTCTGATCAATGCAACACACTATGTTCTACACAATTAAAAACAAGGTATTGATTTTCAAAAACCCATTTTCAAACTTACCTGCCAAAATTGGCTGGTAAGAACTCAAGAAAAGCATCATTCAGATATAGCTGTGTTAGATTTAACAACTGTGAAAATCCATCTGGAAGCCTAGACAAATTTAAACACATAAGAATTAGCAAACACAAGATCATATGCCTCATTTCAAAACACACTTTGTGTTCACTACTCACTGCTCAACTGACATGCTGCAATTTAAACAACAAAATAACTTACTTTGAAATGGGGTTTACGCTGGCCTCAACAATTGCCAAAACTTTACAGTTTTTGATATTTTCTGGAAACTCCTGTATGCCTGTAAAAGTAGACAGCACAAATGCACGTAAGAAAAAACCTGCAATAACCAAAATAATGGCAACTTAATTTTCTGAGATTATGCTGCTACTTTGCACAACTACATGACTTCTGTTTCACAGTCAATAGAGTTTCAGAGCTTCTGCTCAAGCTCTGGAGTAATGCGCTCTAATTATTACAGTCACACCTCCGCTTATGCATCCCTCTGCGTACGTAAACTTCGGGATGCGAACGCGGCAAACCCGGAAGTATTTTTCTGGGTTCGCCAAGTGTGCATGCGCATAAGTGCTCTACGCGCCAAGCGCATGTGCAGAGGTGGTCCTCTGGTTGCTAATTCCTCAGGATGCGGTCAGACCTCCGGAATGGATCCTGTTCGCAACTGGAGGTACCACTGTATTGTGAAAAGCACAGCAGCTTGCATGGACCTCATGTATTTCAGTGAATTTTCAAAAGCATCTGAATCAAGGTCTTCACTAGCTTTAGTTAGGGATACCTGCATGCTGCTGTTCCTTGGAACTATAGAAAAGTAAGAGAATGTGGTTTTGGTGGGCTTGGTTTTCATCTTAAAAAATCAACCTTCTGACAAATCGTAAATTAGACTTGAAAGTGAGCAGTAATGCCTGGTAAAATCTCAGAAGCCAGAGTTGCTACTGAAAAAAATTTCTGGTTGTCAAATAGCAAAGCTTCAACCCATTTTAGAGCACTCTGCCCTTCCTCATGACTAACAGAAGCAAAATTATGCAAAAAATGACATCATAACTAAGTTAAATCATGCAAATTTTGTTGGTTTCTACAACTGGTACAGGTTGTAGAATTCATATTTTCTAGTTACTTAGATGCTATACTATCCTAAGGTTGACCTCAGTGGGATATGGCTGGTGCCTAGAGATACCAGTTGCAGTTGCATTATACATTGAATTCAGTTGTCTGACATTTCGTTTATGAATTATTAATTGTACATCTGTAGGGATGGCTTTTTGTTTTTAAGAGTTTGTATTTTATCTTGTTATCTTGTTGTACACTGCTTTTATGGCCTCAGGCTGTGAAGTAGTTTATACATTTGTAGAATACGTACATACATAAAGCAGAAAGGAAAAGGAGTTTAATGAGCACAGGAACACAGTGTCAGACATAATCTCTGAGGCACCATTAGTCTGCTTATGTATTATTGGAGCCAATGATAATTAATACAGAAACCAATCCTTCTTGTGATGTTTTAAAATGAGCATTTAGCATGTTAATCAGAGATAATGAAATGAAGCAGTTATTCAAGGGGAAATGATTTAGGAGGTAGACATACTACTTTGGCCCTTAAAAATCTAATGAGAACTGACTAAAGGGCAACAATAGTACAAATCTGAATGCCACAGTGCTCAGGTTGAGAGAAACTATTATTTTTTTCATCACACTACAAAACATTCATTTAAACAAAGTACATAATGGATAGCTACCTGCACACAAAAAATGGAAATATGTTCAAGAAATTATATTTCTTAAATTCCCAAGTTAATAAAGCTCCAACAAAAAATTGGAGTTTTCAAGTATTGGCTTAGTATGAAGCTTTAAAAAAAGACTATTCACGAATACATCCATCTTGCAATGTTTGGACATCTTTGACGCACAACCATAGCACCTTCTGAATCTAAAGTTCTTCTTAGTATATTATTTATGATGTTTCCATACTACTTCCACATATCTATGGTGTACGTGTTATTAAATTACAACACTGCCATTCCCGATGCTAGACAAGCTATCTAATACGTGTCCAGCATTTAATTTATGAATGCCCACAGGAGAGGGAGGGAAGTAATCAGAAACATTTTCCTGCCCCATACGGTTTAATGAGCCAAAGTAGACTTGACATGGGAGATCCGCAATTGGATTTATTCAAGTATTTTTGTCTAAAAGAGCCAGAAGGTGGTAGAACTGTACCGGATGGAACCTTTGCCCCATGAAGTATTGGTGAACCTCTCTTATTTACAGGTTTTCACTGCTGTCTCCACCTGTGTTGTATTTAAATGACTATATTGTAGGCATGTATGTGTACATAATGTATATATTGCAGCACAATTAAAAGGAACAAGGCACTCTTAAAGACATGAGAAATAAGCCAAAGCCATGAAATGTGGCATGGGAATTTTCCATTGTGTTCTATGGATAATGGTCTGCACATTCCCAGCAATTCTCTACTGCATATTACCAAAACCTCCATGCACACGTTCATGTTGTAAATAACTTTGTGTTGTGGCACAGCACACATAATGGTAAACTTAATCATGGCTGAGTTTTTGCTACAAATCCAAAATCTACAGTATGGTTCTATTTTTACCAGAACCAACCAAAATGTCTAAGAGTCATAAGCAGGCTTTTGAGTTCTCCATAACTTTTTATCAGCCTGTTCATAAAACTCTGTGTGTGAGAGAGAGACATGATGCATTCCTGAAAGTCCGCAGTGGATAAGGTGGGATAGCAGGAGGAGTTTTGCAGGCGTAAAAAGAACTGCCTCACTCAATGCTGGGTAAGTTTTCTAGATGACCCCATAGCTACAGGGACAAAAAGGCAAATACCCCATTTTGGAAATACAAATTCTACAGGTTACTTGGATTGTCAGACTCTTTGTAAGAAAGAGAACAGAGAAGCAAAGTAGTCTTCATATTATCAAAGCTGGATATTAATTGTAGGCATGCAATCTTTTGAAAGGCACTTTTATGGAATATTTTATTGCTTCAATCTCATTTTTAACATTTAGGATAGCATGAGTTTGGGTCTAAATGCTCTTGCAGTAGATTGCCATGGTACTATCCCAAGGCCACTTTATAGCTTAACTCCAAACTGTATGCCCATGACCTACTGTACTATACTAAGCAAACTTTTATCTATGTTACAGAGAAAAGGTGTCACTGATGCCCATGATACATATGAGATGGGAAGTAGTGAAGGTTGTACAGCTGTGAGATAATCTGTGCAATTTCCTCTAAGTCTTCTACATGACATGGCTGCAAGCTGTCTCCAGTTTCTCTCCATTCATTTGCCTAGTAAAGCTATCTAAGTGAAAATTCAAAAGTGGCAGCAGGCCAGAGCTACAATCCTGGTGGTCTGTCTTTCTCATTCAATGCTCTATAGAGAAGTGGTAGGGTGTGGAACTGTACTCTCCTATAACACTCAATAAGTTTCTTATAAATTTAGGAAAGTTAGATATGGCAAAAATTACAGCACATACCAAAATAATTAAGGCAGTATAACAATAATTCCTACCCAATTCCCAAGGCAGTCTGAAGACCCTAACCCCATAAAGGAGGGAATACATTGTGTAAAGTTGCAGACATTACACACTGCAAATTTCAAGTCTCAAAACAGTATTAAAACACATTAAATGATGCCAAATCTCAGCTGGTAGCTTTTTATTACAAACAGGAACACACAGGAATCATCTTGGCTGTGAGTCCTGGAAGACCTGCTCCCTGCCTTGCTGGCCATTTCCCACCTGGCCTGGGAGGATGGGTCCTTATTGACTCCAGCTGCAAAAGCAGAGGCTGCTGAACAGACTCTTGGGCTGCGGTATTGTTTAGGGGGGTTGTTGTGGGGTTTTTGTTGCTGTTTATATCACACACAAAGAGAGATTTTATATGATTTATGTGGAAATTGTTTCAATTTGGTTGTGTAATTTTTAATGTTTTATATTTATTGTTTATAACCAACTTTGCTATGTTTGTAGTCATGTAAATCTTTTCATGCTGTAAGTTGCATTGAGCAACTTTAACTATGGAAAGGCAGCATACAAATAAAATGATGATGATAACAGCATAAATCTTGGTTATACTTATTTGGTAATGGGGCATATTTTGGAATGAGGTTTGCCAGATACCTAATGTTTTCAGGCATTAAACTGAAACACTCAATATCAAATATAAAAGGGATGATAAGAGAATCCATATGAGTCTCTGTGAGCTCTCAATAGGTTTTATAAACCTGCACACTTAACACTTTAAATTTAGACCAAATATTCATTTGTAGAATAATGGGAATTGCAATGGCAACCAAGAAGAGACCAAGAAAATTAGGTGCTTCCTGCATCCTATTCACTTCACGTTTACATGTTCATTTAAACTGCTGGCTTGAAGGTCTGGGGTTTTAATATTGAGGGCTCTTGGACTTTTATGTGATTTCTGCACTAGGTTAAATAATGTGTTGGTCAGCTTATTTAGTAATTGATCTTGGGGGGTTTTTGAAATTTGAAATTTAATGTTTTAAACTGTGCTTACTGAAGTTGTGTTTTATATCTATGGTAAGCAGTTTTGAGAGGAAGAGCAAGGAGGATCAGCTGAACCAACCTAAACAAGAAAGTGCCTACTCAGCTATCCTATACCCCTTCCGGCAAATAATTCCTCTTGTCCAGGTGAGTGTGCAAATGTGGAGTAGGTTCTCTCCTTATCACTAATTGGCAGGGGAGCAAAAACACTGAGAGTCAAAAGAGTAGCATTCTTAGCACTCTCCAGCCTTTACTGCAAATGGGAGGAAGCTTATCCCAATCTTCAATGTTATTACAGTATCGAGCTGCAAGCATCCAATTTACACAAGGTTAATCATTAAGATTGTAACAGGTGCACTGATCCTCAGATGGGCAATATAGAAGGAAACGACAAGTAGAATGTGAGCAATTTAAACCAGGTATGTACGTTTTCCAAAAAAAACTTACATCCAAAGTTAGTTTCAAATCTGTGCTGTATCTTCCCTGTGGCACTCTCAGGTACATAGTTGTCTGATACAACCTTAATACCATCTGCATGGATAATTTCTCCCATTCACTCTCTGAGGGGTGCGGAGGGGAGACTGTTTTAACTACCTCTGAGCTTGAAACACAAGCAGCTTGCTAAACTTACATTTCAAAAAGGCCCCTCACTGTGACATGTAAAAATTTATAAGCTTAAGATATACAAATACATTTACACAGGCGAAATCCACTTCCTATAACCTCAAGACTGATACAGTACTGTGACCATTTGCTTTTCCTTTATACAGCTTTCAATGTGTGTGCGAATAGCAATGTCATGACTTAACCATCTTTTCCATAGGTCATCTTTTCTTAAAGATACCTTCTGCTTATAGTCACCGAGCTTAAACAGCTGCTGCTCAGACATGCCATGTACAGCCTCAGGCCAATGTTCCAGTAATACAGCATTCACACACAAGGCTTTTATGTCTCATCCACTCTTATTCCAAGCCCCGAATAGTCTTAATGTGCCTGGGAACTGAAGTTGTGTGTTGAGCTGCGAAGGGACAGTAGATTTCCTTTTTCTAATTATCTCTCTCATCCCAAGCACATAGATGGAAGTGAGGGGGCAATGGACTGTCTCCTCCTTGAAATAACTAGAAGCCATGCAAAAAGCAGCTTGCCAACGCCTCTTGAGCCAGCTTGGCAACCCATTTATAAATGGCAAGAATGAACTTTCTTCAAGGCAATTTACACAATAAGCGATTACCCTGAGGTTCTCAGCTGCACAAAGTTAACAGAACAGTCTGTCTTACAAACTTATGAAACTTAATTAAGAAAATAGTAGGCATGTGGCCAGATTCCAATAGAAGCATTGCCTTCTACGAGAAAACATTAAGGGAAAATTAAGATTAAAAGACTGTCTCCTAAGCTCAAGTTTATGCAAAATATTTATATTTGTGACAGCAAGGAGACAAAATCTCGGTAAGAGATACAGTGGTGTCTCGCAAGACGAAATTAATTCGTTCCGCGAGTTTTGTCGTCTTGCGATTTTTTTCGTCTTGCGAAGCACGGTGTCGGGAAAGTTTTGGAAAAGCTTCAAAAATCACCAAAGTCTTTAAAAACCTCAAAAAAGGCTACCACACCGCGTTCTATGAGTTGCTCCTCGAAGTCAAGTCACAACTGTATTAACGGTGTTAAGAAAAAGGAAACAAACTTGCAAGACGTTTCCGTCTTGCGAAGCAAGCCCATAGGGAAAATCGTCTTGCGAAGTAGCTCAAAAAACGAAAAACCCTTTCGTCTAGCGAGTTTTTCGTCTTGCGAGGCATTCGTCTTGCGGGGCACCACTGTACATTAAAAAGCAGAAAAAGAAACACCCTGCACTCATAGCAGCTTACATTGAACACTGTGAAAGGGACTGATAGTTGTTCACATGTTTGGTTTTAACTACAGGAAAAGGAATATAAGTGAATTGTCACCATACCAGCTGAACAAAATGGTGAACGTGAAGACTGCAAACCATGTGGCAGCTAATTCAATAGCTACTTCCTATTGACTGGTAGTAGAAACGTAAGCCAGATTCCAATTATTTATATGATTTACTTACTCTCTCCAGACACATTGCAGTTCTTCACAAGCAATACCAAACTATGGCTTGGTGTTGCAAGAATGAGCATGAAGTTTGTAAACTCACTTTCCCCACCCACCCTCCGAGATCCTGAATCTGAGTCCTAATTTCACAGCAAAATGCAGTTTCACCTGGTTTGTTTCAACAGTCAAAAATATGATTTGCTGTGCGTGAAAACCAAGTTTACAAACCATTGTTCGGTCATGCTTTTAAGGCAAGTGTAAACCGTACTTCAGAAAACCATTCTATTCCAGGAGGCATTTTAAGTTGTATTATGTCAAGGGTCAGCAAACTTTTTCAGCAGGGGGCCAGTCCACTGTCCCTCAGACTTTGTGGGGGGCTGGACTATATTTTGAAGAAAAGAACATGAACAAATTCCTATGACCCACAAATAACCCTGAGATGCAATTTAAATAAAAGTACACATTATACTCATGTAAAAACACCAGGCAGGCCACACAAATAACCCAGAGGTGCATTTTAATAAAAGGACACATTCTATTCATGTAAAAACACGCTGATTCCCGGACCGTCTGCGGGCTGGATTGAGAAGGCGACTTGGCCGGATTTGGCCCCTGGGCCTTAGTTTGCCTACTCATGTATTATGTCTATGGAATCTATTATTTTACCTGTGCTTTTTGTTTAAAAACCCTTATTATTTGATTAATTATTTGATTACTATGTAAACCATTTTGTGACCATCTATGGTGTAAAATGGTCTATAATATTCGAAATAAAAATAAATAATTAACTGTTTTGGTTTTCTGCTGCACTAAAATGAGGTGAGGGGGAGGAAACCGTGCTCAGTCCTGAGATTCTGGGCTAATTAAATCTGAACAGCTAAAATCTTATCTCACATTGCTATTGAAGTACCAAAACTGTTTGATATTTCCAACACTGGCCAAGTTAATCAAAAGCTTGCACTAGTTCACCTCAAATACACCAATTACCAATAGAACTCATAATACTGTCAATATGCATTACACAAGCATGGCAATGTTTTTTAAAAAATGTATTTTTGTTTCTGGATTTGGCTTTTAACTATTTTTCTCCACCAGCCCCAGGCATATGGCAAAAGCTCGTAAGGAGCAACTGAGTTCTATGCCAGTTTTCCCTAAGCTTGGAAGAGTGGGAATGAGTTCTCTGCCAGACTGCCCTGAGCCATCACTCAGCTTGGGTGTCTGACAGAGAGCAATCAAATGCAAAATTGCAATCTCCACTATAGTTTCCTCCTATTTGCCTATTATAGTCCAGTGTAGTTTAGGGATGTATCTTCTGAAGAAGAAGAAGACGCTTGTCTCACCAATGCTATTCTATTAACATTTGAAATAGTACACAATAACGTATTACTTCCCTAGGTGTATAGAAGGTTCAGAATGAATTGCTGATAAATCAAGGAGAATCTGAACTTCTACAAACCAGAAGCAAACAAACCCAGACTGTATTACATTAATTGGACAGGTATACATGCTAATGTTACTGTCACTGACCAATGCTATAAAACATCTGAAGCAATAGGATCTGGACAGGCTGATTAATAAATAAATCAGAGAGACCAGTATGTTTGCTGAATAAAATACTTCTATTGAATTATTTCACTAACAGAAAATAAAGTGTTGCCTGAATACTCTCTCTCGTTTTAGAATTTAAACATTTAAGCACACATTTTCAAGCCTTTCCTTTGATTTTCAGCAGTGGTAACTTGGTCTAAAAATGACCGCATTGGGGTCTTATCTGGCACTCCATTCAGATCAATTCTCTACCTACGTCCCAGTGTGATCCTTCTGATTTGCCAAGTATGGTGTCTTGATTATTTTACATATATTCCAAGCTGAGAGATCAAGGCACCTTTCAACAGTTGCCTCACAGCTATGAAATTCCTCTCACTTCAGACTTGTCAGAGGCCAAGCTTAAGTGTGCGCATTCTAGGAATATTTCAAGTTTTAAAATGTGTTGACTGCTGGAGCCTATGGGGGGAGATTTATGGGGGGGGTTATAATCACCTTAGTCTATTATTTATTTTAACTTATTCTATACAACCATTCAGGTGTGTGTGTTTTTAAAAAACTCTCATGGTGGCTCACAGCAGTTGTAAGCAATCCTAAATAAATGGGGGGGGGGGAAAACAAGAAACAAAAGTAATCAATTTAAAAAATCCAGTAACTGATAAGAAAGCACATTGAAAACAACAGATATAAACTAAGTAACATGCTAGAAGCCATGGTTAAAAAGTTTTAGGGAATGAACAAGTGACAGAAATCAATGTTTTACAAGCTAGAAAGTAAGTTTTTAATGCTCTTAGTTCAAATCAATAGCCTAAGGAGATGTGAAGAAAAGGTCACATAGGAGTTGCAAGCATCCAGCAAAAAACCAGGTCAACTTTTGAGCGTTGTGATTTTGCCCTGCACTGACAGGAAGCAAAAGTGGTATTTGGTTTAGGTACACAACTGTGCCTCTGTATAGCATGGCATTTGAAGTAAGGCTGAGAATACAGACAACAGAAAGGGAAAACCCTACATAACAATACCACAAGATTGTTAATTAAGAGGAATGGGAAGGAATTCAACTCCTGTGTCCATCAGCACAAGGATTTTCGCTTGTGCAGCAGATCTTTCCCTGCTCTCTTCTCACTGTGCAGGTCCTGAACCCTTGCCACATCTACCCCAGAACTTTGTGGGAATGTTTAGAACAGATTGGAGTGGGGTGAGGGGAGGGGAATGAGAGAATCATGTTCACTTAGAACTATGTTAGAGACAAACAATATTTTTTTTTACAGAAACTCAACTATTACAGGTCAATCAAAAAACTGAAATTTATACACTGATACAGCCTTGCTCTTCAGTGCTTTTGATTGTTTCAACAAAAAAACTCACCATTCTTGCTGACATCCAGTTCCCTGAGGTTAATGAGATTTGCTATGGATGCAGGCAATGTTGTTAGATCATTGTCCGGCAAACTCAACTTGTGCAGAGACTGACAGTTAAAAAGTTGCTATTGAGACAAAGACCAAAAAAGAGAGCATATTATTGTAATATGCTAGGTTTAAACTTCTTAAAGCCCAGCTACTGAGTCAAAGAAATGATATAGTGTTCAAAATAATCTGCAAGAAATATTTTACGTTCCATGATTTTGAAGCTATTAATCACAAACAAATAACCAAAGCTAATCTTGTACATTAAGAGTTTTAAAGGACACTACAAATATTCTTATAAAATTGTTGGCAAAAAAACTTACTTCATAATAGTTATTTATTAAGTATTAATCTGTCTGTACTGATAATCTGTATTCTAAAGCAAAAAATAAATTGTTAACAAATTAATAACACAGCATAACACTCCTTTCTGGTGAACACATGTGTAAAACATACTAAAGTTTACCAAAAAAAAAAACAACCCCCAAAATCCACAGCTCTTCATAGTTAATATTCAAAACTGATTCCACTCCAGGAAGAAACACAGTTAAATGCATTTAGGGAAACATGGCTAGAAGCCATGAGAGGCAAAAAAGCAGTGGAGTCTTGTAAACACTGTAGCTGTTGTAGATCCTAGAATCCCTTGAAAACTTCTTGCAATTCAAAGCCCACAAGCCCTGAATTTAAGACATGTTTCATGGTAACCAACCTAGAAGATGTCAAATCATGAGCAGAGAGAAGATAATCTCATGAAATGAAAGTGAGATTGGAATCAAGGACTGTGTAGATCAGATCACTTTACAGACGAACCCTTGAAAGCCAGGGATTATCTCCAAACTGATTATGGAACAGAAACCAGTTTGCCCAAGGGCACCTAATGAATTAATGGCAGAGGCAACTTCAAACACGGGACTAGCAGATTTGTAGCTAAACCCCTTGTGCTCTTTAGTATCCTACTGATTCAAAACTAGCAATCCATCACTGAGGACTACAATATATATATATTGAGGGTAAGTCTATATATTGTGATAATTCTGGCCACTGGAGGAAAATGATAGATCTGAGAACCAGAGTAGTATAGTGGAGAGAGTTGGATTAGAATGGGGAGACCAAGGTTCAAATCTACACTTGGCCATGAAGTTCACTTGGGCTGCTCACCATCATTCAACCTAACCCATCTCACACAATGATCGTGAGGAACTATGTAATAAATAACAGTAAAATAGTAAATTACTAACATAAAATTTTTAAGCATTCAGATAAAATAAATAGTTATTAACCTGATATGAGTTGTACATATTAATGAAATATAATTTTAGCTGGAGGTAGTAACAAAACATTGGTACCTTGTTTAAAGACTCAGATTTTAGATTCTCACCCCCATCTTAAAATCACATGCTAGTATATTTGTAATGGTTGCAGCCAAGGGGGTTTGAGGAAGCAGTTTGGCTTCAAAGGGCTTCCTCTGGTACTTTAAATCTAAACCACTTCCTCTGCAGAGAAGAAAATGTTTCATTTTTAAACAGCATTTTCCCATCAGCAAAGAGTTAAAGGAGGTACCTATCTGAAAGTGTGCTCCCAGAGCTAATCAGCTGAATGCCACCCATAGAAGTTCAAAGGAGGTTGCTGAACAACTGATACAGCAACCTCCTCTAAAAAAGCACTGTCAGTGCCATAACGATGTCCAGGTGGGTGGTCCCACCCATCTGTCAAAGTTGGCCGACCCCTGCCTTACCTCATGGTAACAAAGCAACTTTGCTGTTTTGAGGAGTGGTGGTGAAATTTGCCACCCTCATGGCTTACAATTTTCTTCAGTAGTGGTTCTGCAACTTTTAAAAAAAGCTTTATTGTCCCATTGCCACAGGTGTATAGAGCCCCTCCTGGTGGTCTGACACCACTAGTTTTCTTCCCAAATACCTTGGACATTATGGGTTGTATTCCACTTTTATTCAGAGTAGACCCAATGAAATTAATGAACCCAAGTTCATCATGTTAATTTCAATGTGTCTACTTTGCGTAAAAGTTATCAGTGAAATACAATCCAGTATCATTCCAGAGCATTGTGGAGGAGAAAAAGTGACAACTGCTACCATCTCCCCAGAATGGTGGCTGCAGTTAGGGCTCATCATTCCCACACACAAACACACATTCAGGAATGACACCGCATCTGAGGTGTTTTGAGAAAAAGTAAATAGTGTCCAGCCTACTGAGACGGGAGTTCTGCTATTGCCACTCCCAATACCTGCATCTGTAGCACAATAAATACTATACAAAACACTAACAAGTTACTGCTGCCACTTCTAAAGGCAAGCTCCTCCTCCCCATAATCAGAAAAATGGACCCCAAATTCACTGGCTGCAAATGAGGCTGCAAAATTCAGCTGCCATTTAACATTAACCATGGTTCACTTTGGTGCGGACCAGCACAGGACCAGAGAAGTATGTTCAGCAATACTGGCTATCGGTGTTATAAAGCAACTAGAAGATTATCAGTCCATCCCCTGTCCTTGTGCACAAATGTGCACGTGAGCACTCTTCTCTCACTCACTCACACAATTAGAAGCTAACATACCTTTGGAAGTTCTTCAATTTGATTAGCATCTAAATAGAGTTCTTCCAAAGTCTTTTCGAAAGTAAAAATCTCCTTCGGCACCTGCTCCAAGCTGCAATGAGAGTAATCAAGTGCAGTGACAGTTTCTTCTTCTCCACGCAAACAGCGGCATGGCACCAACCGCACGAACAAGTTCCGCTTTGTTGTCATTTTCAGGCACTCTTGTAAAAAGAGGGAAAAAATCATTATAAAAATAGCAATAGACTTAGGATGCTGCACAAAATACTGCCATATACTTTAGCAAGGATAGAAAAGGTATGTAAAGGAAAAGGCCTTTGGACTAAAAAGTAGTATATAAATAAGCAATACTGTATAAATATTAGTACTGTGAAAGCTGACAGTTATCCACAAATCTGGGTTTGGGTTTTTTTAAAAGGTCATACCCATACAGTTCTTCAGATTAAACTATCTCTCAGCAGAAATAGTGACCTCTTCATGCTACTCTACTCCTTCATTAGAGTAGAATCCAGCCATGCAGTCAACTATAACTTTACTCAACTTGCAAAGGATCAGGGTGTTAAGGGAGTAAATACTCAAATGTATATATCATGGTTTATATACATAAGCCTTGTGACCAACCATTCCATAAAGGCACCACCCTATCCCCCCCCTCCTTCTCTGTGTGCTGTAAGTCAGTACTTCCTGAGTTAACTAACCATGGCTGCTTTGCTTCTCTTCTAGTTCTTCTGCTGCTGCGCTACTCAGAGCTAAGCCATATCCAAACTCAGACTCATAGTTTGTCTGCCTCAGACAAACAAGCAGTAAACCAAAAACAAACATATTTTGCCTGAAGCAAGACAAACCACAAGCCCAGGTTCAGATGTAATGCATTTAAACTAAACCATGGCTTAGCTCCAGTTTAAAGTTTAAAGTTTAATGGCTGGATTGATAGAACAATAAGAGGTAAAGGGCACAGGTAAGGGATTACCTTTTTGAACATTTCTCTTCTTCCAGGCCTTTGTCTGGTTAAGCAATCTATGGCCTTTTAAACTTGGGGTGTGGGTGTGTTTGTTTGTTATGGGGCCAACTCCCATCTCTTGCCGGGGCTCAACTTGTGCCAGTGCCTTCTGTCAAGAGTTTGGGTGTGCCTCCACGAAGGCACAGGTTGCAGCTACTGCAAAGGCGGCATTTTTCCATCTCCGCCATATCAAACAGTTGGTCCCTTACCTTTCCCGCCCTGATCTGGCCACAGTGATCCATGCAACCATCACCTCCAGGCTTGACTACTGTAACTTGCTCTACATGGGGCTGCCCTTGAAGTTGTCCCAGAAACTCCAACGAGTGCAGAATGCTGCAGCGAGGCTCCTTACGGGGTCCTCGCCGCGGGACCACATTCACCCAGTGCTTTTCCAACTGCACTGGCTCCCGGTGGAGTACAGGGTCAGGTTTACAGTGCTGGTTTTGACCTTTAAAGCCCTTTGCGGCCTAGGACCCTCATACCTACGGGACCGCCTCTCCTGGTATGCCCTGCAGAGGACCTTAAGGTCCATAAATAGCAACACTCTAGAGGTCCCAGGCCCTAAGGAAGTCAGATTAGCCTCAACCAGGGCCAGGGCCTTTTCAACACTGGCTCTGGCCTGGTGGAACACTCTGTCTCATGAGACCAGGGCCTTGCGGGATCTGATTTCTTTCCGCAGGGCCTGTAAGACAGAGTTGTTCCGCCTGGCCTTTGGCTTGGAATCAGCCTGATCCCCTCCCCCGCTTTCCTTTTCCTTCTGTTATGGAACCCCTATTTGGGGACTTCCCTGGCTTTTTTCTGGCCCACGTAGGACCAGTCTGGATAGTTGGCCTTGATGAAGATCTGACATCCCCCCCCCAAACAGTTTTTGATCTGGGCTTCCACTGAAATGAGGCTGCATTTTAAGTTGTATTTTAATCAAATGTTTTTATACCTGATGTTAGCAGCCCTGAGCCCGGACTTGGCCAGGGAGAGTGCGGTATAAATCATCATATGCATTTTTGTGTTTTTATATTGCAAACCATCCTGTGATCTTCAGATGAAGGATGGTATAGAAATCTAATTAATAATAATAATAAATTGAAAATGAAGTATTGCTAAATTTTGAATTACAAAACTAAACAGCTAAATTGTTTCTTCTTCATTTCCTGATTACTTTTATAAACATATATACGGTTAAAGGTATCGCTAAAATTTTATTTGGTATCCAAAGCTAAAAAATAGTAAAGAAAATAGTTTAAGAACCAATGTGATTGAAACATTACTTTTTTATCTAATTCAATGGGGCGGAGGGTTAAACTTACCACTGGGTAATGTTTTTCTCCCTGCTACTTCTTCCCTGAGCTTTCATAGCCAACATTCTGGGAAAGAAAAAGAAATGACAATCTTAGGCAAAACTATGAATCTGAAAAAGCAGGATCCCTGCTTCCCTTTCATTTCTATTACATTTATATATACTGAACAGAAAAAAAATCAGCTTTACAATTCCATGATTCTATGAACCTCCTAACATTCTGGAGATTCTATCCTATATTTCTAAAAACCAGCATCATTTAGAAAACTCACCAAACATCCTAGGTACACATTTTAAATTTAAAGGCAGAGAATAGGTAAAACGACAAAGTCTAATTTGCCATCCACTTTATTACTGCAATGGTTTCTCCAAAAGATTCAGAGGCATTCATTTAAATATCAAAATAAAATCAAAAGGAAGTTCATAGACCATGAAATGTTACATTTTGACTATGTATGTGTTAATATAGTTAAACCTATACCAAATTTTAAAAATGAGAATTATCACACTCAGTAGAAAAACAGTACCCACCATGATCAAAAAACCAAGTGGCACCCATTAACCTGAAAACAATGTCCCAGATTATTATTACAATTAAAGGGATCCATTTATTTATCTCAAGACTGATAACTACACTAGTAATCAAAAGGCCAGTCTACATAGTTTTAGCTATCTACATTTATAGAACACAATCTCTCTGTATGAAGCAGATGGCAGTTAGTTACCACCCCATATTTATTTATTTTAAGATCCAGGAAGACAAAATTGTACAAGTCAGCCAATATTGTCTCTAACCTATACTTAATGTTTTCAGAATATATGACAAAATATGTGAAACAATCTTAGGGAAGTTCTGATGTATAAACAATCTGTACAAGGAACATATAAAACCCTTATCATGCATGAAGGTATATTCATAATATGAATGAAAACACTGATTTCCTATTTACATAAATACAACTAGGGCATGTAAGCTAGTGGATTTTTCTAAGGAAAACCATGGTTTTGCTTAGGTTATTGTTCCTCTTATGATAGTTTCACACATGGAAGAAGCACAGGAGACCAGGAAGCTTTACATTTCAGCAGTACCCCGATTTTAACAGATAAAGCTATGATTTTAACATAGACCCTTGTCAAAATTCTCTTCCAAAGAGCAACACTGGTTCTTCTACAAATCCTCAATGTATTGTGAACTATGTAACACATGCATATTGTGAGCACAATTCTTCACCATGCAGGGGGCAAAAGAGATCTTGTGTACAGAGGGATCCTGATGGGGCATATCACAAACCTTTTCTCTCCATATGTTGGCATCACACCAAATGGAGATTATATGAGGCACAAACAGACTTCCTGTTTCCTGCAACAGTCTGGAAGGCAGGGCATTTGTTATGCCTTATGGTCAGGGCAGATGTGTGGAGTTTGGGAACCACTGCCCTACTGCGATCCCTCCGCATATAGAGAAGGGTTTTATCCTATGTGTTAGTATAGGTATGCTGAATCAGGGTGGTTATTACACAGCCCATGACTTCTTTTGTAACCTGCATTAGAATTCAGCTTCTTAATTTTTTAAAAAATAGGCTTTTAGTTGTGGCTTTAAATAGATATTTTTAGGCTAATAACAATACACCCCAAAGGCTAAGAAAACAGAAAAGAAGTTTGATAAATATTTAAATGGTTTATCATGTGCCTCAGTTTAGTCAATGAAGAAGTTACATGTAGCAAGTTAATATTGTATACAACCGAGACCAGACCTTAGAATGTTTCCCTGTCACCAAAATTGTAGTTTTTGAAAAAAACTACAATTGCTTAATTGTTTGATAGGTATCATTCATACAAAGCATGTGTATGTGTGGCCACACACGTTTTCTCTACAGCCAGCAACAAGTGCAATTACAATTTATTATTTTTATGGTCTAATCACTAAAAATACACTGGAGTCAAGTGGGGGAAAGAAAAAAACATTCAAGCTCAGCAGTAAGATTAATGGACTAATTCCATTATAGATAGAGGATTTGCTGTAAAACCATTAAGAGATCAAAAATGAGACAGCTTGATAATGTCACAGATAAAATAATTCAGCCTAGTTTAATCTGATCTCACAAACAGGGACTATGTGATGCCTTTTCTTAGTTTCTGATAGGATGATATTAAGAAAGCTGTAGAATATTTCACATGAGGGACAGTGACCTAATTCTCACTAGAGGTGGTAAACCTGCATCTGGGCTGTCAGAATGCAGATGGTGATTCACAGGACAGGACTGTCTGCTCTCTAATGGGAAAAAGCGGCTTCTAGACAAAGAAAACTAGAATGCCACAATGAATGCTATGCTAGAAGTCTTCTCCCTGATAGGCCTTTCTCTATTTGTTGTCTGAATGGATATGCACCCCAGACACAGATGTACTACCTCAATGAGCACTATTATTGTTAATTTTTTATTTAATTTGTATACTGTCCTTCACCCACAGATCTCAAGGCAGTTCACAACCATCAGGGATTGTAAGAGGCAAAAGTATTTTATCTGAACAAGTCTAGAATAAAATTCTAGTATAGCATGATCAGTAATATTTGCTATGATATCCTATAAGGAAGAAGTTATAAAACTAGTTATAAAATTAGGCACATTGTGGACTAATTTTAAAACAGAAGCTCTTACAGCAGCACGATGTTTAAATCAGACACCCAGCAGACTAAAAACAGTTTCAGAATGGAATCTCTGTTGCATCATTCCAACCATAAACCCTATAAAACAGCAAACATGTCCTCTCATTTAGGGTTCAACGTAATAGCTCAAGCAAAGAACACATTCCAAATGTTTTGTAGTCCTAACATTCAGGAAACGAAGGCCATGACTGCAAGGGAAGGAGCATATCCATTACAAGAGGAGAGCGGCTTCTCTTTTAAAGAAGATGCAAAATGGGTTATCCACACTGCCTTTGAAACCCTACACAGCAACACCAGAATTTATTTATTTATTTAACCCAACTGCAGCCCCAATCCAAACAGTTGTCCATTATGGTTTACACAAGCATACTCATGTTAAAGGGGTCAAATTAATACTAATTTCCAAGTTAGTTTTTAAGGAAGAAAGTAGCTAGGTTATTTAGAATCCGTGTGTGTGTGTGTGTGTGTGTGTGTGTGTGTGTGAGAGAGAGAGAGAGAGAGAAGTAGGACACATCAGCACCTACCCTGTGGTCCCCCCCCCAAAATAAGCTTCCTCTCCAGATCCCCCAGCACACCTAAGCCAGATGATCATGCAATGATTTCTATGCAGAATCTCCTCCAATCCTGGATACATGAACTAAAAATTTCCCTAGGGACTTCTCTCTATTTGGAGGGAAGGAATCATTCTGGACCGCTTACAATCTCATCATGGGCATGTAAGTGTGTGTTAATATCTGAACAGCCGTTCAAAGTCTGTATATGACAGCAGCTCATTACAGCAAGTTTAGTTTGGGCAAGCATAGCTTAACAATGATAAAATTCCCCTTCCAACTTTTCACCCAAAAACAACAAAACATTATGCCAAGAATACATGCAGACAGTGCTCAACAGTAAGTTATTAACTGACAATTTTAATGTTTGAATCATGGATCCTTATAATGAGGTTGAATTTCTACAGCAACAAATACAAATAATAAGTCCTATTAGTTGCCTTTTTTAAAAGTAACATTCTTTAAAAAGAAACAAAACACATTGTCAAGGCTGCCTCAAGTCTTAGCTCACAAAAGACCAACGCCTCTGTCTTCTTATATACAAAAGTGTTTATTGCAGTTCATGGTTTGCTTGACATCCTAGGCGCGCAGCCTTACGTCTTTTACGCTAGACCGCCGAAGTCCCCTTCTGAGTCAGTTCCTCCCCTGCACCAATTTAAGAGACTTGCGCTGCTCCACCTCTTTCTCTCCTTCCTTTTCCGCAGGGTCCTTCTGCCCACTGGGGTTTCGCCCCTCCTGGATTCCTCTGATGCGGAATCCCCAGACTGCTCTTCCCCCCTCCTGCGGGCTTTGGGACCTGGCCCCTCCTCCGGGCTCCCTGCACTTCCGCGCGCCTCTACATTTGAACTAGGCGCGCGCGCCAAACCTCTAACTTTCCTTTTGACAGTTACACTACTCCCTTCACTGCTCCCTCCCCTTCCGGGAGGGCGGCTTGCTCTGACCCCCTCCTTTCTCTGCTGCTGGAGCTGCTTCCTCTGACACACTGGAAACTCCACCCCCTTCGCTGCACTCTGGTGGGGAGGCTGGTCCTGACGCCCAGCTGCCACTTTGGGATCTTCCGCTAGCACCCTGCTCCTGACACTTCCCCCCTGGGGCTCCCCTGGCCTTGACCACCGGCGCCCCCTTCTGGGAATCCTCTGATTCGCTGGAAAGACTCATGGAATCTCTTGAGTCATTGTCATCCTCTTCCTCGCTGGCTTGGAATTCCTCCCCCTCGCTCTCCATCTCCTGCCTACCCTGTGCCTCTCTCCCTGAACCCCTGACACACATGTTTTCCTCCTTTTTTTCCAAGTGACTAGTTGCAATTACAGAAACATGAAGTACCATTTTCAAACCCTATTAAAACCTACCATGGAAAGCAGTTTGCTCTAGTGCTTACAAGTAGAAAACTAGCTAAAATGTTGGGGGGGAGACTTATTGCAAAGGATGAGATCTTTACTTACTGGTTCAGTTCAGATATCACTAATTCCTCAAACCATGGTCATGGGCATCAGGACATACAATGGGAGAAAGAGGCTCTCTTCTCCAATTCCGCATCCTTGGTCCTGACTCCCCAGGACATAAGTGTTTGCTGTGTATACTATGAAGTCACATACTAAATGAGCAAAACTGTGGTTACATTAACCTTCAAACCATGATTTGAAGTGGCCTTCCAAATTAACAGTTTATAGAGATTAGCACCTTCCCAATTAAGATGTGATGGCCAGCTATGTGAAAGGAACCCAGGAAGTGGGAGAAGGAATGAGTGGTTCATTATTAGCCCTCCAAAATCAACTGTTTGGAGAATCATTTGAATTTAACCAACATCTCTTCTAAATGAAATAAGCAGTGCACATACTAATGCTTTAGTAAAAATTTTAAGCGTAACTCTTAAATCACTTACATACACAAACATGGAGGGGTGGAGATAAAAGCTGGAGCAAACAGCTATTGCTTTGATTTCCACTATTAACATATTATTATTTGAACACAGGCAGCCTTCTTTTCTGAGTAATCATAATCTCTGCATGAAGCTCTGTGGAAATGCCTCCCCCCCCCCCCCGCACAACACAAGCTAGAAAACAGGTGACAGATCATCTCCAATTCAACACTTCACAATGGTTCCCAAACTGACAGCTTTATTTTATGTGCTTCCTCGATTTACTTGCCTGCTAACAGCCAATTAAGCTTGACAGATTATTATGTAACCAGTTTAAACTGAAAACATGCTCTTGAATCTTATTTAACAACACTCCTCACTACAAAATGCTCACTGGACACTGCACTTGGATCCCAATTGTCAGCTATGTTGGAACTCAAGATTAAAAGCTATGGGATAAGTTTACAAATCTAATATCATCAACCTACAATCTTGTAATGACTTAGGATGCAACCCTAGGCACACATCAGGTGGGGAAATCTCACTGAAGTCAATTTGTCTGACTTTTGAAGATTCTTATGGCACTTAAATTCAAAGCTTGCAAGCAGCCAACGTGTAGAAATGCTTAGCATCTCCCCCCGCCCCATGCACAATAGTTATTTAGATACTATATTCTCCAGTGACATCCTGAGGTTCCCCCTCCCTTTTGGACTGCTACCATTGTTTTCTACTTGCTTCCACTCAATGTCTTACTAATTGTATTCAAAGTTCAATTCTTGTCAACATTTCCTGAATTTTCGTAAGTACTTCCCTTTTACTATTTAAAATTGTTTTATTGCTCAATTTGTTTTACAAAGAAGATCCTTAAATAAAAAAGCATGTGAGCAGAAGGATCGGGGCTCCCTCAGCTGGAGAGGGGGAGCACTTTAACGGAGCCTCCACCCTGACGCTGCGAGCCGGTGGCAGGTCTGGGGCTCCGTAAAACTGCTTGGCCGAGGCAAGGGCAGTGGCACACTCCTCAGCCAAGCAGTTTAAAGAAGCAAGGGAGGAACAAGCTGTATCAGAGCCTCACTGATGCAGCTTGTTTCTGCCTCTGCAGCAGTATGAGGGAAGACTGCAATGGCAGTTTCACTCAGTGGTATATCACTGGTGAAACCGCCACTGCTCCTGAGTACCTCTGCCTTCAGCGCCTGACTGAAGCTTGTTTCTCCCTTGGTGCACTGGGCGCTGGTAGCAGAGGGACTCAGGAGGCAACAGTTTCACCCACGAGATACCACTGAGTGAAGCCATCATCACTGCCTGCCCCTCATACCAGTCCTGCGCGATATACTGATGTATATATACTGATGTGTAGGCCCAGGCCTACACTGAAGTAGAACGACAAGAACAGTGGTACCTCGCAAGACGAATGCCTCGCAAGACGAAAAACTCGCTAGACGAAAGGGTTTTTTGAGCTGCTTCGCAAGACGATTTTCGCTATGGGCTTGCTTCGCATGACGGAAATGTCTTGCAAGTTTGTTTCCTTTTTCTTAACACCGTTAATACAGTTGCGACTTGACTTCGAGGAGCAACTCATAGAACGTGGTGTGGTAGCCTTTTTTGAGGTTTTTAAAAACTTTGTGGTGATTTTTGAAGCTTTTCCAAAACTTTCCCAACACCGTGCTTCGCAAGACGACAAAACTCGCGGAAAGAATTAATTTCGTCTTGCAAGGCACCACTGTACAGTGGTACCTCTACTTGCGTTCACCTCCAGTTATGTATCCTTTGGGATATGTACATGGCAAACCCGGATGTATTTTTGCAGGTTTCGCCGCGCACATGCGCAGAAGCAGCACCTCTGGTTGTGAATTCCTTGGGATGCAACTGGAGCTCAGGAACAGATCCCATTCACAACAGGAAGTACCACTGTACGTACACAGAACAATTGTAATTGGCAATCCTATCTTTCCACTTTTAAAGGGCTTCATCTAGAAAGGTCAGATTTAGAATACAGTACCATAGTTTCTGGGCAGGCACAGCTTAGAGGTCAAGCATGCTTAGAGGTCAAGCAGGCATTCAAGAAAAAGACTTTGGGCAATCCCACCTGCCATTGGAACCAATGTGTTGTGGCTATACGTGATATTGGCTTTATGTGTTTTCTCCCAGAATGTAACTTCCACGTAAGTTGATAGTCATCTGTATCAGTAAATATTTAAGGGTGTTCCCAGGCAGGTCCATGGCATCGAAAATATTACTATGTGGGTATCCAATGCTCACAAGCTAAAAGAGAACAGCAGTGAAGTCATGCTAGCATCCTGATTAACCTGCACAAAAAACATTAACTACCAGGACCAGCACAGATGGCACAACCTGGAAGTGTGTCTGTTTAAAAGAATCTGCATTAGTATAAGGCAGGCATAGGCAAACTCAGCCCTCCAGATGTTTGGGAACTACAACTCCCATCATCCCTAGCTAACAGGACCAGTGGTCAGGGATGGTGGGAATTGTAGTCTCAAAACATCTGGAGGGCCAAGTTTGCCTATGCCTGCTATAAGGGGAAAACAATATTTTTTTCTCTCTAATTCTGATTTAGGACTACAGTCACAGGATAAGCATTATCACATAAATAATGATAGGAAACAGTAAGAGAAAACCCACAATATCAGAAGTGTACAGGATTTAATCACTTTTTAGACTGAACCAGTAAATAAATAAAATACAGAGAGAATGTTGGCACTGTGTTGTTCTTGCTTATTGCACCAAAACTGTCATGAAAACACAACTTCAACACACCAGGTGAAGGCTTCGATGATATACAAAGAAATATCTGCAGGGATTAATAGGATTGTATTCTATCTGCTTACAGAGAGATGATAAAGCTATCAGTATTCTTTAAATCACAAGATACAGCATAAGCTGCTTAAACTGGATTCATACATTTCAAACAGCATGGGTCGTATTTAAGCAGCCATCCAGTAATTCCCAGCCTGAAAACAGAAACGGCCAATCCTCATTGCATTACCTCTCTTCACTTGGTTCTGTAGGGAAATAATAAATGCTAGGTGCAGCTATTTAAATTGTCTATTTCTATTTAAAAGGCCAGCTACATATTTTAAAAGGCACTGCACACACCAACTATATAGAACATTTACTATTAAAAGCCAGCCCAGATAGAAATGTATTAAGGGGGATTATTATGAGCAGAAAGAAATTGCTTGATTTCAGTCCAAAAGCTTTGGTAGAGCAAGAAATGGATTCTGAGTGGACTACAGAATCCGAAACCCACTGCAATCATGGCTCAAAGAATATCCTCTGTTGTTTCCAATGCAATCTCAGTAGGGATAGATAAGAGATGTCTCCCCACACCAGAGAGGAAATGGCCTGGTTCACTTTAGTAGTACCCCAAGATTTAGGTCTTGCAGGGGGCAGTAATGCTACTTCTTAGGGTGTGATAGGATGCATAAAAAGAACTGTCTGCAACCTTGAGATAATCTTATTCCAAGCTGTGCCCAACTACCATGTGATTTCCAATGCCAACCCCAAACTGCAAGAATGTTCTGCATTTAATTCTGGAAACACTTCCATGCCCATCAGACACTAGAGTTCTAGCCTAGATACTAATTGGGCATGAACTTCACCCCATTCCTGCTTCAGCATTTCCAGAATGCCCCTGTCTGCCCTGGCCCACCCCATTCCACTCTTTTAGTGACATTTTCGTGACTTTTCAGGTCACTTCCAGGTTCAATGCCATGCACGACTACATGTCAATCAGATGGACATAAATCAGTTGTTGCTTGTAGTGTATCTTGATTTCAGTAAGGTTTTTGACAAAGTACCCCATGATATTCCTGCGGAGAAGCTGGTAAAATGTGGACTAGATGAGGTTACTTGTTAGGTGGATTTGTATTCTGAAAGGCTTTCTTCCCAACTGCAATTCCCAGCAAGTGGAAATCAGAGACTTGCCTCCAACAGTAGAGGTAGACTGCTTTTTTGAGGATGTCTGCTAGACCAAACACCATTACAGTACCATGGGCTTGTCAGTGTGGTCAAAAATTCTGAGTCCCATATTCTACAGCACAGCAAATCTGATGAGCTTTTGCGGGGGAAAGAGTGTAAAACCAACAAAAAAGGACAGCTAGTTAAGCACCTTTATTTCCTTCCACATTTGATGGAACAGTACTGGCTGATTAAAAAATTATTCATATATTATTGCAATGATTCTCAGGGCAATTATACTGAAGAACTGACTCTCTGATACTTCAAATACCTAAGTATTTTTAAAACCAAAGAGTAAATGGGAAGCACAGTCACGCATGTGTGTGTGTGTGTGTGTGTGTGTGTGTATCCAAGTCATGAGTGAATATCTTTCTCTGTGAGAATTCTGTATGTACAATTTGGAGGGAAGTGCCTCTCTATCACCCTCTGGCAAAAACCATTCATTGGTCTCAGGGGGATCAAGAATTGTATTTTGTGAGGATTTCCCAACTAATCTCTGCATTACCTGCCCAGGTCCTTTAAAATGGAGTAAAGCAAGCAAGATATCCCTGCCTAAGGGCAGGGATGCATCACAGTATTACGGTGGCATGTGGGGATTTAAAGGGATGCTGGTTCTCAGTGACAACAACTAAGAAATACAAAAAGATAACCCTGAACTTTTACTCACACAAGCAGCAAGCTGCTTTCCCTGCACTATCTTTATATTTAGTTATCTAAACCAGTGGTTCCTTTTGACTAAGTACTGTGGAGCCTCTGCTTTTCAAAAGCCAAACCATAGACCCCCTACTTTTGAAAATTTTGATATCTCTATGGGTAGTTTTTGTTATGTAAATGGTACTGCATACCCCCTGGGTGGGTTACACGGACCCTGGGGTCCAAAGATCGCCAATTGGGAACCAGTGATCTAAATCATTATGTGCTGAAAAATGATAAATGTCCTGCCAAATCTAACAATGAATAAATTTATAAATAGAAACATATTGATCAACTACAAATACACTAGGCAAAAAAGTGTTATAACTAGCTAATATTTCTGACTGCCTCTAACCCCACTCCATCAGAAATCTTCAGAAATTATAGGCAGTCAGGATATCAGAAGCTTCCGTTAAGACTTTGGGAGAGTTTGCAAGATAAAGCCAAGATAGGAAAGAGCTTTTTGGCTGGGAATGCAATTTCTTCACCAGCACGAACTGGCAAACAAACCAGGAAGGCTTCATGTAAGTATAACTTCCCATTTCATCCAAACTAGGAAACTACATTAAGTCTACTTCGGAACAAAGAAGGATATAAAACCCTGGTTTGAAGTTGGTTTAATATTCTGGCTTGGTCTGAAGTTGTTTATGATCAAGGTTCAAAATTATGTAGCAGGGCACCAGGCACATTTCGCGCCTAAAGATTCTCTATTTGCGAGCACCTCAAAAAGTCTGGGTGCCATTTTTTGCACCTGGCTGACACTCAAGGATTGCTGAAATGTATGTACCTCAAAGTATATGTTAAGGATAGACAATATTTTAAAGAGTTTAACAATAAAGAGTAGAATGTTTTGAAAACTGAAGTATGGTACGTATGGTACCAATATTTTTATTATAAACACCAAATTAAACATGTATTAACAATTTCTATTAAAAATATATTAACAATGTGTCACTTATGTGAATTGCGTATTATCAAATTCATGCTTATCAAAATAATTAATAAATAGTGTTCCTGACCCCCACCAATGGCGACTAGACATTCTAACGCTGTTTATGATATACTAGGCTATCATGAATTTGTCCTATTATTAAGACCTGCCAGAGAGGCTGTTTTGAGGGTATACCACTGCCAAGAGAAGGCTACCCCACCACCATGTTGCTCCTAGACTGTAGAATGTACTCCATTTAGAACCACAATTGACCTCCTCATTCTCTGTTTTACAAAAGAAGAAGTCAAGACGCATCTTTTTAATTTAATATCCTTGCTAATGTTTTATGTTGTTTTTATTTCCGTTTTATTGTACACTACGATAGGGTTGTTGTTGTTGTCACCAATAAGACTGAATAAAATTCTAAAAAGAAACAAATGGGTGCAAACCAATAATCATGCAGGCAAAAAAATTGTAATTTGCTGCCACTATGTGCTTTTCGGTGGATAATATATTATACTGCTTCTTAAATTGCTGTGACTAACCTCTGCTCATCTTAAAAGCAGCATCTAATTTATGTAAGAAAAAAAGTCTGCACAACTCCTGCACAAATGTTACAGAAGCAGTGAAAATTCATGCACTCTCAGGCTAATTTCAGTCACACATTGGAAAGATCTGCTGGTAATCACAAATGAGACTAAAAACAACAAAGTCTTATAGCATCCTAAACACTTAACAAATTTATTGCGGCATAAGATTTTATGTTCTCCAGTGGACTGCCTCAAATGTGTGACATGTTATCCTGTAGGTAGATTGTGAACAAGGAGGTCAACAGAAGGTGAAATGCATAAATTAGAGACAGCAATCATTACATAATTAGTGACAATTCACAAAACAGTCATTGTTGATAATAAAGACATCCTGGCATTGGTAAGCCAATTAACAGTTGTAGATTGATAAAAACCCATTGTGTCAATTCATTACAACAAGTGACAACATCCAATCTACTGCTGAATTGTAATCCAGCAGTTTCATGTTGCAGTCCCCTTTTAATGTTCCTTTGTTCCAAAATGCCCATTTTTAAGGTCAGTTGCTGTTATGCTCTGGGGAGCCACAGTAATACTACTGTGTCATAGATGCTATTTAACATCTACTTGAAGTAGCTCGGAGTGGTCATTAGATTTAGGGTGAGGTGTCACCAGTGAGCTGATACTATCCAGCTCTACTTCTCTGTAACATCTAAATCAGGAGAAGTCGTGCAAGCACTGGACTAATGCCTGGACTCAGTGGGTGCTGGCTGAGGGCCAATAAAGTGACTCTAAGTATTGCCAAAATGGAGACACTGTAGTGGATGGTTTCAAGTATGGATAACTGGTTGATTGTTTGCTTTGGATGGGGAAATATTCACCCAGAGGAGAAAGGTTTGTAGTCTGGGGGATGCTCCTGGATCCATTGCTGCCATAGAGGCTTAGCAGGTCTTGGTGGCAAGGAGAGCATCTTAACAGCTTCAGTCAGCAAGACAGCTATGACAGGGCTTTGCATAAAGCTAACCCAGAAGCTGTTGCTGGTAAAAAAATAATGTGGCAGTTCAACAGCTCACTGGGGTGGAATACTCTCATGTTAAACTGCTACAGAAAGAACTGCACTGGCTGCAATTATCTACAGGGGTCAGTTCAAGGTGCTGTTTTGGCTGTACAAATCCTTATACAGATTGGGACCAGAATATCAAAAAGATCATCTCACCCCTACAAACCCAGCCAATCATTGCATTCTACAGGAGAGGGAATCATGCAGATAACTCCTATCATAAGGTCCACTCTGCAAGACGCCAGAATCAGACCTTAGGTGTGGTGCACCTACACTTGGGACTCCCTACTATGATATATCAGACAGAAACCTTCTCTAAGGTCTTTTCAGCATGTGCTAAAGAAGTGTTATTTTCAACAAGTCTTTTAAATGAAGACGTTTATCCCAGTTGGTCTCTGTATTGGAGCTGAACTTATTTTATGTATATCTTCTAACTCTGATATGTTTATATATGAGGGTTATCTTTTAAAAGTGCAATTATTCTACTTCATTATTCTTTAAATGAAGTATTTATCCTCTTCCCACCTCAATACCACCACCAGTAGCTCAAATATGAAATAACTGGTTCTGAAATATGAAGTAATGGATCCTGTTTCTCCGGACTGTTGTGAATGCTATTTTTCTTTGAAGGGAAACATTACACCAAGACTAAATTTATTTAATCTGTTGACTGTGAAAGAATTTCAGGCCATCAATGCTGATGAGTGGCAAGTGTCAAAAGGGTCTACTCACTTTTACCCTCTGTCTCCTCACCCTATCACCTTTCAAACTAAGTTTTACTTAACATGTTTTGTTCCTCACACTGGTTTGCAATGAATACTCCTAATTTTATGTTCAGTACAAAACTAACTCTTTGAGGTAGGCTAGACAGGTGTTGTTCTAGGTGTTCCAGGAAAATTCTAGGCATTGTTCAGGCACAATCTATTGAGAGTGTTTTTGTTTCAGAAAGGAGCAGAAGTCAGCAAAAGTACTGCTCTCTTCTTGTACAAATCCAATTCATTCCAGTGGAATTCTCACTTGAAAAGTTCCTAGTGAACAGTGTCTTGTGCTGACAGAACCTTTATATATTCTTACAACCAATACCATAAAGTTTCTATGGACTATTTAATAAAAAACAAGTTATTACGTGTTTTGCAATAATGAACTATGTGACAATAGACACTGGAAAGAGACAAGGGGGTAGAATAGAATTGGCATCGTATGTTATAAACTTAGTTGTGTTTTTTATTTTGGGGTTATGCAGTCCTTCCTATGAGTTGTGGTCCAGCTTAGGCTTTGCTGATAGGGACTCCATGAAGAAAGCAATGCGCCTGAATGCCTAACACCCTCCACTCCACCCTCAATGGACATCCTAGGACACCAGGAAAGCAGCAGCAAGCCAATTCTTTGCAGAATGAGGACCAGTCCCAATCCTGCAGCAATCAAGGGCAGCATCAAAACTTATTCTTGAACCATGGGAACTCACAAGGTCCAAGACCACTACTGCAAAAGTAAGGGACAGCATTGGCTCCAGTTCTTGCACTATGAGAAGAAACCAAGTCTCAGTCCAATACAAGTTTGCTCCAATCCCACTTCGTCCTGCACGAATCACTTGGAGATCACCTACGAGTGATACTGACAAGTGCTTCCTTAATATGTATACAGGTATAAACAAAAGAAATAAGGGAGTTCTTTGCAGCTACTGTTAAGCATTGACTGCTTAAGTGTTGATTTTATGCTTTAAGAGATATGGTCTCCTTCACAAGAGACCAATACTAACAAAATGGTGTGTGTGAATGTGTGCAGAGGAGAGGGACAGAGAGGAAGTGGGGTTTGGTTTTTTTGCTAACTTCAGACAGCGGACTGTGCCGAACCCGGAAGTACCAGAACAGGTTACTTCAAGGTTTCGATGCTCGCGCATGCACAAAAACACAAAATGACATCACACGCATGTGCAGAAGTGCCGAATTGCGTCACGCGCATGCGCAGACACGGCGCTTCAGGCTGTGAATGCTGCAGGTTGCAAATGTGCCTCCCAAACGGATCACATTCGCAACCTGAGGTATGACTGTACTCCAAATATTTTGATGTTTTCAGTCCTTCCTTACCAATAGAAACTCAGATTGGGACCATACTTTGCACCACAATTGAAATAGCTTAAGATCACAATTTACTCAAAGCCAGACCTTTAGCTTTGTGGCACAACTGAAAATTTAGATCAGAGTCTCCCATATCAAGCCCCAAATGCTGCAGCACTAGAAATATTTAGATTTAACAACCAAGATGCAGCTTACTATTAGGACTCAACATTTATTGATTCATCAAACTGACAGATTAAAGTGTCAGGTATCAAATAAAAATAGAGCCATGATCAATTGGGGACAGACTCCAAGCCAATTGTTTGCCTCCAATTCTGCTCTGACCCTGCAGTTTTGGAGCCACTTGTGACTTTTTCTTCTTTTCTTTTGCACTGCTTGTTGTCTTAGCCAGGTGCTCCACCCAATCAGTCAGGGGCCTTGAAGAGGAAATCAAGCAGCGGCTCTAGCTCACTCTTTTTCCCATCGCCTTGCACTGATGCTGTGCTGATAAGCTTCCTTGAGTTCTGCACATGACACACACACAGAAAGAGTTTCAAGAATCTTGCAATTGTTTCCTGCTCATTCTGGATGTGAATTTGTAAATTTATGTGATAAACAGTTTAGTGAACAGGCATCCGAGGGCCTTATATTTTAATATGGAAGGAAAAGCAGAGTACAAATTTGCAAGAAACGTTAAGAGCAAAAGAGAACCTTCTATCCAAATTATTTTGAAACAAGCAGCTAGACCTATATTCAAATTATTTTGAAACAAGCAGCTAGACCTATATTCTAATGACCCATGTTTAAAATAAAAGCGGGATCTGAATTTCTTAACTTCTGAAATCTGGGGTTGGGAGAGGGGTTACCAATTAATGACCTAAGTCTTTGCAACTGATTTTACAAATATTCACACAGCATTTTTTTTTAAATTTCAAATGTGTACACCACCTTTCTACGTTACTGTGCACAGCACAATGTATCCCTAGAATCATTTACATATAGTATTACAAGATATCAGCAAAATGACAACAACAAAAACCACTCCCATTGATTACAAGAAATCATTAAATAATTATCAACGACCAAGTCAGCAACAGCAGAAATACCATACACAAAATGCCACAAACAATGCAAAAAGAACAACCGAGCACTTGGGCCACATCTCTCCTTTCCTCACCTACACCCACCTGTCTACCAAGAAAAAGGCAATCATGCCACTCAAGCCTCTTACATCTGAAAGACACAACACCATACACTGCACTGATTCAATGCACAAACCTAGATAAAATAAATTTTATGAACAGATAGTCCACAGGTGAGAAACCCAAAGGTGAGAAGTCTAGTGTAATTTTGATTTACTAAGTGAAAAGCTGAAAGATGTCTTTAACCGCTCCACTTTATTGCTTTTTAAAAACATACAGATTGTAGACAGCATTTAACTTCTTTACAAGCCTTATGAGAATAATATCAGCCAAGGATTCCTTCCATTTCATGGCTTTAAAAATGACATCGTGCTCTGCAAATCACTTTGGGTTGTAGTCAATGTAGTCAGAGTAGGCCCTCTAAAAATAATGGAGAAGACTAATTTGGGTCCATTAATTTCAATGGATCTGAGAAAAACTTGGTTTAATACAGCTCCTCTGATGCAGCATGCAAAACTGACAGATGAAATAATTTCATTAAACACCAAAATAGAAGAAACATTTCAATATAAAAAGCAGTGAGTAATAATACACATCTCCACACACTACAGCCATATTTAGCATTGGCTGCAACAGTCTAGATACGTTAATATTATTGTGGGTGGACAAAGAGTGTACTTCCTTGAGAAAACATGTTAAAAACTTTCTGTAGAATGTGACTGCAGACTCTGGATGCCTCCCACTCTTCTTTGAAAACAACCCAACTTCGAGGGGCCACTAGAGGCGCATCAGAAGATGGCTGACAATAACATCTCTCCGACCCACACGAGGTAATTTGGAGGCTGTGATGGGAGTAAATAGCCTCCCTACCCCCCCAGGATTGTGGGGGGGGGACTGCCCTGCCTGCTGTGCCCTATACCACCCCCGAATTTGTGGGGATGGGGGCACTAGGCACAATGTCCTCCTGTGGGATTTTGGCGCTCCTGGACGCCGTCTCTGATCTGTGCCACTAGCTGCAAGAACTTCAAAAGAAACAATTTGGATGAAGCGAATGCACATATTTCAAGGAAGGAGGGGGAGTAAAGACTGCTAACAGAAGAGATCTCTGATAAAACAAGACGAGTTGGAGGAACAAGTATAAATCATGAGAAGATACGCCAAGACTCGGTATGGCAAAGGGACTGATGGGGGAGGGGGAAAAAACTTTCCTTTCTTTCCTTTATGTGATTAAACAAGAATCCCCCCCTCACAAGTCAGAAATGTCGTTTTAAGGACTTAAGCTTGTCAGCATCACCCTTGAGCCAGTGCCACCAACTGGACTCATCCACTTCAGCCCTGACTGGGCTAGGCGAGCTGGGTAGCACTTCCAGAGACCACCTTCTGCACAGGAACAGGTCAAAGTGCTGTGGACTCACAGCTTAGAGTTGTGAGCACCGGATTCACTCCCACAAGAAGACAGTCGTCGCACAGCAGAGTACAGCAGAGTCTAGCAGAGTACATAAACAACTCGGAGAACAGCTCTGTAGAATATCTTCTTTATTCTATCTACAACTATTATACAACTATATACAGAGCTTAATAGGTCTAAGCATAAATGAATGCTGCACTGCACTGAGTGTCTGCAGCTGCTCTTAGCAGCAACCTTATCTCTACACACGATCTCTAACACTCAGTCTCAGTCTCTCTCTCTCTCTCTCTCTCTCTCTCTCTCTCTCTCTCCGACACTGACTGACTGACTTGGTGCTGGAGCAGAATAAGTAGAGAGCAGAACACGCCTCCTCCTCTCTGGAGAATCAGCAGACTCCTCAGGAGATTCTTGGATATGGGAGGGGTGAAATCTCCTCAAAGCTGTGGATTTAAGGCTGTGTGGAGATAAACTTTCGAACCAAAGCATGTTTTGAGAAGAGCGTGGAATGTATAAGGGCTTTGGAATGACGCAGTTAAAAATGCCATCGCCATATTGGGAAGTTCTGTCGGAGGACTTAAGTCTGGGAGGAGAAATAGAGAAATAGAGCTGTTTTTATATTGTGGGTGAAACTCCTCAGAGGGACTTAAGAACAACAGTTCTGTAATTAAAGATGGAAAGAGCGATGTTATCTATGAAGGCGATGATATATGGAAACCATCTTGATTTAAGGATTGGAAGAACGGAAAAATTCACACAGGATTATTATTGGTGTTTATCGGCTTAAGGAGACTATCAGAAGAGATCATAAAGAAAAAGAGAAAATATATGAACAAGATGTGATGTGGAAACAGCAAGATAAGACTGGATAGAATTATGAACTTTGTTTGGACTGATTTGGACATTAACGCAGTAGCAAGAAGATGATCAGAATCCTCCTTCGGATCTTGAAATATGGGTCCCCTCAACAAAATTTAAAATTCGGCTTTGTAATTCGGAATTTATGTTATGTGATTTGATTTGATTTGATTTGATTGGCCGGTTAATAAAAATTATTTTTTTTTAAAAAAAGAAAACAACCCAGCTTCATAAACTGTAGATTGGAGTTACCGTAACTTGATTCCACTAATCATCAGTAAGTAATCAGTATGTCTACATTTCAGTCTATATGACAAACTGCAGTTATTCTAAAATGGAAGTGAAATTTTCTCAGCTCCTCCTCACAGCTGCAGGGCTCATTCTTCAAATGCTAAACTAGTATTATGTTCAAACCAACCCACTGTTTTATCAGCATACACCTAATATGTTTAAGTGCAAATCTAAAAAGGTTATGAATTAAACTAGCAAGTTTCGGGAAAGTTATTTACCATACATTTGTCCAAAAAGAGCAGTTTGCTTACAGTCCCTGGTCACAGAATAAGCTCTAGTTTGTTGCTGCATAAAATGGAAATATCAACAATTGAGACACACAGATATCCTTACAGCATTACATTCAGTCTTACAGAAAGAGTACCACAGCTATAAGGCAAGCATGATCCTGCAAGTAATTAATGCTAATGAATTCCAGCTGGCCTATATAGTTTGGAATTTCCAGATTTTGCCCCATATAAATTAGTACCCACTTTTAAGCTTGATATTAAACATAGCACTTATGACACTAAAAACTATTTGCATGACATTGAGAGACAGATGCAAACCTTGAGTCTCAGTTTACAAGCATCCTTTCATATTTCCTGTTAGGTCAGGTTTGGGCCTTACTTAAGAATAGGACACAGATCTCAACTAGAAGGACCTGGTATAATACTAGGACTATAACAGAGTCTTTATCAGGCACTTTCATGCTATAGATTAATATTACAGTGGTACCTCAGGTTAAGTACTTAAATCGTTCCGGAGGTCCATACTTAACCTGAAACTGTTTTTAACCTGAAGCACCACTTTAGCTAATGGGGCCTCCTGCTGCTGCTGCGCCGCCACGCAATTTCTGTTCTCATCCTGAAGCAAAGTTCTTAACCTGAAGCGCTATTTCTGGGTTAGCGGAGTCTGTAACCTGAAGCATATGTAACCTGAAGCGTATGTAACCCAAGGTACCACTGTAGAAACAAAGGAGCACCAAAAAGGGTTGCTATACGTCCAGATTTTCCTGGACATTTCTGAAATACTGCTCAACAACTTTCTGTCCAGATTTTCACTGTTTGAAATATGGCAAGCCTAGATTGACAATAAGTACATCACTCTGGCTTATCCTCAGCTCACTGGATATGGAAGAGAGTTTCCTTGACTAAAGGGGAATTTAACTGCAGCCTTCCAATTTACCGTATCTTACAGTTCAACCACTAGCAGCTATGTTATATATTCTGCAGAGTCATATGCTAGGGACTTCTGTTGATTGTTTCACTTCAGAGTACTTTTGGGGAACCTAATTACTGAATGCTTCCCCATGTAAAAAAGAAGTTAATTTGAAGGTTTTACCCTTCTCCCCCAAATACTGGACCTGTTGAGACATTACATAAACAAGCCTAACTGAGCTTCAGGCTCATCTGCTCAAGTTTGGAAGGCTTTGCTTCCATTTTTAGTTGCCATTTAAGCAAAAGAAATTTTTTTTAAATGGCTTGTTATTTCAGCATTTAAGCAAATATGGAAGCAAAAGTTGTCAACTCTTCCTTGTAGCCATGCCAGAAGATTAGAGGAGGAGTGTGCAAGCCCAAGGCTCACTTCAGCTTATTCATCTCAAATGATTTAGTGTAAAATCCAAATGTGGTCATTCAGACTTTAGCCTTTTGCATTTTGGCTTTTGGGTCCCACTGTTTACAATATGTCTCTGTGTGTCTGCATATACACATATTTAAAGGTAAAAGTAAAGGTACCCCTGACCATTAGGTCCAGTTGCGGTCAACTCTGGGGTTGCGGCGCTTATCTTGCTTTACTGGCCAAGGGAGCCAGCGTTTGTCTGCAGACAGCTTCCGGGTCATGTGGCCAGCAGGACTAAGCTGCTTCTGGTGAACCAGAGCAGCGCATGGAAACGCCGTTTACCTTCCCGCCGGAGCGGTACCTATTTATCTACTTTCACTTGATGTGCTTTCGAACTGCTAGGTGGGCAGGAGCTGGGACCAAACAACGAGAGCTCACCCCGTTGCGGGGATTTGAACCGCCAACCTTCTGATCAGCAAGCCCTAGGTGCTGTGGTTTAGACCACAGCACCACCCGCATCCCTAGATACACATATTTAACCTCTGCCAAATGAGAACAACCATTCATGTATCTGATGAAGTAGGCCCTACTCCAGAAAAGCTTATATCGCAGTAGATATGCTATCTTTAAAGCTACCTCAAGGCCCTCTGTCTTGGTTGCAATAGACCAACACAACTCTCTCATCTGGAATGTTCTCTAAATCTGTAACCCCAAATAGGGAGAAAACTCAAAAGGTCTCTTCTGAGCTAAGCATATCTCCTGTCCACAAAAATTAAAAACATCTGTTTTGTTTTTGTTTTTGTTAGGCAAGGTAAAGTAGTGACAGTAAACCATTCCATTTTTAATTCTGGCTAGTTTTCTACACCTAGAACAGTTAGTGTCACGTGACTGGAAGTGCACTTTAGAGAGCAATGAAACATGCTTCACAGCAACGTGCCCTTATAAGAATGAATCACAATTTTAAAGAATTTTAGGGAGGCTTCATTTCACCTTTGTTCTACCCAACTTTTAAGCTGCCAAGACATTTTCTTATTCCAAATGAGTTACTCCCCTTTGTTTCACATGGACTGAATTCACAGGTGAAAATATCAAACTAATTTAGTGTGATGGATATGTTACTATGCATTTCTGTTCACTAGTTAGCTATTTAAATGTGTACGTCAGCATTGAAGATAAGGTGAAAATCATCAACAGAAACTATTACACTTGCAGCTTTCAGAGAACCTGATGTTTTTAACTTGCCATAGTATTTATGTAATCCTTGCTTCCACATACAGGCTGGCAAACATGCCTCACTTAATATTAAAACTGGCATGTCTAATGCACAAACCCTGCCATGGGCTTGTTCCTCTATGCTAATTAAGTTTTATTATACCCTACCTGAGGATATTAGTCAAATTGGCGGATATTTCTTGCTTTGACAGCTCAAGAACTGAAGCATTTGCTGAGCACATACCATGTCTTCTCCTGCCACTTCTTATTTGCGATAACTCCCTCTCCTCCCACCTCCTGTAATGTCTCTTTCACACATCCATAAATCCCTTCCTCTTTAAGACTATATGAAGCTTAATTCTACAGCAAACCCTCAGATAAGTTACAATTTCAGGCTCTGTTCTTAAACTGAGGTATATACCTGCCTGCAAGAATGGAGTCAGGTACTCAAAACTATATGAATTCCACCATGGACTGTATGGTACCAGCCAAATCCCTCACAAACAGATTCTAAACTATATTTTAAAATAAAGACTTGAAAAAGATTTGAAAAATTAATAAGCAGTCCTAACGACTATTGCAAATCAGCACCACCAACATATTTCAGTTATAATACCCACACATCTTATTTGGAAGTTCTGTTGTTTTTTTAAAAAAGGAAAAACTTCCCTCTAAGCAACTAAATGGCTTAGTTTGCATGCCAATTTAAACCATACAGTTATGCTGAACTATGATTAAAAGGCAAATGCACAGTGTACTGGTACAAAGAGCGAAAAATGCACCTGTTTCACCTCCTCTTCGGCTTCTACTGCCAAGAACTTAGTGTTATCTCCAGGCCTGGGCTTATACTTTGCTTTTCTCCAAACAATTCATAACAAAGGTTATAGTCTGTGATTTTCATTTTGAGCAAACAAACCATGAGCTGAGGGTGAGACATAATGTTAAGCCAAATGTTAAGTCACATGTGTTGATCTTTCATAGCATTTAAAGGGTTTGTTATAACCAATGCTCCTAGAAACATGCAACATAGGTGAGGAAACAGCACAGAATTCAGACGGTTACTGTAGCAAGCTGCATTATGTATTACAATGTGGCAAGGAAAGTGGCTATAGGAATCCTGCAGCCTATGCCTGATCTTAACAGGTTGGTGCTGATACAATGCTTTTTTTAAAAAAAGAATTACTCTAGGCTAGTCAGAAGGGAGGCAACCCATCATGGCCATGAGAAGTTGATCAGGAAGCTATACGGAATACCTGACCATTGAGACTAGAGAACTGAAAGCTAGTCTGTGGTTGTCAGTATAAAAATTACTGCTGAACGTGAATGATCTACACCACAAGGTAAGAGATCCCCTGTGTGTCCACAACATTATTCAATGTACAGTGGTACCCCGCAAGACGAACGCCTCGCAAGACGGAAAACCCGCTAGACGAAAGGGTTTTCCGTTTTGGAGGCGCTTCGCAAAACGAATTTCCCTATGGGCTTGCTTCGCAAGACGACAGCCCATAGGGAAATCTCAGGGACAGCGGGGAAGCGCAGCGCGTCTCCCCACTGTCCCTCGGACCTCCTCCGAAGCCTGGCGGCGGGGCGGGGACACCTCCTCCGCCGCCGCCGGGCTTCGGAAGGCTCCTCCGAGCCGGGCGGGGGGAGGGAACACCTAGCCGCCGCCGCCCGGCTCGGGAACGGTGCCCGGGCCGGGCGGGGGAGGGAACACCTGCCGCCGCCGCCCGGCTCGGAACGGTGCTCCGGCCGGGCGGTGGGGAGGGAAGACCTCGCCGCCGCCCGGCCTCGGAACGGTGTCCCGGCCGGGCGGGGGGAGGGAACACCTGCCGCCGCCGCCCGGCTCGGAACGGTGCTCCGAGCCGGGCGGGGGGAGGGAACACCTGCCGCCGCCGCCCGGCTTCGGAACGGTGCTCCGGCCGGGCGGGGGGAGGGAACACCTGCCGCCGCCGCCCGGCTCGGAACGGTGCTCCGGGCCGGGCGGGGGGAGGGAAGACCTCCGCCGCCGCCCGGCTCGGAACGGTGCCCGGCCGGGCGGGGGGAGGGAACACCTAGCCGCCGCCGCCCGGCTTCGGAACGGTGCTCCGGGCCGGGCGGGGGGAGGGAACACCTGCCGCCGCCGCCCGGCCTCGGAACGGTGCTCCGGGCCGGGCGGGGGGAGGAACACCTGCCGCCGCCGCCCGGCTTCGGAACGGTGCCCGGCCGGGCGGGGAGGGAAGACCTCCGCTCGCCCGGCCTCGAACGGTGCCCGGCCGGGCGGTGGGGAGGGAAGACCTCCCCGCCGCCCGGCTCGGAACGGTGCTCCGGCCGGGCGGTGGGAGGGAAGACCTCCGCCTCTGCCCGGCTCGGAACGGTGCCCGGCCGGGCGGGGGGAGGGAACACCTGCCGCCGCCGCCCGGCTCGGAACGGTGCCCGGGCCGGGCGGGGAGGGAAGACCTCCCCGCCGCCCGGCTTCGGAACGGTGCCCGGCCGGGCGGGGGAGGGAACACCTGCCGCCGCCGCCCGGCTCGGAACGGTGCTCCGGCCGGGCGGGGGGAGGTAACACCTGCCGCCGCCGCCCGGCTTCGGAACGGTGCTCCGGGCCGGGCGGGGAGGGAACACCTGCGCCGCCGCCCGGCTTCGGAACGGTGCTCCGGCCGGGCGGGGGAGGGAAGACCTCCGCTCTGCCCGGCTCGGAACGGTGCCCGGGCCGGGCGGTGGGGAGGGAAGACCTCCCGCCGCCCGGCTCGGAACGGTGCTCCGGGCCGGGCGGTGGGAGGGAAGACCTCCGCTCGCCCGGCTCGGAACGGTGCTCCGGCCGGGCGGGGGAGGGAACACCTCCGCCGCTGCCCGGCTTCGGAACGGTGCCCGGGCCGGGCGGGGGAGGGAAGACCTCCGCTCGCCCGGCTTCGGAACGGTGCCCGGCCGGGCGGGGGGAGGGAAGACCTTCTGAAGGCGGGCGGGGGCGAAAGTCTTTGCTCCCCTGCCTGCCTGTCCCGGAGGGCTTTGAAGGCGGGGGAGCAAGACTTCGCCCGCCCGCCTTCAGAAGAGGTCCAGGACCTCTTCTGAAGGCTGGCGGGGGCAAAAGTCTTTGTCCCCCTGCCTGCCTTCCCAGGGGCTTTGAGTTGCCCCGGACAGCGGAGAAGTCCTCCGCTGTCCCGGGTGATTTTAAATGCCGCCCGCCAGCATTTTAAGATCGCCTGACAGCGGAGAAGTCCTCCGCTGTCCCGGGTTTTTAAAATGCTGGGGGTGGGAAGAAAGCCCTTGCTCCCCCCAGCCTTCAGAAGAGGTCCGGGGACAGACTGTCCCCGGACCTGGTCTGAAGGCGGCTTCCTAGGAACGCATTAATTGATTTTCAATGCATTCCTATGGGAAACCGTGCATCGCAAGACGAAAAACTCGCAAGACGAAGAGACTTGCGGAACGAATTAATTTCGTCTTGCGAGGCACCACTGTAAGTGCTATCTACTATGTTCAAGTAGAAAAGTATTGTAAGGGGGAGGGGAGTATGGATGAGGGAAAGATTTAGCCTGCCTGCCAGCTAGCTTATGCTGTACTTTAAAATTTCACTCCATCCCTTTGTATGGATTCAGATTGATTTTATCCTAAGACACAAGTTGGCCATTGTTTTATCATGCTTGGCCCTCAGCTCCTATATGAACATAACAGTGGGCAGAGCCAATATTAGTAGACTATAAATTCTTTTCACAGATCTCGTTAAAAAAATTGTTGACAACAAGGGGACAAGGGAAAACCATTGGCTCTGCAAATCACTTTGCATATGCAGAACAGATTATTTGGCTACAGTTTTGCATTGCCCTCACAAAAGGTTAAGGCAAGCTGTATGTATATAAGAAAAGTAGTTGCTCAACATACATATACTTGTTTCTTTATGGATATCAGGTTATCTAGCATGGCCTTTAGTGGACACTTGCTTCTTAATCTGACACTTACTCCTAGGGGGCAATTTTGATTAACAGTGTGTAAAAGGAAAATTCTTTCTGAATTTTTCTATAGTTGCATGAGGATTCTGTTATATGAAACACTAGCTATTCTCCATTTTGGGATGGAGGTAGACACACATTCAGGGATGGAAACATATTTCCAAGCCTCGGAGAACTAGTCATATACAGCAGTGACAAATTATTTTGATAACTATAGAAAAATATAACTAATGGATCGCCAGAAAGAGCGCCATGTTAAGTTTGCATTCTTGTTACAAGCGTCTGGCACCTTCAACTTTTAATGAATTTATAATGGCATAAGCTTTTGAGAGAACAGTTCATTTCATGAGATGTATGAAGCATTATCCTAAACTGGCAAGAATATACATACAGATTTTTTGGGAGGGAAGGGGTAGAGAGAGAATGAGTGGAGGAAATGAAATGCTAAAAGAACAAAAATTATACTACCTGAAAGGAAAAGGTACAGTGTTTCGTTAACTGTACCTTAAGTTTGTCAAACACATGAACTTCAATGGCTCTTTTCAAAGTATGACTAACATTGGCTCTACCCCACAATTTTGAATGCCTATTATAACAGCAGAAATGCACAATAATGTTAAATCTTACCTATCAATTAGTTACACAAATCATTGACAAAAATATGCTAAACTGCCCTGCTCAAAGAGGAGCCCATGGAGCAGGGTAGTAAGGCAGGTTAACTGTCACAGCACCAAGGATGGCTTCTAATGAACAACTTGCTCCAAAAAGGGTTCGAAATGGGCAGATACCTTTTTTATCTCTGCCTTCAGGTCAACTTCTCCTATATGCTTTTGGAAAATTTAAGTGTCTCCTAAAAGGCCAACCCTCCTACTCAAATATAGGCAATTATCATGCACTCCGTGGCCCACTTGCCTAGTGTGCTGCTTATGGCATTAGACTGGTAAGGTGGTATGGATTCTTCAAGCCACATGGACCAATGAGGCTCCTGGCTCTGCTTTTACAGGCTCTGATGTTGTGGAATTTGGTTCAGTGGGCTCCTGCCTGCCAGGCTTGGGTACAGTGGTCTCTTAATCACAAACATTAGGCTCATAACCAAGAACCTGGTCCATCTCCTTAGCTGGCAACACTATAGCCCCTGTCCCAAGTATCCTGGTCAGTGCTGTCACAAAAATGGATTCTTCAGCAGCATGAAATATTAAATCTAAAAAAAACATACACTGTGAATGTTTCTTAAACTATCCTTTGATTTGCCTTTGAGAAATTCAGAATATATTTTCAGTCTACTTCAGTGAAACGCTTTTAATATGTGATCATTACCTCTTCCAACTTTCTACAGCATGAGTAAGGAACAGCACTTGTTTAACCACACTAAGAGCCTATAGTAAAACCAGAGCACTACAGCTAATTTGTATGTAATATAATCTTGATTAATATGGAGGCCACTGAAGGTTGAGAAATTCCATCTTACCAGCTCCATTTACCCTGACATCCAATATCAAATATACATCACCTGTTCAGGCACTTAAAATTATTAAATGGACTTACAAGTCAACTTTTGAAACTATCATCCACAAGAGAATCTTTTATGTTGACTTCCTTCTTAGATCTCTCTAAGCATGACAGCTAACAAAACATATAAAATTAAAGCCAAGATTCACTTCATTCCATTAAAAACTTACCACAACAGAAACAGGTCACTTATGGTCCATTATGTTGCCCTTCCTCTCCCTCTGCATAATCTGGAATTAAGAGTCTTGTCACTGCACTCTTTCTACAGCAGAAGAAATAAATTGCCATTCCAACACTATGGCAGTACATAGTGTATGGCCACACAACTCAGGGCCCCTACATCTTTAAAGACCTAGTTACCCATTGATTTTATTTGTTTGAATCACCTGCAATTCAGCACTTGGTTTGCATACAATTATAATCAGACCTCTTAAGGAACATTATGCATCACTGTCCAGTATAACAAATAATAATTGCTTTACATTACCCTCACTTCCATTTGCAACATTTATTACCATACAAGTAAACAGCAAACGTTTGTGCACAAACCATTATTCATCTTTGTTTTAAGCAAAGTCACAATCATCTGCATTTGATGTTAAACTCGCCATGCAAATCCTGCATCTCATATAAGCTGGTGAAAGTCCTTGAGCAACACACACCAAAAAGGGTGAATTCTTACTATATGTAATGAAAACAGTAAATATTGCTAGAAAAGTCTATATCTCAAAAGTCAGAGAATAGCCACATGCTGCAATCTATCACAATTTTAACTATCACCCCATTAATTTTATTTTGTCAAGATTTCTGTGTGTTACATGCTTGTTAATATTTTTCAGAGCTTTGGAGGTAATTGTCAAAGGACAAAGAGATATGCATGTTTGACTTCAGCGGGGGGCGGGGCGGGATGAGAACTTAAATTCAACAAGAGTTTCAAAAGTAGAAGCAGGGAACCTGTGGCCCACCATTTGTTGGCTACAACTCCCATCATTCCAGACCACTGACCATGCTAGCTGGGCTAAAGAGAGATCCAGAAATATCTAGCAATCCTCCAGGTTCTCCAGCCCTGGTTAAAGGCATGTTTTATTCTTTGTGTAAATAATAATCATGAGCATTTCCTGCAGCTGGATTTCCTCATGAAGTGGAAACATTCTTGGACATTGTCCTGCAGGTCAAGCATTAATTCAGACAGTAATGGAATGCCCCATGTATGTGTTGATATACTTGTGCAATCAACATCCCATGTGAACACATATGAACATTTTTGGCAATTTCACAATAAACCACATTTCAGTTGAGAAAAGATACATATAGTTACTTCCTCCTTAACATATCTGATCTTACAGGTTCATCTTCAAATTCTGTAGGAGAAAAATCATCCAATTCTTCTTCAGTAATATCTGCATGAGAACAGTACACTTGACAGTACGCTGCATCTAAAGCTGTTGGGTCAGGTGCAATGCCAGGGCATTCTGTACAGGCCACTTTCCTGGAGGTAAGGGTATATAACTTAGGTGACCTGAAGCCAGGTGAGAGATGTACACAGTTAATATCTAAACACATTGGGCATTATTAACATGGGACACTCTAGGTGGAGATGTGGCTGACCACACAAAGCACTCTAGGTCTTGTATTTCACAACTGATGGTGGTGGCTTAACATGGCAGGGTTGCATTTGGCCAAGATCCACATAAATTATGATTATATACAGAACTATCCAATTGCTGTGGACCTACCATCTCTTGGGGCATAGACCTTGCAAAAAATCATATGCAACATTATTAATCAAATCTGGTAAGAATTTTGGTCCTGGATCGTAGGCTAATTCCAAGGCAAATTAAGAAAGAGTCCATAAAAGAATAGACTCAGACTTGGGAGTGCACTAGTTAAGAGACATTTAATGGCACAAATTTACAAGGCTGTATTTGTAGAATTTTATTCAGCTAAAGATTGTAATATAGAGAGAATAGCCACACTTTACTTGATCATTATGTTACAGTGGTATTTTGTGCAGCAAATACATGAAGCATACATGAAAAGCTGCAACTAGACAAAAACAAAGTACTTGGATGGCAGGTCCAGCCAATTTACTAAACCTAGCTCAACATGCAAGTGAACCAAACGTAATTCTGGGTTATCAATGCATATTATTCTACAGATCCCAGCACTGGCTGGTAATACTTTCCACCAATTTCTACATGGTAAGGGTATAATATTCCCCCCCAAATTTTGCTTTGTCAATAATCATACTTTTGTAACCTTAGAACTTTGCTATTATAACACAACCCATATACACCTTTCCTTCAAAGGATGCAGCTGAAGCAGAACAGAAGGGCTTGTCTCAACAGGCGTGAATTACCAGGAAAACGTTACACCAGAGTGAGCAATGGTTTCATGGGCCCTTCAGGCACAAGCTGGGGTGCTATTTTTAACTAAGAAAAATTGAATGGACTGGATCCTACATAATGTCTTCCTCCCATGTTAACAGTGGACTGAGGGCAGGTTATTAATACTACCCCTTCTACCCAAAATGAACAGAAGAAGTGGTCTTACTTTAGCAGCTCACAATCATCTTCTCAAACTTAATGCCTAAGACCTAAGTCAATGGCCAAGCTTTGTACATTCCTGAATTTGGTAACTAAAGATAAGTAGAGACTTGCTTTTGCTCTTAATACTGTAAATTGCCCTGAGGATCAAGTTTAAATATTCAGTAAATGAATAGAAGTAGCTTTTTAAAAAGGTAGAAATTAGTTTTTTGGGTTGTTGTTTTTTTAATCTAGCTCTACATCTCCTGTGTAAAGGTAGCTCACCCTCAGCTCACCCAACAGGGTAGTTCAAAAAAAATACCCTTAGAAACCAACCGAAAGAAAGAAACCACAAAGACCAATATTTTTTTTAGAAGCAGCATACCATCACTATTATCTAAAAGCCTTCCTGAAAAGGTTTTGGTATTTGGGAAATTCAGGGACAAGGATTTTCTCTTTTAGTAGGCTATTCAACAACCCCAGAGTATTGAGTATGCCCTGCTGTTTGCAGAGGTCACCATTCCATACATAATTACAACATACATAGCAGGATACTCAATATATTTATATTTAAATTGGCTGGGGAACACATATTGTAGGTATGTCAGTAACCATAAATATATTCTTTGTGGGTCCAAAAATTTAAGTAAATGCTTTCTTAACTGTGTAACAAATGCTAACAGGTCAGTTTGCTTCAATATCTCACATGCAGATGAAGCCAAGCCTTCAACAGAAGAACTTCATTATGGCCACAGAAGGTCCCTAACCTTAGCATACACAGACCCCAATCCAGTTTTACACAAATCCAGTTGTGAGCACCCATTTGTCAATCAGGAAAGTTGACACTATCAGCTCTAAGGAGGTTACACTAGGTCAGTTGATCTGATAAGGCTGCAACTTGTAGGCAGAAACTAGATGTAGCCTCAAACTTTGTATGTAGAATCTATTCATTCACATTTTCTATTCTAACAGGTGATCATCATAGAGAGCTTAGTCGGTAGAGCAAAAAACTCTTAATCTCAGCTTTGTGGGTTCAAGTCCCACGTCGGGTGAAAGATTCCTGCATTGCAGGGGGGTGGGCTAGATGACCCTTGTGGTCCCTTCCAACTCTATAATTCCATGATTCAATGTGTGCATGGAAGTCTGATTCCACACGTGGATCAGCTTAGGTAGACATTAATGTGTACTCTATGTGTACTAAAGGAAACGTTACCCCTTCTATGCCCACTCAATACTGCAACACTGCAAACTCTGGAACCAGCACTTTGGAAAGTGCTACACAATATCCATTCCACACTTGTAAATAATTAATCTCTCAGTGTGGCAGCACCTACGTTCTGGAACTCACTGCCCACTGACCTTCACTGTGTTGTTTTCAATGCCTGCTTCAAAAAAAGCTGTTTAGGCAAGCCTGCCTAGATATGTAAGGTTTACGTGTGTGTTTGTGTGTAATGCACACACACACACCTCTCTCTCTCTCCATATATATATATATATATATATACACGGCAGCATGTTTCTATCTTCTGACTTTTACTGATAACTTTATACATTATGTTCTATGTAAATCACTTGGACACTGACAATAAAGTAGTGTACGGTTTTTTTAAAAAAAAATAAAGTGTGCAATTGTGAAAAATAGCCACTGGCTAGATTAAAACTGAACTAAAGTACACATTTTAAATTTGAGAGCAGATACCTATACAAAAATGTATTTTAATAAATTGATTAGCGGTTTGTTCACTTTTTCAAATAAGTCTTCTGTTAATGACTAAATACTTCATTGCGCCTATTAAAGATTCATTACATGCAAATATTGCCATCTGATTACTGCTTTGACTTAACCTGCTTTAATTGCCTATTCAGCTATACTTTGCTGGCATGCAGAACTATATAAATTTACTGTTGTCTCCCAATGACTTACTGAAGAGTACAAACAGGCATTCATCTGAATTACCAAAGGAGGTAAATCTTACTTGCTATTATTTATTAATTTTAGATAATATAAAAATTAGCACATAATTGTAAGAACACTAAAAAAGAAAACTTTTATACAGTATAGATATACAGAACATATATAAACATAGCTCACTGAAAAAAGTCAAATTAGGAGAAGTTTCCACATCACTAATGAAATGTAATACACACACACCACTAAACAGGCTTTGAACCAATCAGATAAAGGTGAAAATTCAAAGGTCTGTCAGATAATTTACTATCATATAAGTTTGACTTGCCAAGAGCAATAATTCCAACAAATCTTTTCAAATTGTATTACTAAAATTAATGTAATTTATGACACATCGCTAGCCTAAGCAGAAGTGTGCTATTTAAATAGGGCCTAATCCAATATGGTGACTAAACTAATCTAAAGCTGAAATATTATACACCTTTACCTAAGAGTAAGTCTACTTCTGTGTAGACATTTACAGGACTGCACTGTACAGGATTTTAAGTCCAACCAATATCAAGAACAATAAATAGTTCAAAATACAATAGTTTATGCTCTATGGCTACATGTTAGATATACAATATCTTATAGTTATATGTATCATGCAATGATACCTTCTATCCCTCTTTAGAATATGTTTTGTGGGGAATGTAACACTGCTTTGGAAGTGCTAATTCACTGTAAAATGATTACTCTATGTAGGCTTTTCTGCCACGCATAAGCCATATAAGGAAGTTGAAGTTCACTGCCATCTTTCTGTCCAATCCTTTGAAATGGCCAAGAGTAACCTTTACTGGTGTCTTTAAAGATCATGTGTATAGTTTGAAAGTTTCCTAATCTTGATGATTGACGCCAAGAGAAATTTGCCTTTACTCCCATCAAGACAGACCAGCAAAACATAGCATGGACGTTGATTTAAACCATCCACAGTAAAAAATAATGCCTCAGTTATAGTCATCTGACTAATGCACAATTTAGAAAACATGTTCAAAGCACATTTGTACAAAAACAAATGGCAAGTTGCTTGTGAAGTCATCAAAATTATATAATTCAACAGGTGATACAACACATTTTGCTTTCCTTACAATGAGAATTGCTTAATCTTGACAATTTTTCAGAAACCTCACTATTTCCATACCTTTTCCCAAAACACCAAGACCAAACTACATTGTTTAAAAAAATAAATCAAATGAAACAATTGAATTCCACTATTGGGGGAAAATAAATTTGTCCATAAACCACACATGCAAGTAGACGTTTGCAAATAAAGTTTAAACTCCCTCAGGAGATAGCCATTGACTAAAGGTGCTGAAGCTGTTTTATGACAATATGACAAATATCTCTACTACTCAAACGTTTTTGAACTACACAGGTTATGAAAGAAGAAACACTTGTTAAGTCTCACAAGACATCAGGCCTGTCTGAACTGTGTCCTTACTCGACAGCTAAGGAATGCCTTCTAAAAGAAAAACATCGGCCTTTAAGAAAAGAAAAAGTCTTCAAACTTTAATGGTACATGGGAAAAAGAATATTTGCCGTTTATGCAGACGGAATGCTTGCAGAGAAAGAAAGTTATCGGTCCAGCAAGTCGCTTCTACAGATGACATGTTTTAAGATCACGAATGCATAATCAGGCAGTTTCACTTCAATACCTTCTACTATGGAACAAAGAAACTTCTGTCTGAGAAGCTTTACACACACAAAATCAGCTCTCCTACATTTCTCCTCTGCAACAAAATTTCAAAGTACCGGTAACGATTAGACTTTCTCTCTCTCTCTCTCTCTCTCTCACACACACACACACACACACACACAGAGAGAGAGAGAGAGAGAGAGAGAGAGAGAGAGAGACTGGAAACCAGCTTCAAAATCCAGAAAGACATTTAAAAAGCTAACGAAAGTAAGAACAGGAGGCAGACCACCATCTCAAAATGAAGTACAATTGCGTCCCCTTTCTCCAACACATAAAAAGGGTTTCATTCCTAATGTTCCCGCACACGCACACTTCCAAAATTATTTCTTTTGAAAACCAACCTCACAATTCGGGCGTGCAGATCTCCATTTGCACCAGGTTCCTTCACTACCCAATGGATGCTTTAAATCCCAATCAAGTTTTCTCAGCAGTCCAGAAAAGAAAAAAACGGGGGGTGGGGTGGAGGATGCAACAGCTTTCGTCGACGTTGTTGGGGTTTTTTCCCCTTTTCTTTTCCGGGGTTGGGGGTGTCGTGGAGATTTAGCAATGCCAAGCTTGCGGGCCGGCCGGCCGAGGTGAGTTATTTCCCCCCTTCCCTCCCCCGGCCTCCTTCTTCACTTTTCTTCGCAGTCGAGCGAGGGGAGGTCTCTGCGTCGTCGCCTCAGCTTCTGCCCTCTTCCGCCGTGACAAATGCGCGGTTTCAGGTGCCTCGAACGCCGCCCAGTCCCGGCAGAAGAAGACTCACTTCCCGCCCCTTACTGAGGCGGCGGCGGCGGCGGTTGTGTGGGGCGAGGGGACGGGGCGACCGCGGGGGCCGCAATGCCTGCGCCGGAGCCTGGCCCAGCTCTCCTTTCCAAAGAGGCTCCCGAGCTGCGGACCCGCCTCCGTCGCCGACCCCCCCCCCTCCACCCTTCGGCTGCTTCTCCTTTCTCTGCGTCCCCTCGCTCGCTAGGCCGGGCCCAGGATGCTGTAGCGCCTGCCGCAACCCACCGCCAGGGGCATGTGGTGGGAGGGGAGGCGGGGAGGCGAAGCGCAACAAGCCCCCTTCTCCTTCCTCTTCCTCCTGCTCTTCTTCCACTGCGCAGCCTTCTTATCTTCTATTCGTTCGCTTTTCCTTCCTGCCTTCCTCCCTCGCTCCGCTCGCCTTCCTCCCTCGCCCTCCCCGCCTCACACACACACACACACGGCTCCTCCTCTCCACACTTCCCCCTTCCTCTCTCTCCTTCCCGCCCCTCTCGCTTGGCAGGCTCGCTCCTCTGGGCGCCGGCCAGGGACTCGCTGAGGTGTCTCCTTCAGGCTCCCCAGAGATAAGGGCGGCGGCAGGCAGGCAGGCCGGCCGCGGGGAGCGAGGGAGGGACGGAGAGCGGGCGGCGGGAGCAGTTCTATTATTACTACTACTACTACTACTAAGCACCGCCGCCCAGGCCAGGGGGAGACACTGCAGCGCCGCCCAGACAGCCAAGCGTGACTGACTAGCGCGCGCACACACACACACAGTCGGTCTCGGTCTCTCTCTCTCTCTCTCTCTCTCTCTCTCTCTCTCTTTCGGCCCCAACCGCGCAGCTGCACTAGTTTCCCCTTCAGACTTTTTAGCCTTAGAGCCAGACAACAAGTCTGGAAACTGGCGAAGCGAGCAGCAGCAGCGCGACTTAGCCAATCCGGAGAGAGGAGCCTCTAGCAACAGCCAATGACCCTGCTCTGAAGGGCGACTGTGCTAGGGGAAGGAAGAGCAGGTTAGGGTGTGAGAATTGAAAAAAAAGGAAAAAGTGAGATGCACAGAGAGAGAGAGAGATCAAGCCATCTGGGGCGGGGAGGGGGAGCGGTGTTTAGGAACACTCTTAGGCGCTCTTAGGTTTGGGGAGAGAAAGGAAGTGGCGGGGCTGGGGGACGGGAAGGGAAGGAGGGTAAGAACCGAGAGAGAAAGAGAGAGCGGGTGTTTGCTTTTAAGGCAACTGAGGGAAAGGCGAGGGGAGGAGAAGGCGGAGGAGGAAGAAAAGTAGGAGGAATACAAGGAAGGGGAACCCAGCAGCGAGAGCAGCTTAGACAAGACTTGACCTAGATTGGCGTGAAACTAACTTGGCATCTTCCAATCTTGTATCTCATAGTTGTGTATGTAAACAAAGCAAACACAGTTTTAAAGAGTGCTAGCTAAACTTTCCTGCTCACAATCAATACCTTTTCTTATTTCTTATTTCTTTTAGGCTGCAATCCTAAGCATGTCCCTTCAGAATAAGTTCTGTTGAATCTATAAGACAGGTGAGGGGTTCGAATTGAAGCCTAACTTGGGTTTCTGTAGTAAAGGTGGCTCAGTTCTCAAAAAGGCTTGAAATGATTCTGAAATGAAGATATACAACTGCCTGCTCGCATGACTTTTCATAAATGGACTGCCCATGAAAATACCATCACAGGTTCTCCCACTATGTGAAGGACTTCCATGGCAACGTTGCTAGCCTTGTTCCTGACCACCACTGATGCCCTAAACAGCTGCCAGCCGCTCACCATAAGTACAGGCCTACAAACATACAGATGCAGGGTTTGTGCAAGTGACAATCCTGGGCAGATTAGAATTGACCCTTGCATGGACGTTTACTACACACATGTATCTGTACATGTGAAGGGACTAAAGTTAACCCCCATACTAGGAATAGCCAGATCTATTTGATTTTTCTTCTATATTCTCAAAACTTGTATGACTGTCTGTCCTGCTCTTTGTTCTCCTGATTTTCTACTTGACTGTTTCCAGTCTGGTTTTTGCCCTTTCTGCTACATGGAAATCTCTCAAAATAAGATTAATAATTATCTTCTGTTAGTATCAATAAACCTTCTCAGTCTTCATTCTTGACTTGTCAACTCTCTTTCAGTGATGAATGAAAGCATATTGGACCCTTTCTAATGCTGAAGGTGCCGTATCTGCAGTTGCTAGTGGTGCAGCCGGTGGGTATATCACACTCTGTTTTATGTATTCTGTGAACATTGGGGCGATGTCATAAGAAGATTTCTGTTAGATCAAAGACCCATCTAGTCCATCCTGTTTTGCATAGAGCTCAACCAGATGCCTGTGAGATGAGCATTCTGTTGAGGAAAACAACCATCAATCAACCAACTGAATATGGTATATGTGACTACATTGGATTGAATAGGTTTACAAAATGATAGGCACTTTGAAGCCTCTCAGGGCTGACTGTTGCTTGGTGAGGTCATTAGTTGGTGTACCACTCCCTCTGCTTGGGTATCAATGTTCATACTACACTGTCTCCAGTGTATGTCTCTTCTGAGGCCTTTACGTGGCCTGAGGTAAAACCTGGGATCTCTTTTTTTGCTAAACCTCCTGGAGTTCTTGATGCATATGGCTTAGAGGGCATGTCATGAATTCACCCATGAAGGAAAGTCTCCTGTCTATGATGGTCATAGTCTTGGGGTTCAAGTCCCACTGCTTCTCTCTTTCCATCCACATTTATTGTTGCCGCTCTGATACTTGGAAGGTAAGCTTTACTTTGGCAGGGAATATTACCAAACCAACATTTCCTGTTTCTTAGTACCTTGCTCCTTCCCGTTGGGCAAGCAGGCAGGTCATGCTGATCCTTTATTTGTTTCTATCCTTTCTTCCTTGTGCATGTGGCTCCCACCCTTGTCCCTTGCAAAAAGGTTGTTCCCCTCCAATAGACACAGACATGTAGCATTCTGAACATGGTTTCTGAGGGTGGGTAACCCAGTCAGATGGGTGATAATAGTAATAACGTCCTTCAGTAAAATTCAAACCTTTTTTCTGCGTAACTCTGGGTTCCACATGCACTAGGCTACAGAGATGACTGTGTGTTGTACTTGGAATGACATTCCGTTCATTCCCTGCCTCATCCTTGCTTCTCCACTAGCAAAAATATTGTTTGCAGGCTACAGCACTTTCCTATTATTATGCTGCTTGGTCTGTTTGGGTTGTCAGCTTCTTTCTGTCAAGATGTTTCTCACCATGTGTGAGTAGGGATTGGGTTGGGTAGGTTGATACCCATCATGCCATTCCATCATGTTTAGTGCCTATCAATGTATAGCTGAGTCTTAGAGAAGTCTGGCACAATACAGTGGTACCTTGGTTCTCGAACTTAATCTCTCCAGGAGTCCATTTGACTCCCGAAACAGTTCCGAAACCAAGGTGCGGCTTCCTGCACTCAAGTGGAAGCCCCGTTGGACGTTTGGCTTCCGAAAAATGTTCGCAAACCAGAACACTTACTTCCAGGTTTGCGGCATTCAGGAGCCTATTTGTTCGGAAGCCAAGCAGTTCGAGTACCAAGGTACCACTGTATCGTGATGTTTGGGCACCAGCAGAGTTGCCAGGGAAACCATGATATTATTGGTTGGTGTTGCTACATCATTTCTTTTTCAACAGTGATAACATATTTTTTATTCTTCGATGTTGGGAGTACATGGGAGTGTAACTCCCTTACAATCCCTTACATTGGCATAAGCCTGGCACAGTGGCTACTGACAACAGTTAACATGTAGGATCAGAGAACTGAAAAGTTGCTCCTTTTCATAGTTGCTCAGAAAAAGTCTGTTAAAGTCTTTCTAAGCTTTAAAGCACATTCCCTCTTATCTCCACAGTTCTACTGCATCAGCATCACAAATGAGTCCTATATTAGCTTTTGGATTAATTCTGCTCTAATGAAACCCGAGTTTACATACATGACACTTCCTCTTTCATTACCCACAAAAACTATGCATTGCCTTTCCTCGTCAGAACCCAGAAAGGGCATAGCCCTATAAAAATGTGGCTATGCTGGAATTCCATCTCTCTTAAAGCAATTCTATATAGCATCATCACAGTTGTGTAAAAGACAGCAAAAAACAAAATACCTTGCTTCTCCCAGTCTTTATAAAGAGGAAGACTCTTTATAATATAAACCACTTTGAACTATTAAATTTCATTTTCTAAACAATCTGCCATTAACTTATCATAATTGTTTCTTTCAAAATTCTCCAAAGAATTGCAACATCAGCAGTACAAAGTGGAAAGTCTAATAGAAACCAGTTTTGATCAACAGAGGTGTGATTCAGAACTATACTCTAACTTTTATGGTCACATTGAACTTCAACGGAAGTTGAGCACACACGTAACTTGAAATGACAACCAGTTCAAAATAACAGGTGTGGTCATCAAGTGCTGAGGGAGGGAGGGGGAAATACCTACTAGGAAGGAAGCTCATTCTCTGCTCTACTCAGGCGGCAATCTTTTGCACGCTTGCTAGCAAACATGCCTTACTGAACACAGTGGAACTTGCTTCTGAGCAAACATGCCTATGATCTGTTTGATTTATTTATATCTAGCTCATCTTATAAATTAATTCAAGGTGGCTAACGTAGAATTAAAATCAGCAACACAACAGTTAATCAACCAGTACAAAATGTATAAGTAAAAACAGGAGAAATGAAGAGAAAGCAGCAGAAAACAAAAATAATTGACACCCATACAAAAGTTTGTGAGTATACAGAAAGGGACAACAAACCCAGAATAAAAATTCAAGACTCGGTTTAGCTCAAAGCCTATTCAGATTAACTCAGATTTAGCCTGGTGTCCCCATACAAAGCCAGTTCAGATGTAACAATATTGGCTTAACAAAATCATGGCTTATTATGATTAAGACTGACCATTGTGCTCCTTATAAACTGCCACTTTGTTTTGCATGCCAGATTTAGGATTTGCTTGTTTAAACCATAGTTCCCCAGTACATTCAAACTCAGAAATGATGGTTTAATCTTGGCATGCTAGCCTATGAAACCAAGTGTAAGGCCTATTGAATATTGCATAGGATTGGGCTGCAACAAATCTAATTACAGTGGTACCTTCAGTTACAAACGCTTCAGGTTACGGACGCTTCAGGTTACAGACTCCACTAACCCAGAAATAGTACCTCAGGTTAAGAACTTTGCTTCAGGATGAGAATAGAAATTGTGGAGCGGCGGCAGCAGGAGGCCCCATTAGCTAAAGTGGTGCTTCAGGTTAAGAACAGTTTCAGGTTAAGAACAGACCTCAGGAACAAATTAAGTTCTAATACAGAGGTACCACTGTATTAGGGAAGCAAAGGAAGCAGAAGATGGTAGGCATAAGGCAAGGCAGATAAAATAAAGTGTTTTACTTAGAGTATAAAGCCTTTGAAACTAACATGAGTCAGTTAGGTTCATTAATTTTGATAGGTCTCCTCTGAGTAAAATTTAGTTGAATGCCACCCTATATATCTAAAGCTGAAAAAGACAGCAGAATGTAGTATATACAGTTCAGGAAGCTAGAACTGCAGATTATGATAATGGGTGAATAGGTTCACGAAGGATGTTTGCTGCCATATTAAAAACATTTCTGAAGGATGCAGTTAACCAAAAAGAAGAAAATTAATTTAGTTATTAAAGTAAATCGAAAGGAAGAAAATTGGTTATGCTTGTGGATGACTTAGCTGGAATGGCACAAAGACAAGAAAAGAGAAGCTGCAGAGCATGGTAAATATAATTAATTCTGTTTTTCAGAGTTATGACCTAATATACATATCAGAATGTATTTGTAAAAAATATGTAACCTCTTGTTTAAACTGAGATAGACAGAGAATGATCAGAGTAAGCACAATCTAAATTTTGGGAGGCAAAATAATGTATGATGGGAGATCCATAACAAAAATTAAAAGCAGAATAGGGTTAGCAGACTGGATATTTTCTTAAGAAATAGTACGTGCTAGACAGGAAAAATAATATTAGCATTGAAAAATAAATTAATAAAGTGTATGAAATTTAGATCTATATTGATACAAAGAATGTAGAATAGGTAAAAACAGTGAAAGGGATATTTAGTTATTTTAAATAGAGTGTGGGAGAAGGTTGAGTAAACTGAATTTGAGAGAAAGACAAAACCAACAGAAGGAAAAGTGAAAGAAATAGAAGGCTTGGAGAATGATAACTGTGGATCACAGAACACATTCTAAGAAGTGGAGGACAAAGGGGAATGTTTTACATTCCTTTATGATAAATTAAAATTATTCAGCCAAGTTTTTTGTATTCAGCCTGACAATGACTAGAAAGTTGTAGCTTCTGCAATCTATAAACTGTTGCAACTGGAAACTTTGGAGGAAGCAATTACACGAGAGTTGGAAGCAGCTTGGAAAAACAACCTCTGAATAAACATAGAAGAAAAAGTGTTATTTTGATGGCACTGGACTGGATGAATTCGCATCATATTAATTATGCCGTATTCCCAATATTTTAGAAAGGCTGTGGTGAACTCAGGTCTTTCATTCACATGTGGTGGGCGCATAGTCCTGTGCAATGGTTTTGGAATCTGGAATTGGTCAGAATTTCCAAAATAATGGGCCAGCACATTTATGTAGTGGCATTTCCCTTATTGATAATTGGGAAACATAAGGAACAAGTAATATTCATGTTAACAGCTATTTGCATGGAAATTGTGAGGCATTGGAAATACAGTGGTACCTCAGGTTAAGTACTTAATTCATTCCGGAGGTCCGTTCTTAACCTGAAACTGTTCTTAACCTGAAGCACCACTTTAGCTAATGGGGCCTGCTGCTGCTGCTGCCGCGCCACCACTGCACAATTTCTGTTCTCATCCTGAAGCAAAGTTCTTAACCCGAGGTACTATTTCTGGGTTAGCGGAGTCTGTAACCTGAAGCGTATGTAACCTGAAGTACCACTGTATAACTCAAGGTTCATGGTGACAAGGTTGGTGGAGAGTATCTGGAATATCTCTCTAATTACCATGTAGGTGGATTTTATTTTATTTTTTAGAGGACAGTGGCAGCTAGAGGGGGGCGGGTGTGAGAGAATTGAAGTTTTTGTGTATGAATGAAAGAATGAGAGTGTGTGTGAATGGAAGATTGATGGAGGGAGAGAAAATGGAGGGATGGATTGATAGAGACAAAGACAGTGGGGTGGTTCTCGGCCCATCTTCCTCCAGTGTGTAGTCCCCACCAGATTAAACTTTGAAGGGAAGAGGAGTCCCAACCATGGGTTAGGTAGTCATATGAACTAGGTCAAAGACTGCTGCTGTATGAGTGTAGAGTGAAGCAGATACCAGAACAAGCCAACAATCTATGCTAGAGCTGAGACCCAGTGTTCTGTGCAACTAATAATAGGCTTGGGGTGGGGGGAATACTATACACTTTGCAGAGCAATTATTTTTCTTTTTATATGTGTATAAAACATTCATTAAAAACATGGTGGGCTTTGTGCCACAATGATATTGAAGCATTTAACGGCCTTCAATAGATAGATTGAAAAAGAAAGGTGCACTGAAAGGCATTCTGCAAAAAGTCTATTTGCTTAGACATTTTTACCAAGCTACTTCCACAATAATCTGAATAGTGAATTTGTGAAGTCTTGTGTTCATGCTTATGAAGGTGCCCTTTGAATTCCAATTAATCTTGACAATACACAGAAGAAAAATGATCACCCAGGGAAGTCTTTGAAGGATTTAGGATTTTACACCCCAAACCTTCTGTTCCATATTAGTAATTCATTTACGCTGTTACAACATGAATTGGGAATGTGACATGAGGCTGATTAAATATCTCATGAAATAAAAAAAAACCCAAACCCCACAATAACATGCATATATTAAATCATGGTTTATTAATTGTACTGCCTGGTTTTGCAAAAATTGATGATACAAAATGATACAAAAATTGATAAATTTATTCCCAAGAAGTATATTCAAGAGTAGAGTCTGATGTTTTTTCAGAGCTACCAGATCAACAGATTTGGCAGCAACAGCGCTGATTTCCACATGCTGCTTGCCTTATGTTCCTTAATCTGGTTCTGGAGGGACCACTTCAAAGGATTAAGGTGGTTTGATTTTCATGCCTCTTTAATCTTTGGGTTCTCTGCCAGAACTGCTAGCAAATATGCCAGTAGAGATGGTGAACTAAGCTCAGCACATTCACAAGGCCAGAGAAAAGACATGCGATAGGATAGCCAGTATTGTTAAACATTTGTAAATCCCACTGATGCTATGGCACGTATCTTTCAGTGAAAGACACTTAAGTCAATTGGATTTAAATGTGCTTTCATTTTGGCTAGATTATGCAGATAGTTAACCTATCTGGTCTGACCTTTAGGGCCATTTGATAAAAGCGGCAATCGGACTTTTCATCAGAATCCTGTTATGGTTTCTAAGCTATGGTAGAACTCAGCGTTTACCCAAAATGGTAATGTTATGACATTATTTATCAATTGTGATGGGATGATGAGCTGCTTGTGCGTAAAATCGTATCCCCTCAGAGTTTGTTCAAGTCCACAAACCTCTGTCTGTGACGGAGCCCCTCAGACATGGCTACTCTAGTCACTAGCAGATTCCGACAGTGGTTGCTTTCGTGATCGCTTCCAACATAAAAGCTCCTTAACGGAAGCCCGTCTTCTGGAATCTCTGCGTGACAGTTTCCGGCGAGAGTGGGTGTTCTTA